GTTTATGTATAACACCTATTTTGAACGAATCTTTACTACGATATTCCATCAAATTTTTTGGTTTTTCTTTTCTTCATAAAAGAAGCATTTTTTCGACAATTAGAAAACTGGATAAAAAAAGCATCATAAATCATATTGGAACAATAAACAATATAAGGTTCGGTGCGTCTTCATTTCCTCTTTTCAATGGTGGAAACCGTAGTTCTCCACCATGCTTCTCTCAAAAGTTATTCCACAAATATACACGAGCGCTCATGCTACCAGTATGTATGTGACAAAAACAGATTTTATGGAAATTTTACTATTATGATAACAGTTTAATAATGATCAAATAGCATAGAAAAATAGAGTGAAACACGCTCTATCTTCTAGTAAAAAAAGAAATTTCTTTACGTCTCTGCCTAAGAAAATAACATACCTCCCTCACTACTTTTGGATTGCCCTAAGTATATAGTTCATAGTAATCGAACCAAGAAACTTGGGAACGTAATATTCATAGTTTTTCAAATTCAGATATCCGTGTATTAAGCTGCTAATTATTCGAGACTTAACGCTTTGTGAAATAAGTCAAACGATTTATACGTAGCAATACTTGACTTTCAATCAACCAGCAGTGATCGAAGTTACTATAACGTTACTTAATTGGTATGCGCGGTATTTGAATGAACACAATCTGAAATGAAGTATCTGCCAATGACCACTATGTATATTATTTTCATCCTTACTATGTTCAATATTTTTCTCTTCTTTCACCGTCGACAAGAAATGTGCTCTTCTAAACACGTGGATTCAACTATCGCTGCCAGTTCGGGATATAGTGGTGGTATTATTATGAATGGTCAGAAGGAAAGGGAATTTGTGACGATGGTACAAAAACACATGGTTGATCTCAACTCTGCCGGATACATTTCGATGCCAGATATAGTCAAACGTGTATGGATCGATATTGGGTCGAGCAAGGACTCGTTTTTAGGCGATTGTCATATTTGTCAAAGAGTTTATTGGCCACATCGATCACCGATGACGTTGACTCAAGAATTTCAACAATCAAATGATCTATTCGTGATCGCCATCGATCCGAATATTGACTTTTATAGTTCATTATCGAAGATTCCAAGATTGATTCCAATCATCGCTGCCATATTTCCAACTGAAGGAACGCGAGCCTTTTATGAATATCAAGGTAGCGGTTGCAGTAGTCTTCTTGAACCGAATGCGAATATCGACAGGAAACTGGCAATTTATGAATGGTTTCGACCCTGCACGAAAGTAACTAAAATAACAGGTGTTTCAACATTACGTTTAGAAACAATACTATCAATTATTGATCCTCGTTTGAGCATCGAACTACTCAAAGTTGATGCACAAGGCGTAGATTTAGACGTCGTTAAAAGTGCTGGAAAACTATTGAAAAGAATCGACAAAGTAATTATTGAGATTCAATTAGATGACGAAAAGCGAAATAATTCTAATATTCTTTACAAAAATGCGAATAGTGCCAGTGAAACGTTAGAATATATGAAAGCGAACGGATTTACCTTCGACAAAGGCCAATCAAGCGTTGAAAACAAAGCAATAGAAGAATACAATTACGTTTTCAACAAAGACAAGTTCTGAGTTCTACTTACGTTTTATCAACTGACTCACGAACAAATGTATCATTTTTATGTTTTTCATTTGTTATAACATCGAGTATTCGAATCTTTTTCGAAAAACGTCAAGTAAAAATAAAATTAAGATAAAAACTAACATTTACATCCAGCCTCGAAAAATAGCGACAATTAACAGCATTCACAAGTATTCCAAAGGATAATCAATTGTGCCGATGCAAGAGTACCTACGGAAATATCTAATCGCCCATCATTGTTTAAATCACCAGTCTTCAGCAGTTCCGGCGTAATGCTATTTCCAACTGAGTAGTGTGTTTATGCTTTGAAAGTTCCGTTGCCGTTACCAAGCATCATTCCTATGTCGCCTGTGAAATCATTGGCAAAAGCCACATCTAAATATCGATCACTGTTAAAATCTGCAGCAACTAGTGATCTTGAAGTATTATAGTGCCCTGTTATAAACGGTAGCATTGACTTAAAGCTTGCATTTCCATAGCCTAGAAAGACGTTTAATCTATGATTTAGTATATCAAGCATAGCAATGTCTAAGCAATTATCATTATTGAAATCAGCAGCTACAAGCGATCCTAAATAGCTATTATATTCCATCAATATGGTTGTTTGATTTTGAAATGTACCATCGCCATTGCCAAGAAATAGTTTTAGATTATTCTGAATTGCATCCATAGCAACAAAGTCCAGATAGTGGTCATTATTTAAATCTACGACGATGATTGACGACAGACCGCTGCTATTTCCAGTTGATAGTATCATTCAATTTTCGAATGTTCTGTTATCAACACCAAACACGATACCTAAATATGAGGTCATATAGTTTGCACTGATTAGGTCCAACCGACCATCATCATGGAAATCACCTGCAGTCATCGACATCGATTGATTAGACGGCGCAAGTGAAACTAGTGAATATTGCTTAAACGATCCATTACCTGTGCCTAGTAGGACTTGTAGAGTACTTGTATATGAGTTGGAAATAACTAGATCTGATCGACAATCATTATTAACATCCGCTACGACAAAGTACGTTCCATAAAGTGCAGTTATATTCCAAATGTTTAAGCTTGCTCCAAACGTTTCATTTCCATTATTTGGCGGTATGGTTATGTTGTTATTGAAAGCAGTAGGGACAACGAGGTCTAAATAACTGCCTTGATTAAAATCAACAACATCAAAAAAATACAGCCAAACGGAGGATTTTTGTGAAAAGATAATACTTGATTCGAATGCTAACTGACATTCTGTTTCTAGAGAAAACACTTCAATGAACTAAACTCGTCTGTAAATCCTTAACAAACCTTTTGTGACGAACGATGTTGTTCTTGAAACGTTTTCGTATGTTGGTAGTGTAGTCGTTTTCATCATAGAGACCAGGAATGAAAAGAATATTAAGAATAGACTTTTCGAAGTGTACCACACCTGTCGATAGAGAGGCATTCTTCTCCCGTTGAATCAAATAAACGGTTGGAATTGTAATGATTGTTATTAATAGTACGAGCAAACCAACACCAAAAATAATTGTGTGCCGTTGCAATAAACAATCGTGTGTGATGTGGCAAATGTCTGGTGTGTGTAGTGTGTCGGGTGTCATTTAATTATTTCCACTAGAAATAAAATAAATCGGTGAAATGCGTTTGATTCGTTTCTTCCAACGTTCAAAGATTTTTGCGAGTAAACAAGTCAAGGTTGGACAAATCCATTTGAGAACAACAGTAAGACCACCACGGAGACCAAGGAGACGCGTAACTGTGTAAAGCGAATTTAACTTCTTCACATAAGTGTATGAACACATGGTATAGGTAAACATTGATTAAAATATAGCGAGTAATGGATTGTTAGGGATCAATCATCGATGAAAAGATTACCAATCAGATCAGTGACAGTTGCATTCATCGAAGGAGAATTGAGAACGTTTGTATAATTAGCATTGCTTGAGTAATTGATATATTTATAGGTGAGGTTGATACATGATGAGTTATAGAAACATTCAAGCGTCGAGGCCAAAAACGATTCAATTGGCGTACAACCCATCCCAAGTCCTTGAATAGGAATAGTTTCTGATGAGTTTGGATGGATTAAATTCGCAGGAATAGTACAACTTTCATTCGAATCGCACGAACACTTCGCATCATAAACAATTCCCTGAGTTCATATGACATCAGCAATGATTCTACTTCTAAATCTATCAGACAAGAGGTAGTCATAATTTGTTCCATAGGCCGACACGATAGCATTAGCATGATTGATATTTCGATAAAGAAAAATAAGACGAAGAAGTACTGCTGGAACATTGGATTCGTTTTCTTCGATAAGCGCTTCAATTTGTGTATTTAAAATTAATTTCGGTAGAAGTTGAATAGTGACAAATAAGGAGGAAAGAGTTTGTTGAATAAAAGCATTGACTGCTTGATTAGAAAGATAACATAGCCCAGCAAGGTATTGTAAGTGAGCAGACAGGAAACGATGATAATCTCGTCGATCATAATCGAACATATTGGAAGTAAGACCAGTTGTGATATTCATTCGCCATTCTTCTGAAACAAACTCACTTAAACAGATCTGGAAATAAAGAAATCACCGAGTAATTTAATCATTTGCAAAAATGACACTTTATCCTTTTTACCTGATGAAAAATGGGTTCAATTTTGATGTATTTACCATAGATTGATGATGTTATCGAACAAGGACAGTGAACTAAACCACCATGTTCTTGCAAAAGGTGTGTGTACGTTTCAAGAGACGGTCTGGCGAAAGTCTTTGTTAAAATTTCCGGTTGGATAAGAGTTTGAAGGCTGAGAATTACAATTCCAATAATCAGTAACAAAACGTACAAACAACTAGCCCATTGATTCAATCTTTTTGCATTCTTTTGACCCTCGACATGAACAAAAATTATACGATGCGAATATCGTCAGATTGACCAGCTCCGTATAAAGTGATTTCAGAAAACTTTGAAATAATATTTTCATCCGTGTGAAGAATGGCATTTGATCTATATGAGGAAAAAGCAATATCTCTAAGAGTGTATATGTATTTGTGAAATTTACTCTCATGTGACGCTTTGAATTTTGTTTCGAAGATCCGATAGAGAAAAGTCACCAGTTGAGGTGTGATCAATCGCAAGGCAATGCCGAGATCGCCAATAGTCGATATGATTTTAGCAATGACTCCGATATAGTTGTATGTTCGAGCTGTATACGAATAGGTATAGTAGTTTGGTGTGCATGTTTCGTAGTACTGATCGGAAGAAGCGGTATAATTCCATTGCTCAATCATCATTTCTTTCGTGATAATCGATAAAGAAGAATTTGGAAGGAAATAATTGGACAATGGATCATAATCAAGAGGGGTGGGATAAAACCAAGGTATTTCTGTGTATAACTGATTGTATGTCATATTCATATTCGTTAATAGAGTAGACAGACAATTTGAATTCGAATAGAAACATTCCTGAATCGAAAAAAGAAATGAATCGAGAGCATAACAACTATCAGTCGAATCTGGCATTGTATTAGTTATCGTATACATACGAGTATCATTTAATGTAGTTATCCGACTGTACAAATCACGCTGTCTTTGGCAATAGGGATTGATAGCACATACACAGTTGCTGAATATTCCGGTGGCATTAAACATCCCGGTCAGAGAAAACCGAATTTACTTTTGATCAGTATAATTCCAAGATATGTAGTTACCTTCCATGAATCTGGATTTTAATGGTCATCTACTTTTCTATATAGTAGTGTATTCAAGTGATCTGGTACTTTGAAAGGTTGATCAACCCGCAGTGAAAGGTGTACGGTATCTAAGAGAAGACCAAAGTTGATAACTGTCGATTGAATAAATTGATTGACGGTCGTGTTTAATTGAGTATTGAAATCGTTCTCGGTGAGAACATTAAATGTAACTAGTGAACGAGTGATAAGACGTTTAACCGTACCAAAGATTGTCGTATTAACTAAATTACAAACGGTTGACAATAATCGGAATTGATGAACAGCTCGAGTAAGCCAATCATCATATGACCCAGAACGTACAAGGCTGAGAAGTGTTATCCACGCATCACTAACGAAGTCACTCGAACATACTTGATGGAAACTTGCAGACAGGGAAATAAACGTTCGATGCGGTACTGTTGTAGTGGAACAAGGACATTTCAGCGTATCTTGATGACTCTCGTGTAAATTCCTATACACAGCTGATGATAGGTTCAGTACAGGCACTGTAGTGACATGAGTACTCAAAGAAGTGAAAAGAAGAAGAGTTAATATTGCCCCTGCTAGTAACATAAAGTAGATCCGCGTAATCAAATATTGTTTTTTTTTGTCGAGTCGATATTTGGATCACCAAATGATTTGAACAAGTTAATTTATTTCACCCACTGAAGGGCCTCTTGGATTGGTGGTGACTGAATTTTAAATATTAGTAAAATACGAACCAAAATGGGTGCGACCAAACGAAATATAATGGTTAAGCCACCGTATAAATTAAGTAGGAAAATAATAGTATAGGATAGACTGGCTTGATTGGTGGCCGTAAATGTGCACAGAAGAGGTGCTCAATTGTTAAAATATTTCGAATAATTGATTGTTGATGACCAGTTTTGGATAAAGAGGTCAGATAGACGTTCATAAAAAGAACTGCTCTGATGATTCGGTGATAGGTGAGAATTGGTGAAATTAGAAGTTTGGTTTAAGTCGGGAAAGTAACTTGTTAGTTGCTCGAGACATTGGGGATTGTACAAGCAATCTAATGTACTAACGAGTAGACCATCAAGTACAGTACAACCGCTGAAGAATCCATCGATAACGTTAGAAATGTTGGAAGTTGTAGAAGATAACGGAGTGTCGGGCTAATAATTATCATTAATATCGCGAGGGCCGTATGGTATTGAGTAGAAGCCATGTAGGTACAATTGAATTCACCAAATTACAACTGTATATACCTTTTGTATAGACAAACATCGGCGTATTCTTGCAATAGTAAACTGGAGATTATCTATTGCAGTTATAGAAAAATGTGCATTGGTATTCAGCGCAGAGGTTAACGAATTGGATTGAGCTATGATCCGCATAAGTTTGATATTTTCGGCGACTTGAGAGTGAACATTATCTTTTGTTAGAAGTTCAATGCTGACCAATTGTTGATAGTTGATATCGGTAAGAACTTGAGAAATCATCTCTTGAGCAAGTATACAAAATGCTGCAAGTAATTTAAACTACATAAATTTGAAAACAGACACTATCCTGATGACATAAGGAGACAAAACGATGGAACTTACTTGAGAGTAAGCTGTTGTTCGAAAGTATATCATGAGAAAAGAACTAGCAACTGGTACATATAGTGATTGTATCCACTGTTCACTAACGAAAATACTTGAACAAAGTCGATCTATGGATAGATTGTTGAGAACAAAGTTTTCGTATGCTATGAACGTTGCCAAACATGGACATGAAAGTGTTTCATCGTGATCACTTCGAAGCTGATTGAATAACGATAGAGTGATATACAAAATTGTTACTGCTTCTGTTTGCGGATAAACGAAAACTGTGAAGAGGATAATGTACATAGCCACTATAAAAATGGAGAACTTATTCGATTATAATCATTATCTTCAGCAGTGTACACTTACAAATCAAAAGAAGAACATAAAGTATAGTTGCATATCTTTGATGTTGAATAGTCGTTGGCACATGATGACTTTCTTCATTTGCTTCAGGTATGAAAAGATTGTAAGTAAATATCGTTTCATAAAACCATCGAATCAATACTTTAGCATTCATTGTATCACTATATATTATGGATGTTAGCGAGTAGAAGAAAAGTTTTATACATGGAATGTATTAAACAACTCGTTCTCAGGACATTTCCCCGAGAAAAGCAATTTCATTTCAACAACTTTATTTTAATATTCATGATAATTATAAAAACAACTTCGCATTTCAATTCCACTGACGTCAAAACTATCATAGCCAAACGAGCATATCAACAACACTGACTGAATATTGACAATCACAAGAAAGTATTGAGTTATTTTGAAATGTTGCAATACGATGAGTAATAAAAATAAGAGCGAGCGCCGTTAGTAAATTATTCAGTTTTCTTCTTCCTACTACTGACATTAAGCATTGAAAAAATAATGTGTCAGTAATAGTGGTGAAAGAACGTTTGTATTTACATTTTGCGTTCTTACTGAGTCAGAAACGAGCAATATATTATACGAATTGCGCACGCTGTTGTTTAGTAAGATACCATGGCGAGTCAAACATCCAAAACAATTTTTCTAGCTGGTTGCGGAGGTGGCTACGATGTATTTGGCTGTTTGCCTTATTATTTCAAACTCAAAGCTTCTGGAGACTATGATATAACACTTATCAACTATACTTTTACCAAACTGGCCCTCTTAAATCAGCATAGCGAGCAAGTAACAACAGTGCTTTTCCGCGTTGATCCCCAAGCGAATATAGCATGGCTAACTGATGACGTTTATTTCCCTGAACAGCGTCTCGCGAACGAACTCCAAGTACCTATTTATGCAATCTTATGCGATTATACGGCAACACGCATTGAATTAATTGTCGAAGCTTATAAACATCTGATACACGGACGATGTATTGATGAGTTGATCTTAATTGATGGAGGATCGGATGTTTTATTAACGGGCAACGAACTAGAATTAGGTAAATACGTAGCGTCACATTAAATACTATTCTTATTTATTGTTTTATAGGAACTCCTGTTGAAGATATATCACATGCACGTGCTGTTGATCTTTTATCTACAGACGAAGTGAAAGCAAAATATATTGTCGTTATTGGCATCAATCTTGAGGTAGGCCATGATGTTCAGAAATCCGATATCGATACACGAGTGACTGCTCTTTCGTCCGATACTATTTTCAAATGGTTATGGCAATATGAACATGATGATGACGTTCGTCGCTATGTGGAAATCTTTCATCGTTGCTCTCCAAGTCAATCGATCGTGCACAGTCTTATCTGTGCTGCATTGGAAGGTCGACGAGGATATTATTTGCCTGAACATTTACGCGACCGTATTAGGAACTCTGTTGTTGAACTTAGTGATGAAACGTGCATTTCAATTGTATATCGTCTCAATGACGTCATGCGGCACAATGTTTACTTTCAACGGCTAACACCGGAAATGAATCTGAACCAAGTTTTTGATGAGATCTACGATTCTATAGACGACGATTCATCTAGTATTGATGCTGCTGTATCGTCACAAAAATCAAATTCTGATGTCCCACATTTTATACGAACTGTTTTGTCTTCGAATAATAAGGTGAACAAATAAGAACAAAACATGTTTTCTTTTCTGTCAACCGAGTTCATTTGCAAATAGGAAATATCATGAAAATAAATCGGCGCAAAATCAATTAAATATGACTGACAACAGCAGTCTATTGATTTTTTTTCTGTGTGAATAGCCTATTTATCTTTTAGACATGTTTTACACATAGAGCCAAATTCCATGATTTTTATCCTTTAATTCTATTGTCATGTTTCTCAAAACAAATAAGAAAAGAAAAGAAACATTAGAGAACTTATAGAATCATTTCAGTTTCGTAGGAAAATTGTCTATAGCGTAAGTGAAAGCACGTGACAGTGCTGTGCTCATACTCATCCATGTCTTTCGATACAGAAAATATTATCAAATGTGCTAAAAAAACATCCAATCTTTGTACTAGAGAAATATCTGAGATTAGACGACGCATCAGCTACACACCCTATACATGTCATGGTGGAATATTGATCATCGACGTCAATACTTTATTTATCGTCTGAGCGTGAGATAACTCTCATCTGATTTTTATCACATTGTTTTATTATGAGAAAAAGGCTAGATTGACTAACAAAAAGAAAAAAAGATCCTCGCATCCGATCTGTCATAAACTCTGATAAGGTTTCGTTGTGAATATTATTCAGAATGGCAAAGTATAATACTCACATTCTGGTCATGATTCTGTTCAGTATTGTTCACGAAGTTTTAGGCAAGTATAGGTTTTGTTACACTCGTCCGGAGAAATGGGCTTTCTATATATGCTGTTACAGAACGCAAGCATCTTTTAACTACAAACACTATGAAATATAAATAGGTTTGGCGTTTGATTTTAGTTATTTCCTACTATCAACCTCAATTTTGCCCATTACCAACTTGGAATTCTGCGGGTATTCCTTTTGCTAATGAATCTATTGTTGGGAAACATCCTATTGCGCTTTTTATTGATAAAAACGATACTGTTTATGTAGCAAACCGAGATACTGGTCAAATTTTAATATGGCTTAGAAACAGCACTATCCCATCACAAACTCTGACTGATACTTTGACCGATTCGCGTTCTCTGTTCGTCTCGGATATTGGTGATATTTATATTGATAACGGATTCGCGAATAAGCGAGTAGCTAAATGGATATCAAGCACAAGTACTTTTACCACAGTGATGGCTGTCGATGGACCTTGCGAAGGACTTTTCATCGATATTAATCAGACATTGTATTGCTCGATGTTTTTTATGCATAAAATCGTGAAAAAATGGCTTAATAATGCATCACTGTTGCCGATTATTGCAGCTGGCACAGGCACTGCTGGGCCTGGTGCACATGAAATCAGCCAACCTGGTGGTATCTTTGTTGACACTAACTTTGACTTGTACGTAGCTGACTGTGGAAACAATCGAGTGCAGTTGTACAAACCAGGAAATGCGAACGGAACGACCGTCGCAGGAGATCAGTCACGACTCGTTACATATACACTCCATTGTCCAAGTGGAGTCACTTTGGACTACGATAAATATCTATTCATTGTTGAGAACACCGGGCATCGTGTGATTGGATCAGGACCTTATGGTTTTCGTTGTCTGGTTGGATGTGGTGGAGAAGGTTCACAAGCACATCAATTATCAAAACCTTTTAGTTTTGCTTTTGATAGTTACGGAAATATGTTTATTAGTGATCAAAATAATCATCGAATACAAAAGTTCTTCTTATTGCTAAACAATTCCTGTGGTAAGTAATGTGTGTTCTTTGCTAGAAAAAGGAAGAAGTCCGACTAGACTCAAAAGATCACTCAATAAAAGATAAGTATCGTTGAACTCTTATATATTTATTTTAGACGAGACAACGATTAATTCAAGGTTGACAAGTGAACTGACAACAAGTGAAAGTCAGCAAGGTTTGTTTAAATAAATGTTTCAATTTATAGCTTGTTGACATCGGTCGTTGTTGGATTAGATCAAATAAATTCACAAATGGTCCCTTCGATGACGATCCAAACGGAAAAAGGTACAGTGTCTAAAAACTTTCCTTTTTCCAACACGCCATCATCTCAACTAATAGCCCTGTCGTTGAATCAACCTAACTTATGTCCGACAGCTACTTGGGCTCAAAGTGGCATTACTTTCGCCAACGAAACAATTATTGGAAGGCTCCCCATTGCTATTTTCATTAACAGAAATAATACAATTTATATTCCTAATCGTGACGAAAAGAATATTCTAGTCTGGGAAAATGGTGCAATGACACCAACCAAAAATATCTCTGGCAAATTATCATACCTTGCATCGGTGTTTGTTACAAATATAGGCGATATTTATATTACAAATGGTGGATCACGACGTCGAATTGATAAATGGATTTCAAGTTCAAACACGTTCGTCACTATTATGTATGTTAATACATCGTGTTTTAGTCTTTTTGTTGATATTGATGAGGATATCTATTGTTCATTGTATGAGGAGCATAAAGTTTTCAAAATACAAGTCAATGATAGCACTCCAACAGTCATCGCCGGTACCGGTAGCAGTGGTTCTTCTACAAGCGAACTCAATGGCCCAATGGGAATTTTCATTGACGCAAACTTTGACTTTTACGTCGCTGATTGTCACAATAATAGAATTCAATTTTATCGATTAGGCCAATCTCAAGCAAGCACAGTGTTGGGCAAAGGATCATCCGATTCTACATTTAGACTGAATTGTCCCAGTGGAATTGCAATTGACGCCAATAGATATCTGTTCGTTGTCGACAGTAGTAATCATCGTGTCGTGGGATCCGGACCTTATGGTTTCCGTTGTCTGATTGGATGTGATAAAAAACAGAGAGAATTGAAACATCCACGAGTACTTAGTTTTGATAGTTATGGAAACATATTTATCAGTGATCGAGATAATAATCGAACACAAAAATATCTGTTCTTGAACGAGTCATGCAACTTAGAGCAAACATCAATTTCCCCTATGACAAGCAAAATGGTTACCACAAGTATAACGAAAGATTTAAATAATGCAAGTCAATGCATTGTTCCTCCATCAATTCAATTAGCTCCTGAACTATCGAGTACTTCAGAGTATCAACGCAATGAAGAGATTTTTCTCAGTTCATCAGTCGAGTTTATTTGTAACAAACCATTTCTTATCTATTCAAAGTGGACAATCTCTAATTCTTCACAAGAATTGCAATTCAACGCAGGAGTAGTGGAAACAACTTACAACGATCTCTATATTCCACCAAATACATTACCTGTCGGTCTGTACCAAGTGAAATTAACAATTTCTACATCGATTTCTTCGACTTTAACATCACATCAATCAATTTACATTCAAATCAATCCATCAGGAATAATATTGAACCTCATTCCTCACGGCATTTCAATGATCACTCATGAGTATCGACGAGATCTGCAACTCAATCCAGGAAAGTATTCAATCGATCTTGATGGAAACACATTCAATGCTAATGTAGGTCAAATCTGCAAAGAAAAATCTAAACGATTTCGTTAAATATAGGCATGGACATACAAATACTCTTGCTGGAGTTCATCAAATATCACATGTTTGGTCAACAAAGGATGGAAATATGACGATCTAATCGAATCTTCGATAACAGTATTTAACCATGTGTTTCAAGTCAATCAAATATACGAATTTCACGTTGAAATAATCAATAAAAAAAACTCATCGGCAAAGTTCAGTAGCTTTTTAATTGTTAAAATCCAAGAAAAATCCTCTCCGTTCGTCACCATCAAGTAGATACATATTTTACTTTACTTTTTGATACACTCTGATTCTCTTTTCTAGTTGTGTTATACTCACATTATGTATTCCACAACCTTCTTATCAATTGATCAATCCTCGCAATCAACTGTTCCTGCATTCTCAATGTTTCGAAAATTGTTCGAATGTTCAATACATTCGTTGGAATATTTATTATTCGCTTTCTGATGTTCACAACTGGGTTTTGTTTAACCAAACAGATACTTATGAAAACGTCTCGATTTTCGGTAGAGAAACGAACCGGTTGACCATCACCAACGATGTTTTCAGTAAAAATCAACCTTTTGAATACTGGAAATATGAGGTTGTTTATTCATTCGACAACGCGATCAGTTCAAGTTCGTGTAATTTTCGAATTAATCAACCGCCTACACACGGCTGGTGCGAAATAACCCGTTTAAATGGAACAATAACAACATTGTTTAATATTTCCTGTTCGAACTGGACTGATGAACATACAATCAAAGACTATTCTCTATTTTGCTGGAAAACTGATCCGAACAAGTTAACAATCGTTGCTTTTTCAGTCGTTCCGAATTTTCAAGTTCGATTACCATCGGGTCACCTTCATTTGGTTATTCACATCCGAGATCGATTCGATTCGTATTCACGATTTAATCTCTCATCAATTCACATCTCATCAAATCTATCAGAATTCAATGACTTAATTAAAATATTCTCAACTACAAACATCAATACAAACAATCAAATCCTTTCGTCAATTTCACACGAACTTAACCAACTAAATGATGAAAATATTCACCAAGCTGTTTCAGGTACTTTTCTTCTTTCGTTTTCCACTCAACAAACAAACTTCCTCCTCTTCTAGATGGAATTCCATTTGTCAACATTGCTGTCTCACCTTTGAATAGCAAACATTTCGAGCAGATCATCTTCGCGTCCTATAATCTCGATGAATATACAAAAAACTTAAATTTCCAATCAAATCTTCGAGAAACTTTCATTCAATTCAACTATAATCTAACCATCGAATATATTCTAAGTCTACATTTACAATCATCAACGTTAGTTCATTTGACTCAATCTACCAATCAGTTAACTCAAACAACACTTCTCATTGCATTGAAGCAATGTGTGAAGTTATCCCAAACTCTACATTCAATTTCGACGAGAATTTCATATGAAGATGCGCGAACGGTGACAACAGAACTTCTTCAAAGTGTTGCGAATATTTTAACAGTGAGAATCAATCTTCCGAACGAAGAATACTCCTGTCTTTTCTGTCTCTAGGGCTTCCATGGTCCATTACAACAACGAATGGTCAATTTACATTGGAAGCTTTTTAATGTAGATGATCTAACAAGTCAAATCAATCGAATTATTTCGTATTTAACATCAACATTGATTATTCATTTGAATGCTCAACAAGATTTGATCATAGATACGCAACAGATTAGTTTTTCAATTCGATACGAACAGAGTCAAAAAAATTTTTTACGGGTTTGTTTGCTCGTTTTTCTTTGAGTACTTCGCATGAATATCCGTTTTAGTCGATCGTAATGCCATTAGCTCCAAATGGCAATCAATTGGAAACGAAGCTGTCACGATCAGTATCGAGGTCGTTTGTAGATTTCAATGGAAACGAAGTAATTACGATGCGAACTGCAAAAGAAATTATCATTCCTCGTGATCCAAACTTTATTTTACCACGATTTATCCTTCAAAACGTTTCCACAATAGAAAAATCATTTAACTTCAAACTGCTCTCGATTCAACCTTCGTACTCAATTCATTTTGACATCGATCCAATGAACTCCAATGCATCGTATCTGTTTATTTATCAATTTAGTCATCAACGAATCGACTGGAAACATTTAAGTGGACTGACTCTTCTTTGTCAACAAAGTAGAAAGTGAAAATTGACGTTGAAAACCTTTTTCCAACGATTTCAAAATTTAGACTTAACGAACGAACATTACTACTCATACTATATTGATAATCAACAAACTGTCGATCATCATTCTTTAATATTTGGCTTGAGAGAGCTAACTTCAGATGAAATCCTCATTTATTGTTCGAGTAAAACAAATCACCATCCTCCAATCGTCAACGAAGATAGCCATTTCACAACAAATTATCAACTACGCATTTATTCTTCATCTTGTTTTTATATGGATGATAACAATCAGTGGAAATCCGACGAATTAATTGTATGATATATTTCATATGTTCCAAATATAAACTGATCTTTCTTTTAGGTTGGACCGGAATCGAATTTATATCACACTCAATGTTTCGTGAGGAATAAGAACTAATTTATTCATCGAACAGAGCAAATGCTTGTTTATTGATATACAATAAATATTCAAATATATCTACAACCCTATAATCCGGGAACGTAATTAGTCGTAGCCATCACGTTAGCGACGGGGTCAATGACCGTTGAACTTAGAGGAGTGATAATCGATCCTGGCTGAATGAACGGATCTGTTGGATCAATGTTAGCTACACCGCCGAGCGGAGTTACAAGAGCACCCGGCACGACAGCAGGTCCGAGCACACCTGGAACGACAGCACCAGGCACAACGGGAGCGATGGGATTAATAACACCTAATAAATATAAGAGCAATAGAATATTTGTAAAGACACAAGACAGACACATACCTTGGTTCAAACCAATAGGAGCAGTGTATCCAGAACCATAGAGAGCCATTTGTTTTGTTGTGAATGTGTTTTAAAGTAGACGAATGTATAAATGCTATATCAACGGAGCTATCCACCGTGCATTTAAATACTACAGGATAGACGTCATCAGTTATGGATGACTACGCAGAATACAAGAGTAAAAAGTACAACTTTTCAAAGTATTTTTGAGTATATCAGTTATTGCATTCGCTATGCTTGATGACGTATAACCACTTTTCTACCTGTATCTATTTTTCATTATAAACACGTGATATTATATTTTGATAGCAAAATACACTTTGCCTCTCCGCGTATTCCATTAAGATTTATTGATAATTAATGTAAAAATACGACAAAAATAGCTTATGGCGTATTCTCACAGTACAAACAATTTTTTTACATTATATTTAGTAACAAATCAAAACTTAGTCACTTCGTCGTTTTTATGTGCAGAAGGAACGAACTCAGGAGCTTCCTCTTCTTCTTTTCGAGGTTTACTGCGAGGCCCGATATACTTTTTTCGCGCACCACCAGCGTACCAATACATCATTGCGAACATAAGAATGCCTACGAGAATAACAACTGCATAGTTCATAGTGCCGACTGTTACTGGTCTTGTTGTTGGCAGGAGAAAAATAATCGACACAAAGAATGTCCATACCACAGACCAGCAATTTATCAGCCACGAAAACTTTCCTAGATGCCATGGTCCAGGTCTGTAGCGCTCTGTGTTGTAACTAAAGATCATCTTACATATGATCGGTATGCAATAACTCCAATCGAGTGCAATTGTACAAACATTAAAGATAGCGGAAATCGCCGTATACGATCCGAGTCCAATCAGATTGATGGTAATAGCGAGAGTCACATTTAACCATACGGCTATTAAAGGAGTTTGCGTATATTTATTGATGCGAATCCAGATATTTGAAAACGGTAAAAGTTCATCACGTGAGAAAGCAAAGATTGTTCGCGCACATGCTTGTAGAGCGGCTATGCCACAGAAATTTAAAATGACAAAGGCAAAGAGCGTAAAAAGCATGCCGCCNCAAAATAATCATCGAATACAAAAGTTCTTCTTGCTAAACAATTCCTGTGGTAAGTAATGTGTGTTCTTTACTAGAAAAAGGAAGAAGTTCGACTAGGCTCAAAAGATCACTCAATAAAAGATAAGTATCGTTGAACTCTTATATATTTATTTTAGACGAGACAACGATTAATTCAAGGTTGACAAGTGAACTGACAACAATTGAAAGCCAGCAAGGTTTGTTTAAATAAATGTTTCAATTTGTAGCTTGTTGACATCGGTCGTTGTTGGATTAGATCAAATAAATTCACAAATAGTCCCTTCGACGTCGATCCGGATGGGAAAAGGTACATTGTCTAAAAATTTTCCTTTTCCCAACAGGTCACCATCTTAACTAATAGCGCTCTCATTGAATCAACCAAAGTTATGTCCAACAGCTACTTGGACTCAAAGTGGCATCACTTTCGCCAATAAAACAATTATCGGAACTCTCCCCATTGCTATTTTCATTAACAGAAATAACACAATTTACATTCCTAATCGTGACGAAAAGAATATTCTAGTCTGGGAAAATGATGCAATGACACCAACCAAAAATATCTCTGGCAATTTATCATATCTTGCATCAGTGTTTGTTACAAATATAGGTGACATCTATATTACGAATGGTGGATCACGACGTCGAATTGATAAATGGATTTCAAGTTCAAACACGTTCGTCACTATTATGTACGTTAATACATCGTGTTTTAGTCTTTTTGTTGATATTGATGAGGATATCTATTGTTCATTGTATGAAGAGCATAAAGTTTTAAAAATACAAGTCAATGATAGCACTCCAACAGTCATCGCCGGTACCGGTAACAGTGGTTCTTCTGCAAGAGAACTCAATGGCCCAATGGGAATTTTCGTTGACACAAACTTGGACTTTTACGTCGCTGATTGTCAAAATAATAGAATTCAATTTTACCAATTAGGACAATCTCAAGCAAGCACAGTGTTGGGCAAGGGATCATCCGATTCTAAATTTAGACTGAATTGTCCCAGTGGAATTGCAATTGACGCCAATAGATATCTGTTCGTTGTCGACAGCAGTAATCATCGTGTCATTGGATCCGGACCTTATGGTTTCCGTTGTCTAATTGGATGTGATAAAAAACACAAAGAATTGAAACATCCCCGATTACTTAGTTTTGATAGTTATGGAAACATATTTATCAATGATCGAGATAATAATCGGACACAAAAGTATGTGTTCTTGAACGAGTCTTGCAACTTAGAGCAAACAACAATTTCTTCTATGATAAGCAAAATGGTTACCACAAGTACAACAGATTTAAATAACGCAAGTGAATGCACCGTTCCTCCATCAATTCAATTGGCTCCTCAACTATCGAGTACTTTAGAATATCAACGCAATGAAGAGATTTTTCTCAGTTCATCAGTCGAGTTTATTTGTAACAAACCATTTCTTATCTATTCAAAATGGACAATCTCTAATTCTTTACAAGAATTTCAATTCAACTCAGCAGTAGTCGAAACAACTTACAACGATCTCTATATTCCACCAAATACATTACCTGTTGGTCTGTACCAAGTGAAATTAACAATTTCTACATCGATTTCTTCGGGTTTAACATCACATCAATCAATTTACATTCAAGTCAATCCATCAGGAATAATATTGAACCTCATTCCTCAAGGCATTTCAATGATCACTCATGAATATCGACAAGATCTGCAACTCAATCCAGGAAAGTATTCAATCGATCTTGATGGAAACATATTCAATGCTAATGTAGGTCAAATCTGCAAAGAAAAATCTAAACCATTTCGTTAAATAGGCATGGGCGTACAAATACTCTTGTTGGAGTTCATCAAATATCACATGTTTGGTTAACAAAGGATGGAAATATGATGATCTAATTGAGTCTTCAATAACCGTATTTAACCATGTGTTTCAAGTCAATCAAATATACGAATTTCACGTTGAAATAATCAATAAAAAAAACTCATCGGCGAAGTTCAGTAGCTTTTTAATTGTTAAAATCCAAGAAAAATCCTCTCCATTCGTCACCATCAAGTAGATACATATTTTACTTTACTTTTTGATACACTCTGATTCTCTTTTCTAGTTGTGTTATACTCACATTATGTATTGCACAACCTTCTTATCAATTGATCAATCCTCGCAATCAACTGTTCCTGCATTCTCAATGTTTCGAAAATTGTTCGCATGTTCAATACATTCGTTGGAATATTTATCACTCGCTTTCCGATGTTCACAACTGGGTTTTGTTCAACCAAACAGATACTTATGAAAACATCTCGATTTTTGGTAGAGAAACGAACCGGTTGACTATCACCAACGATGTTTTCAGTAAAAATCAACCTTTTGAATACTGGAAATATGAAGTTGTTTATTCATTCGACAACGCGATCAGTTCGAGTTCGTGTAATTTTCGAATTAATCAACCGCCTACACACGGCTGGTGTGAAATAACCCGTTTAAATGGAACAATAACAACATTGTTTAATATTTCCTGTTCGAACTGGACTGACGAACATTCAATCAAAGACTATTCTTTATTTTGCTGGAAAACTGATCCGAAAAAATTAACAATCGTTGCTTTTTCAGTCGTTCCGAATTTTCAAGTTCGATTACCATCGGGTTACCTTCATTTGGTTATTCACATTCGAGATCGATTCAATTCGTATTCACGATTTAATCTCTCGTCAATTCACATCTCATCAAATCTGTCAGAATTCAATGGCTTAATCAGAATATTGTCAACTACAAACATCAATACAAACAATCAAATCCTTTCGTCAATTTCACACGAACTTAACCAATTAAATGATGAAAATATTCATCAAGCTGTTTCAGGTACTTTTCTTCTTTCGTTTTCCACTGAACAAACAAACTTTCTCCTCTTCTAGATGGAATCCCATTTGTCAACATTGCTGTCTCACCTTTGAATAGCGAACATTTCGAGCAGATCATCTTCCCGTCCTCTAATCTCGATGAATATACAAAAAACTTAAATTTCCAATCAAATCTGCGAGAAACTTTCATTCAATTCAACTATAATCTAACCATCGAATACATTCTAAGTCTACATTTACAATCATCAACGTTAGCTCATTTGACTCAATCTACCAATCAGTTAACTCGAACAACACTTCTCATTGCATTGAAGCAATGTTTGAAGTTATCCCAAACTCTACATTCAATTTCGACGAGAATTTCCTATGAAGATGCGCGAACGGTGACAACAGAACTTCTTCAAAGTGTTGCGAATATTTTAACAGTGAGAATCAATCTTCCGAACGAAGAATACTCCTGGTTTTTTTGTCTCTAGGGCTTTCATGGTCCATTACAACAACGAATGGTCAGTTTACATTCAAAGCTTTTTTATGTAGATGACCTAACGAATCAAGTCAATCGAATTATTTCGTATCTAACATCAACATTAATTATTCATTTGAATGCTCAGCAAGACTTCATCATAGACACGCAACAGATTAGTTTTTCAATTCGATTCGAACAGAGTCAAAAATATTTTTTACGGGTTTGTTTGTTCGTTTTTCTTTGACTACTTCACATGAATCTCCGTTTTAGTCGATCGTAATGCCATTAGCTCCAAATGGCAATCAATTGGAAACAAAGCTGTCTCGATCAGTATCGAGTTCATTTGTAGATTTCAATGGAAACCAAGTAATTTCGATGAGAACTGCAAAAGAAATTATCATTCCTCGTGACCCTAACTTCATTTTACCACGGTTTGTCCTTCAAAACGTTTCCACAATAGAAAAATCATTTAACTTCAAACTGATCTCGATTCAATCTTCGTACTCAATTCATTTTGACATCGATCCAATGAACTCCAATGCATCGTATCTGTTTATTTATCAATTTAGTCATCAACGAATCGATTGGAAACATTTAAGTGGACTGACTCTTCTTTGTCAACAAAGTAGAAATAGAAAATTGAGGTTGAAAATCTTTTCTCGACGATTTCGAAATTTAGACTTAACGAGCGAACATTATTACTCATATTATATTGATAATCAACAAACTGCCAACCATCATTCTTTAATATTTGGTTTGAGAGAGCTAACTCCAGATGAAATCGTCATTTATTGTTCGAGTAAAACAAATCATCATCCTCCAATCGTCAACGAAGACAGTCATTTTACAACAAATTATCAACTACGCATTTATTCTTCATCTTGTTTTTATATGGATGATACCAATCAATGGAAATCCGACGAATTAGTTGTATGATATATTTCATATGTTCCAAGTATAAGCTGATATGTCTTTTAGGTTGGACCGAAGTCGAATTTATATCACACTCAATGTCTCGTGAGGAACAAGAACTAATTTATTTATCGAAAAGAGCAAATGCTTGTTTATTTGTATACAATAAATATTCAAACATATCTACAATCCTATAGTCCGGGAACGTAATTAGTCGTAGTCATCACGTGAGCAGTGGGGTCAATGATTGTTGAACTTAGAGGAGTGATAATCGATCCTGGCTGAATGAACGGATCTGTTGGATCAATGTTAGCTACACCGCCGAGCGGAGTTACAAGAGCACCCGGCACGACAGCAGGTCCAAGCACGCCTGGAACAACAGCACCAGGCACAACGGGAGCGATGGGATTAATAACACCTAATAAATATAAGAGCAGTAGAATATTTGTAAAGACACAAGACAGACACATACCTTGGTTCAAACCAATAGGAGCAGTGTATCCAGAACCATAGAGAGCCATTTGTTTTGTTGTGAATGTGTTTTAAAGTAGACGAATGTATAAATGCTATATCAACTGAGCTATCCACCATGCATTTAAATACTACGCGATAGACGTCATCAGTTATGGATGATTACGCAGAATACAAGAGTAAAAAGTACAATTTTTCAAAGTATTTTTGAGTATATCACTTATTACATTCACTATACTTGATGACGTATAACCACTTTTCTACCTATATCTATTTTTCATTATAAACACGTGATATTATATTTTGATAGTCAAATACACTTTTTTCCTGTGCGTATTCTATTAAGATTTATTGATAATTAATGTAAAAATACGACAAAAATAGCTTATGGCGTATTCTCACAATACAAACAATTTTTTTTACATTATATCCAGTAATAAATCAAAACTTAGTCACTTCGTCGTTTTTATGTACAGAAGGAACGAACTCAGGAGCCTCCTCTTCTTCTTTTCGAGGTTTACTGCGAGGTCCGATGTACTTTCTTTGCGCACCACCAACGTACCAGTACATCATTGCGAACATAAGAATGCCTACGAGAATAACGACTGCATAGTTCATAGTACCGGCTGTTACTGGTCTTGTTGTTGGCAGGAGAAAAATAATCGACACAAAGAATGTCCATACCACTGACCAACAATTTATCAGCCACGAAAACTTTCCTAGATGCCATGGTCCAGGTCTATAGCGTTCCGTGTTGTAACTAAAGAGCATCTTACATATGATCGGTATGCAATAACTCCAATCAAGTGCAATTGTACAAACATTGAAGATTGCAGAAATCGCCGTATAAGATCCGAGTCCAATCAGATTGATGGTAATAGCGAGAGTCACATTTAACCATACGGCTATTAAAGGAGTTTGCGTATATTTATTGATGCGAATCCAGATATTTGAAAACGGTAAAAGTTCATCACGTGAGAAAGCAAAGATTGTTCGCGCACATGCTTGTAGAGCGGCTATGCCACAGAAATTTAAAATGACAAAGGCAAAGAGCGTAAAAAGCATGCCGCCTCCTTCACCAAAAACATTATAGAAAATTTGAGTGAATGGTTGACCTGTAGGCGATGCTAGCAGATCATTAATGTCGCCCATAGTGAAGGCAAGAACGATGTTGAAGAGAAAACCAAGAACGTATGTGAGAAAGAGAGCAGAAGCAATGGCTTGTGGAGCACGTACAGCGGCATTCTGAATCTCTTCAGCGATATGCGCTGTAGCATCGTAATCTGTCATTGCCCATGCTACAGGAAGAAAACCAAACAGAAATGAAAATCCTGTTGGATTCCAGCCACTATGTGATTGAACATCGACAAATACGTATTTCGCCGAATGCTTTTCTTTCTGACACACCAGAAGAACGATACTTGCCGATATTAACACACAGAGGTGAAAGACAGCGTACCATCTTGTCACTCGATCGAGCCATTTCGTACTAAGACTATTAATAAAACCATGCAAGATGATGATGGCAGCCATGACGCCAACAGTATGTCCAGCAGTTGGTTGATAACGAAATTCTGTAGCCATACTAACTGCTGCAAGTAGAAGTTGAGAACATCCATAGTCTGTCGACGCGACTCCGGCGACTTGACCAAGAAGATTCAACCAGCCGCAGATCCACGATGTCAGCGGTATGTATTTTACTGGCAGAAGATGTTTCAAGGTAAAGTAGAGACCGCCAGATGTTGGATAGGCAGAAACGAGTTCAGCAACGCTCAATGCAATGCACATACAGCCGAAACCAGCGATTAGCCAACACCAAACAAGTGCTGGTGCACCACCTGCCTGCAGACCATAGATAAAAGTCGTTGCAATAGTAGCGTACAGACCCGAAATAGAAAAGGCAAACGAAAATGACGCGAGACGACCGAATTCACGTTTCAGAACTGGTTCATAACCGAGTTCAATGATTCGTTGATCACTTTCGTCAGATGAATTATCAATAGTCATCTATTTGTAACTGATATGAAGTGATTTTTGCTCTTTATTTTTCTTTTTGCACCATATAGTGCAATGTGTTCAGCATCATTTTTTCACTTTTTGTTTTTACATACGTATGAATGAAATCATCCGTTACGACAGAATGAAAAAAGAAACAGAAATAAAACATTTTGATGTATACTAATGCGTACAGAACGAACGATAGAAAGCGTGTGCATATATTTAAATCGATGTTCCGCTTCTTCGGTTTGAAATATTATCTATTGAACTTCGATTATCTTATAGATTTTATACGTAACAGTCTTTCTCTTTCTTCCATATCACAGCTTAGTTCGACACTAAAATGCTGTTATTTATTTGTATGTAATCAAATAGTCTGCATATGCTTGAGCGTCGTGATAAGTCACATAGATGTGCTTTCCATCGGTAGTTGAGTCAAATCCAACAGGTCGAGTTTTCATCGATTTATTTCCTTGAGTCGTTTTTCCAACAAGAACGCGAGCAACAAACACGCATCTTTCTCCTCGGGTATTGCGAGTTGCGTAACCATGACTGTAAGCCGCATCCGATGAAAAATAAACACCCCAACCAAATAATGTTCCTGAAATATATATATCAACAATCACGTATGTCGAATATGAAAGATAGAAAGAAAGTACCATTGATGCCAGCATAACTTCGATTGAAACAATCTTGCATAATTGATTTGGCTGCTGCTTCTGGACACCCATGATACAGGATCTTTTCGGTATCTTCATTGAGTCGGCTTTTGAAATCTTTCCGATGTGCCTCATACTGTGTACGCCATCGTTCATTGTTAATGCGTTCAAGTTTAACAATTTCAGTGTATTTTCCTTTCATTTTTTTATCGAACTCATTAATAATCGACTGATATTCTTTAGTACCTTTCGAAACAAGACATCTCAATTGCCCACCATCAGACCTTTGCCTTTGATGCCCATTGTCTGAAGAATCAGATGAGAATAACTGTTTACAAAATTCATCATAAGTATTTTGTTGGTCAGGTTCAATAATGAATTTAACCTTCCATGCTAGGTCTCTTTGTTGAATATGCTGTTTCATTTCTCTGATCATCGTTTTAACAACAACTTTTAGCGAACAAGCATGTCCTCCGCAACCAATAGCTGGAAAAGCAATTGAAGTGAAAGTATTCGCATGAACATTTTGCACAACGTTATACATGAGATCAACGATGGATTGTCGAAGAAGTTTGTCATCACTATTTGGTTGCCATTTGAGAAAAAATATTCGTTTACATGGTAGATGACCGGCAGGAGTCGAGATAATCAATGAAGTTGGATTTTTTAAACGTTCTTTATTGTAAACATCGTTAGCCTGATCTCCAGCTGCGTGTAGCAACGCTTGTCGAAGTTTGTCCGATGACAAAGTTCCAACAATGACATCTACCTAAAATTGAACGATATATATGTATGACACTTTCGACACAATGTAAAAGGAAATTACTCACTGATTGTTGTTTAATATCTCCTTTTTCAACTTCAATCAATCCTCTACCAATAGTTAGAGACATCGGATTTGTCGATGAAGTTGGGTTGGATGTTTTCACCTAGATTGAAAGAAGTGTGATATAGACGCAGATTTGATTCGAGTGTTAATACTATACTTGAGAACCAGCTGCACTCTTAGATTTCGGCGATGCCGCGCACGTTGCAGTCGCAAAGTCAATTCGGAAGTAGAAAACTCCACATTGCGTTAGAGTTGAAATATTTTCGTATATATCCCACCAAACAACAAAATACGTTATTAGACAAACAGCGACACTATATATGAAACTCACGACCGAAGTTAGATTTGCAGCAATGGCGACTGAATAGAATGTAACGGTGACACACAGAAAAAGAATGAATAATGATAAAATTAGTCGAAGGCGCAATATCCTACGAAAATGCTTGGATCACCTTCGAGCGTTGAGATGTGGATGGAACACGCTTCGCATTAGTTTTGTTGAATATACTCCAGAAATCTGGATGCGAAAATAAAATATGCAGTTGAATAATTACGAAGCATAGAAATATTTTTTGCCCGAAACGAATCACATTTGATGGTGTCATTTGCAGAAGCGTCGTGTTAATCAAAATGAATAGGGATATATCAATAATTATGACTAAGTATTTTGTTTGTTGATGTTTGCATTTCTTATGCATGATATGGAAACTAAAGGTCAAGCGAATAAGAGTAAGAATGAGAGAAAGATGAACAAGCTTCGATGGACTTTTCGTGCTGTATTGATATGTAGATAATAGAGTGACGAGATCAATTAGGAGTGGGATCAATTCAACAAACTTTTGAAATGCGAAGTAAGCTACATGTGAACCGTGCTGACTTTTAACGGCTAAGACCGTTATAAGTATGATAAGAGAAGAAATGAATAGTAAACGTTGAAGTATTCCATCGATGGTAATCGGTAATTCAGTGAAGAATGTTATCGATGGAGAGTAATAAAATACATCCAGTAAAATTGTAATGATAAAACCAAATGTTAGTATACTCGTTATTGCTTTGTGTGTGTCTAGTTTTCGCGAGTTATGAATGTTCACATGCATCATATTTTGAATTTAATCACACGAAATGTAGCTGCTGTTTTTATGACAAACACTTTTTATCTGAGAATATGTCGTATTTCTTTCTATGTCGTCATCATCAACACGTGAAAGTCGACGATGAAGATTTTATTGGGTAAATTTGACTACTGCCGGATAAAACACGATTGTTTTCGTTCGGCTGTCAAGAAGAGAAAAAGAAATGTGCGTCGAAGCAGGTAAACATATTTGTAGTGCTGCTCGAATAAATTGACTTCAGTAAGTCGGTTTTTTCCTATTTCATTTTAGTAAGTATTAAGAGAAAGAGTCAAACAAAATCGAAGAGAATCTATATGATTTGCCAGCGAATAATCATGGCGAACTAGGAAAATTCTATTGCTTTTGCTTTTTGATCGACGGCTAAATAAAGTCTATTGGAGAATTCGTTTGATGGACTTTGAGCCTCATGAAACTACGATGTTGCTTTTCATCACTTGTGTCGCTTTGATTGAATTGAGCGCATAATTATGTTTCAATCGACGCGTAACTTATAGCAATGGGAACTAGTTCTGTTAATATTGCACTTTAATCTATGACACTATACCAACACTAACTCATCTGTTTTAATAAGTCATTCCATGAATTAGGCTGATTTCAGTACACATTCACTGCTGAAAATTTTCATAAAATACTTCATTTAGTGCGATGGAAGATATGGTAATTAATAGACTACACAAGCAAAATTATACTTTAGAGTCATTGCCAAACGAACTCTTATTTGCAATCAGTTCTTATCTGGATTCAGCGCATCTAATCCAAGCATTTCATGATCTCAACTATCGATTTAATCTGATAATCTATCAATCCGTTCGTCATTTCACGATTTCGAAAGATACTTCTGGAAACGTCGTGGATACATACGATTCGAATATAAAAAATGTCATCGAGCAGATATTTATTGACACGGAGATGTGTCCATATACTTTCTTATCTATTAATTCATGCATCAATCTACGATCCATAATACTTCGTTGCGCCGATTTAGCGATTATTGATCTCACCGTCAACTATTGTTTAGCAGATGATGATATTCATTCATGTTTGGATGTACTTAACGTTTGTAATATTCTTCCTGCTAATTGGCTTAATAGCAACCGGTTTCGTGATCATAAGCTGGACAGATTAGTCTGTTTAGCCATGACGCGTTTGTGCCTTGAGCGCTGTTCCGAACAAGTCCTGCATTTGCTTTGTAATCTCATTCCAAATCTAACCTATTTGAAAATCAAGCAACTCTCCACTGTCGATGATCGTTCGTATTATTGTTTTGAGTTACCGTTTTCACATCAACACGTGTCTGTCTTAAAGCAGTTACATATCGCTACGGGTATGAATCGTTTGGATGATATACGGTCAATCGAAAGGTTGATCGATACTTATAAATCATCGCTTGAGTTTTGTTCTCTGAATATTTCTCTAAATGAACCAATAAGTGGTTCCTATTTGCAACAAAATATATTTGAGCCATGTCAAAATCTGAATAAATTCACATTTGCTTTCAACTATTGGCAAGATGACATCGAAGAAGCTGATGTACTATATCAGTTTCAAAGTGATTGGTGGTTAGATACTCAGCGTCCACCAGTGCTCATTTTCTGTGGCAATCTACGCGAAGTCTTCATCGTTTCTATGCCTTGCCATTTGTGTGACTATCTGTGGCTTCCAACTGATCCTCGAGATTGGTTATTGAATAAGGGTGACTTCGATTCACCCGATGTTTGTTTTACGAAACAAACACACATACGATTTATCAATCATCACCGTCAACCGATCACACTCGAACTAGTGAATATCATTGGCCGTGTATTTCAAGCGCCAAAACAGCAATTGTCACTGCTACGTTGGAACTTCGTTTCCCAAAATTTACTCTTTGAGCAGGTTGGTTTTCTTATCATCTACTAACTTTCATTCTTCAAGCGCATATGTAGTTAATGACTACAAGCTCGACGGATCCGGTGTTACCTTTGGTTTACTTCCTCGATTTGAATTCTTGTGGCGCTGATGAATTAGACGCAAAGACGCTCATCATCTGGCTAATGTTAGCATCCAATGTACGAATGATCAACGTATGTCAAGGAACTCCCAGTGGGAAAATACGTTTAATCAATCAACTGAAAATGTTACTTGACAGAGACAAACGATTAAAATCACTTGCAGATGCCATCGAAGAAATTCATGTTTTCTACAATTTTGACTCTCTTAGTTATGCCACGAAACAGCATATCTGTCAAATGTGTTCCGAAGTCTTCCAAAAAGCCGTTATTCACTGTTAGTATCATATCAATGTAGTCACTTCCTGCTAGTTTTATTACGGGAGTTTTAGCGTCACATTTCTGAATAGTACTGTTGTTTTTGCAGAAAACCTGCGGACGAACGATTTTCTCCATTTTATAAATAAAAAATTGATAAAACGAATTGCACTAGCTATTTTGTACTCATTCATATGGCCTTGACTCTTTTTTTCCACAAACGGTCGTATTTCGGACAGAAATCATTCTTTTCATTCTTATCATAATTCATTGGATATTAAAACATTGTTATGTTATTTCAATGTTTGAAGAAGTTTATCCTTGAATCTTAAAAAGATAAAAACTTGCAAATAAGTTTAACATTGAATTTGTATCTGTCGTCTTTAAAACACAACGAGAGAAAAAAAACGTTAATGGATCCTACGAAAGCCGAACAATTACCAGATGAACTCTGGTTGATGATATTCCATTACTTAGAAATCATTGATGTCCTGTTGACTTTCAAGGTTTTGAATCAACGTTTTCAACAAATGATCAAACCTTATTACAATCACATTGATCTAGCCGACGCCTCGTCGAAACAATTCAATGCATTCATTAATGAAATTCTTTTATCCAAAGAAAATCACCCAATTCGCTCACTAACATTAAAAAACAGTGGACAATTCAAGAAAATATTCTATTCAAAAGAACACACCTTTACTCGTCTTCAACACATCGAAGCATTGCAATTAACCATTGATCATTGGTTTCATGAACACGATTTGCTTAACATTACACTACCTCATCTATCGCATCTATCAAATCTAACCAGTCTTCATCTGAACATCTTACCAGACACTTACATGAAAGATTCATTTCGTCCGGTCTTCGAGTACTTCTCATTCCCATCAACATTAGTCAAGCTGACCATCTTAGGCTTTTGGAAACAAATGATGAAAGGTTACACGACCTTAAACTGGTTCAGATTACCATCGAATATCAGATCGTTTGCATTCGCGATTGATAATTTGAAAACAATCTATAAGACTAATTTTCTACAAGAGGCAAATAACCATATCGAGGATTTAAAAATCGCCTTCAAAGAAATGAATGATTTCGACGCGAAATATTCGAACTTGAACTTTTCAACTTCGTTAGTATCGTTACATTTAGAAATGCCATTAATCACTATGGAATTTCTACCCAGACTGTTGAATTTATTTTCCAAGGAAATAAAATCGTTGATTCTGATTCTTCGCGTATCGTTCGAAGTTGATTTGAATTTAATCATATCGATTAAAGATCTGTTCCCATCACTGGAAATTTTTCAATATGTCATTTATTCGCCAAATCAAATCATAACAAATACTGCGGACCATATCGTCTCACCATTTCACGATATAAACAAGTTCGCTTGGAAAAGGTACATCAACAATCTGAACTATGATAACCTCTCAACGGATTTCATCAAATTACACAAATTGACATACGGATTATCTTCGGAATCATTCGATTTGACTCATGACAACATTAATACCTTAAATCAATTGATTGTTTTACTACCAAACTTGAAAGCTTTGAAATTAAACGGAAATAATTCGCAAACGATCATCGAAGTCCTGAAATTACTTTGTACGAAACGACTGACAAAATTTCATTTCAACACTTCGAAATTTCACCATTCATTTCTTATTGATCTAGCACAAATCATTCCGCATGTTCGAGAACTTCGTTTAGAAGACATACATTTCAGTAAATATCATGCAGACTATTCCATAAATCGAAAAATCTATCGAAAAGTTCTCACAGCAACAGTAGCAATCGAACACGTCCAACGTTATTACAAAGAACTCATGGACTTATATCTGTACATGTTACCATTCAATTACACCGATAAGGAAATGTGTAAAGCGAATCAACAGCTACAAGAATGGCTGAATGGCGCGAAACAACAAGATGGATTCTATTCGATTTATACAATTCACCAAAACTACTATCAATCTTTTCTGTCGAACTATGATTCGGATATTTATCAAAAAAGTTTCCCCTATTGTCTTTATGTTTCACCTTGATATAAAAAAAGAGTGTTCTTGTTTCTTTTTAAGATATCCATTGTTGAATTAATGCAACTATTTGTTGACGAGCCTTAATAACACTTTCAGGGTCGTCCGGATTTGCTGCACGCAAATCGAGATGATGAGCGCCACCATTGATCAAAATCGCTGGAAGACTAGAAGTAATGCTTGAGTTGATGCCACCAGCTGACCATGGATCGAGATTTCCGTTGGTGAAAATAACATTCGAATAAGAACGAAGATCGGTTATATTTTTGCCTCCAAATTCAACGAAAGACCATTCAAGTCGTGGCTTAACCTTCCACTGAGCAAAACAATATTCTGAAAACGCTTGGAAATTCCATGGTTGAATTTCGAACATATCAGTAATTCCATTCGAACAAATGGGCATTACAAATTCAGTACACGATTGATACGACCATCCAAGCACACCTAGGCTTCGTGTACCTTCCGAACCAATATCCAAGCACTGCGTATGACCAGTGTAGTTAAAAAAGACATTCACCCCTTTGACGACTCGCTTGACAATTTCTTCATCGGTACTGAGAGTTTTGCTTGATGTGGAAGTGACATTAGCACAAAATATTCGGATAGGAAACGCTGGTAGATCAGCCAAGAAGGATGTTGGATATGGGTAATCTACCATAGCTAGATTGGCATACATGTCAAATAGCCAATTTTTTAAATCTGAAATTGATTTTAATGGATGACAAAGTTTAAATAACTTGGAAAGACGTTCTCGGCCACCGGGAAGTAGTCCAATGCGATCGATAGCGTGCCATGATGAACGAATTATATCGACACATTGTGAACTTTCGCTTAGAAAATCTTCTGTCACAATCTAAATGAAATCGGGTGAGTTCTTGCTTTGAGGAAAGAAGAATTTACACGAGTGAACGATTCACAGGGTGTTGCCATTTGAAGAATAGGAGCTGAAGCTGCATGAGCGCCAACAACTATATGAGAATATTTCATTCGAAAATAGGCGGCTAGCATCCCACCATAGGATCCACCGAAAGCAATGACTGGACTTTGTTCCGTGCCCGCAACCGAAGTTCGAATATGATCAAGTAAATATGCATAATCAGCTAATGCTTGTTCACTTGTTAGATATCTCACTAAAGAAAAAGCGAATTGTAAGACAAATTTTAATAGTGTAATCACTATATTCCGGGTTCGAGTACGATTGATTTCCATATGGTAGAGATTGACCATAATAACGATGTTCCGCAAAGACAACCATTGCATGAAATTTCGGCGCAATATCCCACACTAAATCGACCAAATGTGTATATTAACAGTTATCGAAAGCTAACGTACTGAAACCAGTATTGCCACAGAACAGATCAATGTCACCTAGGAATAGCGAATACTTAAAATTAAGCAAGTTATTCGATCAGAAGCTAAAAGGAAACCTTCGTTGCCAGTATAGAAAAAAATGGGCTGACCATGTTGCCAATAGTCCTTATTTAGTATATATCGTTGTGTGAATGTATCCGTATTGAAAAAACCAAAATGATCAACGTTTTGCAATATAGTTTGAAATTGTTGACAACGATCATCATCACAACGATGGTTCGAGTGCGATTTTAACCATTGAAACGATAATGAATAACACAACGAAGCTTGGCACATGCAAATAATCATGAAACATAATTTTGTCAATGCATCGACCATTGTGGACATTTCTCGAAGTGAAAAGAAAAAACGGCAAATGGTTGAATATAAGTTATCTATGACACAGGTAGGATCATATGTGCGTATAGATAAAGACAAGAATACCATCTTCAAAAATTCATCATATATGTAGGTGATTGACCATGTTCAGGGTAAAATTCTATACACATCGTGATATGATAGAAACCGATAGAATTCATTTTTGTACGCAACACTTTATCACTTCGACCTATGAATTCGTACACTTGATTTTTTCATGACTAAAAAAGAAATTCAAACAGAACAGAAGTTTGAGTATAGTCACGTTCTACAGTATGGATGTAATTCTTACTTGATTATTCTTCCTTTCACTTCTATCAGTCAGAATCCAGTGGTTTTTATGGTAAAACGATGAAATGCTTGGATAAAAAATACATGAAAAGAAAATCGTGGTACGAAATTCGTCGTTTTAATATAGCTTGGATATTAACGTGCAGACTATATTCGTATCGCATGCTCCATGTATATTCAACTTACTGTTCTCATACACATACACAATTGTAACTCATGGTCGATGTATATTTTTTTGTTCTGTATAAACGATAGCTTTTTTGATTTATGTCGAATGTTTGCGTATCGATCTTACTCTGTTTTTGTTCGATCTTGCATCAGCTTAGAACATTACTATTTAGAATATCTAATCGAAACATACTGTACAATCATCTTTTTGTCTGTGCTTTTTAAAATTATTGTATGATATCCAGTTGAGTGCAAAAAGCACATTTACACTAGAGAGATAAGAAGATAACAGGTAAGATAGTTACAACTATTCAAATCTAACAGAGCTTAGGACTTATCACATCATATTACTATGAGACCTTTTTCTTTTTCTTTTAAGTTGAATCTCTGACAATGAAATCTTCGTCCTATTTCATTTCTTTAATCGTAATAGTGGGACTGATCATTTTCGTTATATATACCATTAGAAGTGGTCCACGTGATACTGCCATCCAATCAAATGGATCCGGACGATCAGATGTCTTTCAGATGCGAAATACAACTGAATCCATACTATTCAATACAACAAGTATCACAACAATCAACTTCACTTCATTTGATTCAAGGCATCTTCGACATTTACATCCGCAAATCTGGGCTTGTCCATCACCCAATTTTCAAGGCAAACCTGGTTATTTTTCACAATCGGGCGAAGATAAAGCATTAGAAAAGATGTTTCTCGAAAATACACGTACCAGACAAAATCCAGGCATATTCGTGGAACTTGGTGCTTTGGATGGTATTACCTATAGTAATACTCTATTTTTTGAACGAATGTTTGATTGGCGCGGAGTATTAATTGAAGCTCAGCCTGGAAACGCAAGAAAACTACTTCGAGGCAATCGAAAAAATACCGTGAAGATCCCATTTGGAATTTGTTCGCTTCCACAAACAGAAATTCAAATGTTGGTAATGTTCTTTTCTTATTATGACAGAACAGAGATAAATACATCTGTGTTCAGGGTGAAGATGGTGCAGTTGCTGGCGATATAGCAACCATGGACGAATCTTTTAGAAAAGCATGGCATAAAAATACCAAGAAGATACAACGAGTGGCATGTGCTCCAATCGGTACTTATCTATCAGCTATTGGAATTACCCATATTGATTTTTTCAGTCTTGATGTCGAAGGTGCTGAATTTACAGTTCTTTTAACTATGAATTGGAATATTCAAGTACATTATCTCCTCGTAGAAAATAACTCAAAAATGCCTAATATTACAGCTTTGCTGAAGAATCATGGATTTCGAATACAAGAATTTCACCATTGTACTCCTGGATCTGATTGTGCTAGTAATACTTTGTTTGTGAACGATAATTACAAAAAGCCAAATTTCTTATCCGTGTGTATATCAAATATATACCCTGACATGGCATCAAAAGGACTGATCTATTGGGATAAATTCTATCTTGTTGTTATGTGTTGGTTTTACTTGACAATAAATCTTAGAAAATAAATCGATCTAATGATCACAATGGTCGTACACGTTGCCTGCTTATCGAGGTTTCACGACCATTATCTATTTTGTAGATCGAACTATGTTATTCTACTGCGTCTACGATGACAAAACAATGAAATTTGTTGATTCGTCATCCTTCTCTATTTTTGACGATTTTTCTATTTCGACAGAAGCTTGTTCCCTGCCGTCGTACGATCGAGATATCTCTCTCCCTTTCTTTTCTGTTCGCACAAACACAAGTATATAAACACATCTGATTTTCTCCTTTTACACAACAAATCAATCATGTCATCGAACTGGATAACACAACTTTTACTGATCTTATGTTTACAAATGGCTGTTATTGCTATCGCGCGTATGTTGATACATGTATAAATAACAAAGCATTTTGCCTTTGTTTTTTTTCTATAAGGTAATGACCCAACAAATTACGTTGAGGAAACAATCGAAGCTAAGGATACACATGAAAAAAAGCCAGTTCTCAAAAAGACGAGGAATAATTTTGATGTTTCCGCCTACTATCGTTTGACAAATGCGTTCAAAGGTTCTAGACTAGCATTGGATGTCGACGAGCAAACTAATAATTATGATTTGAAGTTAAATCCAATTTCGGACAGGGAATCACAGCATTGGCATTTTGTTCCTTTGGGTAACGGAGTTTACAGTCTACGAACACGTTCGTTTGGTGATGAATATTCTCTTGATATTATCAACGACGGAAAAAATACGATACCACATCTCGCCAAAACCGGCCAATATACAGGACAGTTTTGGCATTTGGTTCGTCGCAGTGATGGAACATACAACATGTGGAATGACTTTACAACACAAGATAAGCTGTTAGGTGTTATTCCATCGTCGGGAGTTGCCAAGATGCTCCCAAAAGCTGCTTCTGAAGCTAAACAGCGTTGGCGATTCGTTAAGATCGAATAAATAATTATTGTGTATTAAAATTTATTTTCTATAAATACTTGTCTCACTATCTGTTCTTCTGAAATAAAAAATGATGATAATTTGAATATATCGTATGTTTTGTGATGAATCAGACTGTTTTATTTAGCGATAGGAATTTTATTAGTGGAAATTCGCGAGTTGAACCAATATTTGCCATTGTCAATAAGCGATTCAACACAAATGGTGACTCACCGATAAAGAACACGTGTATTTATGAAGGAGCTCACCTTTCAATATAATTTTCTCCTTTGTAGGCAACACTGGTAAATTGTTGTATTACAGAATGAGAAAAAAGAACGTTTGCATTCGTGTTGTGTTATTGATTTTACTGTTTGTGATTGTATTTCTATACATACAGTGGCACTATAGTGAACATTACCAGCAACGAAATAGAGGATCACTTGGAAGATTCACTCTTCGAAAAATTCAAAATGAATCGAAGCAGCGGACTTACAGCAGTAATGATTATGGTCTATGGTTGATAAAAACCAATTCTATATGACTTTTGCTTCTATATTAGTTTTCATTAGATCCCTGAAAGTACAAGAATCACCATGACACGCGATTTTTTAAAATTGTGTCTTGTAAAATATTTGATGAAATAAGAATCAGAGTAACTGGTGTCAATGAGAAATTACGACAGATGGCATACGAGAATAATAATATATATGTATGCATACTGGTCAAATGACACTGTATTACAAAGATGGAATTGTACTTGTATTTTTTCTCATTTCTTCACTTTTATCAGTGTGGCCAGGGTGCGCAACCATATTTTCCACCACAGATCCTCTTTTTCGCCAATGAAAACACATTGTATGCTATTGATGAAGTGAATCAACGCGCTTACAAATCCGCCTCTCCTAGTATTAAGCAATCTGAAACAGCCTATGCATTGAAAAACTTTCCGTATGCAATTCCTGATTCACCACAATCGAAACATTATGTACAATTATTAGAAGGCTTTCCCAATATCGGTTGTATTTATGGAACATATTGGGAACACGGTGGAAGTACGTTCAATGCATTTCCTTCACATTGGCAAAATGTAACATCGTTCGAAATAAAAAATTTCATTGACTTTAAATATCCAATGATACACTCAACAAATTCGTCTGTCTACGAAGATTACTGGTATTCCAATCAAACATGTCATCCAGAAGGTCCTGATGACGTCCCATGTGAGGAGATTTACTTTCGAAAAAATACCGATATTCCAGTGCGATTTACACAAGTTATTGAAACACCGTGGGAAGTTCGACAATTTACCACCGAATATTTAGTTATCTCAGTTGGTGAACCAGATGATAAATATTTCAAATCTATACCTAAAGATTGGGCAGTGACATGTCGAGACGTGATGCTCGGAGTTTCTTATCAACCTCAAACCGTGAAAATCAATCTGAACGAAAGCGTCAACATAGAAGTATGGCTTCCGACACCTCCACATCGAATTAATGGAAGCGATATTGCTTCTATCCGATGGAAAGCAGACGAATGTTCAAATTGTTTGACTTGGATGCCGAACGAAATGACTTTTACGGAAGAAAATTTCCAAGAACGACAAACATTGAAAATTACTCGTTTAAAAAAGTCTCCAACATTAAAACTTGTTCCCATAATTAATGGCGGTGGTTTCGATCTTGTGCCAGTAAAGAACTATACTATTGCAATTGAATAAAACTTCTGTTATTCAGCCGAATGAACTGTATATGGTAAAAAAAATGTCTTGCAGCACTTAAAAAGTTCAGATTCCGAGGCCATTGTGCATTTACGGTATGATTTCCATACACTAGAGCTACATTATTATCACCATGGCATAAGCGGAATGAGAACTGTTGACATGTTTTTATTCGAAATCAAATCACCGCTATGTTAACTGCTTTCCACTTATTGTCCTCTTCAATAAGATTGAATTCCACGTTTGTATTCGAATATGAAAACGGATGACGACTTGAGATATTCGATGAATTAACATACATGTATCTATCAAGACCAATGCACTCGATGAATCCTAAACGATGGTGTTGCTTATCTAACCATTTCACAGTTCCGTAAAGTTTTCTTCTGTTATGAATATCTGAAGGATGAACGAGACAAGTATACGCCTGATTTCTCTCCAATGCAGCGAAACTTCGACAATCGAAACGATAGTTCGGGTCCATTTTCAGCCACAGATGATTAATGTATGCATTGTCAATAACTACTTGCAACAGCTTTTCTTCAAATTTACTTAATTGTCGATTGTCGTTCATCGTATTCAAAGTTCTAGAAAAATATCTCCAGGTGCCATGTAAATATGAGAATCCACCTCCATTAAATATTGCGTTTCGCGTCTTCCAGATTTTGTAAATAAAATAAAATAATCGTCCATGAAGATATAAACCGTTACGACGTTCCGTCCGCTGTGATATGTTGTTTACTACCCAATCGGACTGCTTTATATAGATTTCACCGGTTAAGTAATCAAACAAACCGACATAGTTTTTTGTGGGCTCGAATATGTCAGAGATCGGATGAATGCGAAGTGTGTCAGATTGAATTCCTGATAGAGTGTCTGAAGACGCGCTATTCGGTTTGTTGTTCATGCTGATGTAGGCCTGTTGCATGTAACTATACGAAGAATTGAAGAAATTGTTAAAGTTGTGAACTTCGGAACGAGCGGAACGTTATAATATTTCAATACTCGTTGTTGTTTGGTATGAATACAAGGAAAGAAACGCAAAACCATATCTGACTAGAAACTTATTTCTCTTTTTTTCCTCGATTAAAAAAGAAAAAATGTTCACTCTTGCTTCTCCCGCAGTTTCTATTTATATTCCATGTGAGGAGCACGGATAAAAAAAGCATTCTAAGTCTGGTGAGGAAGCTTTCGATTCTGCAAACAGCAAGTAACGATTTGTAACTCCATCTGTTAAACATAATATGAAAGAATTTGAAACAAAATGCTCGCTATCCCCCAAATGTAAACAATGTCTGCATTTTAATAGTGAAAGAAAAAACAAAAAAACAGGTACACACCGGGAAAAAACCCACTCTTTTTTTCTAACTATTCAAAATATTAATTGACGCACAGTATTTATTCATATATTTTATAAGAACATCTTAAACGCAGTTTGTGCATTTCACTCAATTTTATTTTTTCCCTTTTCTGAAAGAAAGGGTTATACAGCGTTTAAATGCTGTGTTAAAAGGCTTAAAGTTTGTCTGTCTATCTGTCCTATCCAATCAGAAATCAGCATTTCTAAAATCAATGAAATTGATCGATGTTGTTAGAAAATGATTACCGGTAGGGTAATCGAGGTCAAAGATCACGAATCCGAGGTCAGTGTTGCTTAATTAATTATTAATTTTTCATTAACTAGCCACGACTTATTAACATCCATTGTCAGAGTAGACCGAAGGGTTTCTGACGTCAGGAAATTCGAACTTGAGGGTGAATTTCGTCTTATTCGCTGAGCCTGGGCTTGTTCCTTCCTCTTTACGAATGAGATATTTTTTCTTTATCTGTTCTGAAATCTTTTGTAGAAGATGGTGAGCTGAACACTATTCATGGACGTCATGCGTACAAAGATAGTAGCTCAGGAACTTAAGCGAAAAGATCTAATGCATTGTATATAATGATGTTTCTATTTGAAAAACCCAAAAAAGTGATATGAGCTTACGTTAGTATCATATTTGCTTTTTAGGCTACATACATCATGTCTTTTCATGGGAATTTAGTAGAAGCAGTTCGCAAAGTGATATACCCGTCGGTGGAGTTCCATCATAGTAATTACAGACGCGTGGACTGTAGAAACAGTATTCTGAACACATACAACGCTATGAAAGATGTTCGTTTCGAAACAAATCGTACAATAAGAATTTCTTATCTAGTTTCTTTGGGTAGTCGAATGAATAGAAGATCATGACTGTCGAAGCGACAATAAAAGAAAAGCCAATCGTTCAGTTTGAAAGTCGATCGAAGGGGAAAGGAATAAGAGAGACAGCATGGCAACGGCTAGCCATGAGTGACCGACCGGAGGGAGGTTGACGAACGACTAGACGTTCGTTTTGAAAATTACTTGAAAGATGAGATTTATCACTGTCTCAACTAAAGCCAATGGTTTTTGAACGGTCATAATTTATGTGCTTTTGAGCTTCGAAAATAAGGATTGTACACTATCAGCGCTTCAAATTTAACAGAGCAATAGAATATGTACTGTAAACTACACTGTTACGAAGGGTTTTGATAACTTCGATCAGAGATCGACTCAGTATGAACGAGCTACTTCTTTTTATGAAAAAACTATGAAAACTGATCATGTGCGTCAACGGCTAGCCGTGAGTGACCGACCGGAGGGAAGTCGACGAACGACTAGGCGTTTAAATGCTAGATTAATCCTAAAGTGCACGCTTAGAATAGCCTTGCCAGGCTTCAGATAATTTTGAAAGGAATTTGACGAATGGATATTCCTCAATGAAAATATTCGGCAGGGTATCATTTTGTTGACAGGAGAGAAAAGAATCGGTTTATCGCTGGAAGACACAGGCGAATGTTCAAACTTTTCAAGTGATCTACTGTATATCGTCCGTCTGTGAGTGACTTAGTAAAGCATTTATGAAAATTTCCATGCGCGTGATGTGAAAATAGAAAACCAGATGACAAAGTCAATGGCTGACCGTGAGTAGCCGTTGAGTGATGAATTTTTCAGTGAACATAGTTAGTGCTGGAGAATTATCCACTGACAAATGGCTAATTGGTCTGATTCCTAAAAAGACCTCTGTATCCTATTCATTCCAGTTCCGGTGTGTGACATAGTGACATGATTCAGTTGAGCACTAGTAGCAATCGCAGTGCGTTTTTTCTCTTTCAAAGTCTCTGAATGTGTTCAGCATTCGGAAAAGTCTTTCAGAAAAGGGTCAGCGAATCCAAAGGATGAGCGTTACTTGTACATAAATGAAATTGTTCTGAGTTGTATTCATGCATGTCATATATGATATACACAAGAAACTGGAAAGTTACAAATGCTTCGAACTGCTTCAATTCAATTCTCACGCTTACTTTTACTCAAGTAGCGCCTAGAAACATTTGTAACTTTCCAGTTTCTTGTGTATATCATATATGACATGCATGAATACAACTCAGAACAATTTCATCTATGTATAAACCTTCTAGGTCGTCGAGGATCAGATGTCTGATGGTGTAAATATATCTTTCACAGGAAGAACTGGCGAAATACTCTACTGTGCTGACGTCTTATCGTACTGGGCAGGATCAGACAGATGAAGACTCTCATGGAAAAGGATTATGCACTCACAAGAACGCCTTACCTACAGCGCTCACAGAATTCCCTATATTACTCACAGCTGAATATAGACTCACTCAAACAAATATGTAAAATGAAAATCCCTACCTTTCTCTCGTCCTCTTGATCGCGCTTCTCCATCACTAACAGACCACTGGCAACCTGAAATAATTCTAAAGCACAATCACAAATATTCGCTGACAAGAAGTAGTTACATTTCATTCGCGCATTCCGCCCAATATATAACCTATACAGCGAAGAATAAAATATGCGAAGAAATAAGTGTATACTTATCTATCTAATTGACCTCCGTGTAGCCAAGTCATTTGAATGATTAGCCGGACAGTACACGCCGTAACAGGACCATATATCAGCCTAAAACAAAAGACTGACTACTCAAACTCGATTATTTGGAAGGGATCAGACTCATAGACTATATCGACTTGGCCGGCCATGCTGACTAGTCAATCGCGATGGTTCGGGAGGTATCGGACGAAACCCCTCAGGCCTTCGTTTAGGAATTAATGGTTCTGAAGGTCCGGTACGGAACCTCTGATGGCTTTGTAAAGGAAGAAATGGTTCAGGAGCTCTAGCACGGAACTCTTGATGGTTTCGCGAGATGAGGAGTGGTTTGGTACGTCTGGTACGGAGCCCTTTATGGCTTCAGAAAGGGATGAATGGCTCCGGAGGTGTATGGGGAACCGTAATGGTTCGGTAATATGAGAAAAGGTCCGGGAAGTGTAGCGCGGAACCCTTCATGGTTTCGGAAAATGAGGGATGGTTCTGGAGGTCTGGTACGAAACCTCTGATGGCTTCGTAAATTAAGAAATGGCTTGGAAGGTGTGGTACACAACTCAGGAAGGTTCGGCATCCGAAATGCGAAACCTCAGTCGCCCTAGTGATGTACGTAAAGGCTCGGTATCTCGAATACGAAACCCTAGATGGTTCCGTAAGTCTGTTTCAAAACCTTTATGTGCTCTACGGAACTATGGCAGGTTTTGTACCAGACATACGAAACCAAAAAAGTTCAGTATACACGCAGCTGAACCTTTCAATGGTTTCGCAATAACAGCACGAAACCTTTTCGCTCCTCAAAATCTAAAAAAAAGTTCTTTATTTACGGTACGGAACCATTTTGGTGGGCCATCACTAAACCGGAATGGCTTGGTGGACTACCTTTTTTTTCAGTGTGTTCAGCATTAGGAAAAGTCTTTCAGAAAAGGGTCAGCGAATCCAAAGGATGAGCGTTACTCGATCGGTGTGAACTTAGCACCATTTAACAAGCAACCAATCAGAAAACATCCATAAAATACCTCCCATATCCATATTTTACCATCTCTCAACCCTCAGTTGCCAACAAAATTATCTCAATCAACCATAAAATCCAACTCTCCTATCCTACAAAACATCGCGCCAAACCATGAAAAGAATGTTTTCCAGCAGAAATACTCTGCCCAATCCGAATATCCTATCAAATATTTCTCCAACGAAACACCATCACGCGTCATGATCCACACGCCTGCCCACAATGCACGAAATACCGGCCTAACCTCATCCAGGCAGCGTTTTCCGGTGATCGGAAAGTTTTCCATCGATGAAAAATCGAGTTCTTAATCAAATGCAGCATTTCCGAGGGGCTGCAAAACATACTCTAGACCGCCGTTCTCTCTTTAATCACGTGGACCAACCCATGTTGGGCTCCATATCCATCGCATTTTCTCCGGCAAAACGTTTTGGGGTGGTTTGAAGGTATTCCAATCGATGTAGAATCGAATTCAGGATGAAATGCCGCAGTTCCGAAGGACCGGAAAACGTTCTGGAGAGCGGCGTTCTCTCCTTGATCACGTGGGTCAACCCATGTCGAACCCAATATTCATCGCATTTTTTTCGACGAAACGTTTTCCGGTCCCTCGAAACAGCTGCATATCATCCAGAATTCGATTCTACATCAATTGGGACATCTTCAAACCACCGGAAAACGTTTTGTCGAAAGAAATTGGACGGATATGGGGTCCAAAATGGGTTGATCCACGTGATCAAAGAGAGAGCGCCGTTCTCCAGAACATTTTCCGGCCCTTTGGAACTGCTGCATTTGATTCAGAATTTTACTGTGGACTCATCGGCGGGCCGGCAAAAAAATTTCAGGGGGGGGGGGGGGGAACAAAAATTTTTTCCGTGATTTTTACCACAACTGTCGCGTTTTTCTGNCATTTTTTCACTTTTTGTTTTTACATACGTATGAATGAAATCATCCGTTACGACAGAATGAAAAAAGAAACAGAAATAAAACATTTTGATGTATACTAATGCATACAGAACGAACGATAGAAAGCGTGTGCATATATTTAAACCGATGGTCCGCTTCTTCGGTTTGAAATATTATCTATTGAACTTCGATTATCTTATAGATTTTATACGTAACAGTCTTTCTCTTTCTTCCATATCACAGTTTAGTTCGATACTAAAATGCTGTTATTTATTTGTATGTAATCAAATAGTCCGCATATGCTTGAGCGTCATGATAACTCACATAGATATACTTTCCATCAGTAGTTGAGTCAAATCCAATAGGTCGAGTTTTCATCGACTTATTTCCTTGAGTCGTTTTTCCAACAAGAACGCGAGCAACAAACATGCATCGTTCTCCTCGGGTATTGCGAGTTGCATAACCATGACTGTAAGCCGCATCCGATGAAAAATAAACACCCCAACCAAATAATGTTCCTGAAATATATATCAACACTCACGTATGTCGAATATGAAAGATAGAAAGAAAGTACCATTGATGCCAGCGTAACTTCGATTGAAACAATCTTGCATAATTGATTTGGCTGCTGCTTCTGGACACCCATGATACAGGATCTTTTCCGTATCTTCATTGAGTCGGCTTTTGAAATCTTTCCAATGTGCATCATACTGTGTACGCCACCGTTCATTGTTAATGCATTCAAGTTTAACAATTTCAGTGTATTTTCCTTTCATCTTTTTATCAAACTCATTAATAATCGACTGATATTTTTCAGTACTTTTCGAAACAAGACATCTCAATTGCCCATCATCAGACCTTTACCTTTGATGCCCATTGTCTGAAGAATCAGATGAGAATAACTGTTTACAAAATTCATCATAAGTATTTTGTTGGTCAGGTTCAATAATGAATTTAACTTTCCATGCTAGGTCTCTTTGTTGAATATGTTGTTTCATTTCTCTGATCATCGTTTTAACAACAACTTTTAGCGAACAAGCATGTCCACCGCAACCAATAGCTGGAAAAGCAATTGAAGTGAAAGTATTCGCATGAACATTTTGCACAACGTTATACATGAGATCAACGATAGATTGTCGAAGAAGTTTGTCATCACTATTTGGTTGCCATTTAAGAAAAAATATTCGTTTACATGGTAGACGACCGGCAGGAGTCGAGATAATTAATGAAGTTGGATTTTTTAAACGTTCTTTATTGTAAACATCGTTAGCCTGATCTCCAGCTGCTTGTAACAATGCTTGTCGAAGTTTGTCCGATGACAAAGTTCCAACAATGACATCGACCTAAAATTGAACGATATATGACACTTTCGACACAATGTACAAGAAAATTACTCACTGATTGTTGTTTAATATCTCCTTTTTCAACTTCAATCAATCCTCTACCAATAATTAGAGACATCGGATTTGTCGATGAAGTTGGGTTGGATGTTTTTACCTAGATTGAAAGAAGTATGACATAGACGCAGATTTAGTTCGAGCGTTAATACTACCTGAGAACCAGCTGCACTCTTAGATTTCGGCGACGCCGCGCACGTTGCAGTCGCAAAGTCAATTTGGAAGTAGAAAATTCCACATTGCCTTAGAGTTGAAATGTTTTCGTTTATATCCCACCAAACAACAAAATACGTTATTAGACAAACAGCGACACTATATATGAAGCTCACGGCCGAAGTTCGATTTGCAGCAATAGCGACTGAATAGAATGCAACGGTGACACACAAAAAAAGAATGAATAATGATAAAATTAGTCGAAAGTACAATATCCCATGAAATGTTTGGACCACCTTCGAGCGATGAGATATGAATGGACCACGTGTCGCATTAGTTTTGTTGAATATACTCCAGAAACCTGGATACGAAAATAAATTATGCAGTTGAATAATTACGAAGCATAGGGATATTTTTTGCCCGAAACGAATAATATTTGATGGTGTAATTCGCAGAAGCGCCGTATTAACCAAAATGAATAGTGATATATCAATAATTATGACTAATTGTTTTGTTTGTTGATATGTGCATTTCTTATGCACGATATGGAAACTAAAGATCAAGCGAATAAGGGTAAGAATGAGAGAAAGATGAACAAGTTTCGATGGACTATTCGTGTTGTATTGATGTGTAGATAATAGAGCGACGAGATCAATTAGGAGTGGGATCAATTCAACAAACTTCTGAAATGCGAAGTAAGCTACATGTGAACCGTGCTGACTTTTAACGGTTAAGACCGTTATAAATATCATAAGAGAAGAAACGAACAATAAATGTTGAAGCATTCCATCGATGGTAATTGGTAATTCAGTGAAGAACGTTATCGATGGAGAGTAATAAAAAACATCCAGTAAAACTGTAATGATAAAACCAAATGTTAGTATACTCGTTATTGCTTTATGTATTTCTAGTTTTTGCGAGTTATGAATGCCCACATGCATCATATGTTGAATTTAATCTACACGAAATGTAGCTGCTGTTTTGATGAGAAAGACTTTTTATCTGAAAATATGTCGTATATCTTTCTATGTCGTCATCATCAACACGTGAAAATCGACGACGAACATTGTATTGGGTAAATTTTACTACTGAGGGATAAAACACGACTTTTTCGTTCGGTTGTCAAGAAGAGAAAAAGAAATGTGCATCGAAGCAGGTAAACATATTTGCAGTGCTGCTCGAATAAATTGACTTCAGTAAGTCGGTTTTTTCCTATTTCATTTTAGCAAGTATTAAGAGAAAGAGTCAAACAAAATCGAAGAGAATCTATATGATTCACCAGCGAATAGTCATGTTAAACTATGAAAATTCTATTGTTTTTGCTTTTCGATCAACGATTAAATAAAGTCTATTGGAAAATTCGCTTAATGGACTTTGAGCCTCATGAAGCTACGATGTTGCTTTTCATCACTTGTGCCACTTTGATTGAATTGAGTGCATAATTATGTTTCAATCGACGCGTAACTTATAGCAATGGGAACTAGTTCTGTTAAAATATTGCACTTTAATTTATGACACTACCAACACTGACTCATCTGTTTTAATAAGTCTTTCCATGAATTAGGCTGATTTCAGTACACATTCACTGCTGAAAATTTTCATGAAATACTTCATTTAGGGCTGTGGAAGATATGGTAATTAATAAACTACACCAGCAAAATTATACTTTAGAGTCATTGCCAAACAAACTCTTATTTGAAATCAGTTCTTATCTGGATTCAGTGCATCTAATCCAAGCATTTCATGGTCTCAACTATCGATTTAATCTGATAATCTATCAATCCGTTCGTCATTTTACGATCTCGAAAGATACTTCTGGAAACGTCTTGGATACATACGATTCGAATATAAAAAATGTCATCGAGCAGATATTTATTGATAGGGAAATGTGTCCATATACCTTCTTATCTATTAATTCATGCATCAATCTACGATCCATAGTACGTCGTTGCGCCGATTTTGCGATTATTGATCTCACTGTCAACTATTGTTTAGCAGATGATGATATTCATTCATGTTTGGATGTACTTAACGTTTGTAATATTCTTCCTGCTAATTGGTTTAATAGCAACTGGTTTTGTGACCATAAGCTGGACAAATCAGTCTGTTTAGCCATGACGCGTTTGTGTCTTGAGCGCTGTTCCGAACAAGCCCTACATTTGCTTTGTAATCTCATTCCAAATGTAACCTATTTGAAAATCAAACAACTTTCTGCTGTCGATGATCGCTCGTATTATTGTTCTGAGTTACCGTTTTCACATCAATGCGTGCCTGTCTTAAAGCAGTTACATATTGCTACGGGTATAAATCGTTTAGATGATATACGGTCAATCGAAAGGTTGATCGATACTTATAAATCATCGCTTGAGTTTTGTTCTCTGAATATTTCTCTAAATGAACCAATAAGTGGTTCCTATTTACAACAAAATATATTTGAGCCATGTCAAAATCTGAATAAATTCACATTTGCTTTCAACTATTGGCAAGATGACATCGAAGAAGCTGATGTACTATATCAATTTCAAAGTGATTGGTGGTTAGATACTCAGCGTCCACCAGTGCTAATTTTTTGTGGCAATCTACGTGAAGTCTTCATCGTTTCTATGCCCTGCCATTTGTGTGACTATCTATGGCTTCCAACTGATCCTCGAGATTGGTTATTGAATAAGGGTGACTTCGACTCACCTGATGTTTGTTTTACAAAACAAACACACATACGACTTATCAATCATCACCGCCAACCGATCACATTCGAACTAGTGAATATCATTGGTCGTGTATTTCAAGCGCCAAAACAACAATTGTCATTAGTACGTTGGAACTTCGTTTCCCAAAATTCACTCTTTGAACAGGTTGGTTTTCTTATCATCTACTAACTTTCATTCTTCATGCGCGTATGTAGTTAATCACTACAAGCTCGACGGATCCAGTGTTGCCTTTGGTTTACTTCCTCGATTTGAATTCTTGTGGCGTTGATGAATTAGACGCAAAGACGCTCATCATCTGGCTAATGATAGCATCCAATGTACGAATGATCAAGGTATGTCAAGGAACTCCCAGTGGGAAAATACGTTTAATCAATCAACTGAAAATGTTACTTGACAGAGACAAACGATTAAAATCACTTACAGATGCCATCGAAGAAATTCATGTTTTCTACAATTTTGACTCTCTTAGTTATGCCACGAAACAGCATATTTGTCAAATGTGTTCCGAAGTCTTCCAAAAAGCCGTTATTCACTGTTAGTATCATATGAATGTAGTTATTTTCTGCTAGTGGTGTTACGAGAGTTTTAGCGTCACATTTCTGAATAGTACTGATGTTTTTGCAGAAGACCTGCAAACGGACGATTTTCTCCATTTTATAAATAAAAAGTTGACAAAACGAATAGTACTTGTTATTTTGTACTCATTCATATGGCCTTGACTCTTTTTTTCTCATAAATGTTCGTATTTCGGACTGAAATCATTCTTTTCATTCTTATCATAATTCATTGAATATTAAAACATTGTTATGTTATTTCAATGTTTGAAGAAGTTTATCCTTGAATCCTAAATAGATAAAAACTCACAAATAAGTTTAACATTGAATTCATACCCTGTTGTCTCTAAAATAGAACGAGAGAGAAAAGAAACGCTAATGGATCCTACGAAAGCCGAACAATTACCAGATGAACTCTGGTTGATGATATTTCATTACTTAGAAATCATTGATGTCCTGTTGACTTTCAAGGTTTTGAATCAACGTTTTCAACAAATGATCAAACCTTATTACAGTCACATTGACCTAGCCGACGCCTCGTCGAAACAATTCAGTACATTCATTGATGAAATTCTTTTATCCAAAGAAAATCATCCAATTTACTCACTAACATTAAAAAATAGTGGACAATTCAAGAAAATATTCTATTCAAAAGAACGCATCTTTACTCGTCTTCAACACATCGAAGCATTGAAATTAACCATTGATCATTGGTTTCACGAACACGATTTGCTTAACATTACACTACCTCATCTATCGCATCTATCAAATCTAACCAATCTTCATCTGAACATTTTACCAGACACTTACATGAAAGATTCATTTCGTCCGATCTTCGAATACTTCTCATTCCCATCAACATTAGTCAAGCTGACCATCTTAGGCTTTTGGAAACAAACGATGAAAGGTTACACGACCTTAAACTGGTTCAAACTACCATCGAATATCAGATCGTTTGCATTCGCGATTGATAATTTGAAAACAATCTATAAGACTAATTTTCTACAAGAGGCAAATAATCATATCGAGGTTTTAAAAATCGCCTTCAAAGAAATGGATGATTTCGACGCGAAATATTCGAACTTGAACTTTTCAACTTCGTTAGTATCGTTACATTTAGAAATGTCATTAATCACTATGGAATTTCTACCCAGACTTTTGAATTTATTTTCCAAAGAAATAAAATCGTTGATTCTGATTCTTCGCACATCGTTCGAAGTCGATTTGAATTTAATCATGTCGATTAAAGATCTATTTCCATCACTGGAAACTTTTCAATATGTCATTTATTCGCCAAATCGAATCATAACAAATACTGCGGACCGTATCGTCTCACCATTTCACGATATAAACAAGTTCGCTTGGAAAAGGTATATCAACAATCTGAACTATGATAACCTCTCAACGGATTTCATCAAATTACACAAATTGACATATGGATTATCTTCGGAATCATTCGATTTGACTCATGACAACATTAATACCTTAAACCAATTGATTGTTTTACTACCAAACTTGAAATCTTTGAAATTAAACGGAAATAATTCGCAAACGATCATCGAAGTCTTAAAATTACTTTGTACGAAACGACTGACAAAATTTCACTTCAACACTTCGAAATTTCACCATTCATTTCTTATTGATCTAGCACAAATCATTCCGCATGTTCGAGAACTTCGCTTAGAAGACATACATTTCAATGAATATCATGCGGACTATTCCGTAAATCGAAAAATCTATCGAAAAGTTCTCACAGCAACAGTAGCAATCGAACATGTCCAACGTTATTACAAAGAACTCATGGACTTATATCTGTACATGTTACCATTCAATTACACCGATAAGGAAATGTGTAAAGCGAATCAACAGTTGCAAGAATGGCTGAATGGCGCGAAACAACAAGACGGATTCTATTCGATTTATACATTTCATCAAAACTACTATCAATCTTTTCTGTCCAACTATGATTCGGATATTTATCAAAAAAGTTTCCCCTATTGTCTTTATGTTTCACCTTGATATAAAAAAGAGCGTTCTTGTTTCTTTTTAAGATATCCATCGTTGAATTAATGTAACTATTTGTTGACGAGCATTGATAACACTTTCAGGGTCGTCCGGATTTGCTGCACGCAAATCGAGATGATGAGCGCCACCATTGATCAAAATCGCTGGAAGACTAGAAGTAATGCTTGAGTTGATGCCACCAGCTGACCATGGATCGAGATTTCCGTTGGTGAAAATAACATTCGAATAAGAACGAAGATCGGTTATATTTTTGCCTCCAAATTCAACGAAAGACCATTCAAGTCGTGGCTTNGTCCAATCTATGACCCCCATTATGGTGTTTTTCATATCGGTGTGATTTGATTGATGTATTCTGAAGCCAATCGGTTTGAGTCTTAAATAGTGCTAACTTCACACCGATAGAATTGTACTTGTTCAATATCACTATGTCATGTATGTCGTATATATGAATCATTGGTACGACTGCACTCTGACCATGGAAGTTGTCATAGAGTACAAAAGAAAAAAAATTACATATATTGCCTATCGTTATATAATATTTGGAGATCTTGAACTTTAGAAATCTGTTTTTTTCCTTTAGCTGTTGGCTTTCTTGTTCACGTTCTGGTGTACAATACTCACATCTTTTAAGATGTCGATGATACGTAATTACTGTATAAACCAGATTTTCCAGAAGAAATACATGCGCAAACTAATATTGGTTTGCAATTATCGCAATTTCTATAACGATCTTCCATAGTGGTTTGACATTCAGGACAGTTCCATTTAATTTGGGATGGCGATGCCATGATGGTGGTGAGGAGACAAAGAGATAGTTTTGATGAAAATGTGTTGAAGTTATATATCGAGTAGAGATAGAATGTCGAGAATGATATGAAGATGATTCAGTCGAACCGGGGTCAAATATTGGATGAAAAGAAGATGTTCTTTCGCTGTTTTCTCGAGTTGTTTTCCACACATCTTAAAGATGTCTCTATCTAACTATGACTGTTATTCTATCTAAAAATTATCGCTGCATTCATCCCAGATACGCCGTCGACAGCTAAATCTTCTTTACTAAGCAGTTCATCTAATCAGCAAACACCAAATTTTACTCTAACAAAACATCTACATAATAATGTTGAGTGTCACCTCTGGCTATATGATAATATTTAATTATTGCGGTTTCGAACAAAGAATATAAACGAAACAATCGGTGTGAAGCTAGTACCATCGAGCTAGCACCATCAAACTAAGGATTTTCTGAAAACGAATTCCGGTCGATAAAAACGAATGTATTCGATGCAGAATTTAATTCAGAGTCCAATGGTGCCACTTTTATTCATGGGAAAACGTTCGGAGAATAGTTTTCTTTGATCTTTCTTTATCCTCGATACATGTATATGCATCATTTTTCGGCCATCGGCACGTCATATCTCTGTCCAGAATGAATTCTGGTTCATGGAAAAGAGTCTATTCGATGCAGAATTTAATTCAGAGTCCAATGGTGCTAGCTCGATGGTGCTAGCTTCACACCGATAACGAAACAATTGTGGATCATTAGCTCTTTTTCAATACTATAACTGGTAAAGAAATCGTATGTTTCTAATAATAAGAAGTAGTTGTACCGTAAAATGAAACTGGAGCTTCCGGTCAGACTAGTCAGCCTCATATGTATAAATATGAGCGCAACAAGCATATCTAATGGCTCAAGAACTATTTGTTAATGTAAGTTCACTTCTTTAACAGAATATTACGATTTTTTGTTGATTATGTATAAGAATCGCTGCTTCTAGTTTTTAAATCGAAATGTTTATGAGAATGTAGATGACAAACGTCACTGAAAACAGAATCTACACCCATGTTATCGTTATCATCCAACTATTCGAAATATTTTCTGTCTCTTATCTATAAACTCATCATCTCGTTCGCCATTGTGATCATAGTAAACAAAATTAAATTGCAGTTTAGAAATCAAATATTCATTAATTCTCGGTTACCTTTGATTACATACGAAAAATAAAAAATAGTTTCAAGGAGAATGAAAAGGACGGGAGCGTTGGGATCCATGACGTTGTTCCAGTTCTCAGGTTCGATTTTCTTTTTGGGACATTTGTAAATTAGTGTTTTTGATTAAAATTTTTATAAACAAACTTTGACTTTTATCCATCGCTTGAATCTGCGCCAATAACGAAAACCAGGGCGTACTTTATTACCACCTACATAAAATAATTTGTTTGGATGTCGATCAAAATAAGTACGAGTGTCTTTTACCGTTACTCTCAGGTTGATTCATAACAGAATTTGAATTAGCTTCGCGATCAATACGTTCCAAATGACTATTATAAAAATTAACAAACATTCAAAAGAAGTTATTACAAATGTCAAAAAGATTAAATCGTAAAATCGTGATGTAGAGGAACGCAAAATCTTCATTAGCTTAAATCTAAGATTAAAATATTCCGACAAATCGTTTTCTCGATTTTATCGACCAAAACAAAAAACAATATTTTGGAATAAAAGATTAGATTATGATACTGATGAAAATTATTGTGTCTTCTCCGTCGTTTACCTCAATTTTATCCACGCTATTGCATAAATGGATGTAATGCTGGATAATAACAGTTCTCATTTAACAAACAATTGAAAATTCAACTCAATATTCAAAATGAAAACTAATCAGTCTAAAATTTGGGATGCCTTCTTAAAGATGAACCAAAATCAACTCTCTGATCGCTGCAGTTCAAAAAGAATGTATAATCTCCTCTAAATCACTGACATAAGATCGTTTTAATAGGATAATTCCCGATTTCTGTGGCTACGTAAGAACGTACGTTTTGATTAATATTTGTGGTTAAAGATCAAATACTTAACTGTAAATCAAACCTGAACGACTATATAATCAAACGAGGAAAAAAGATAGTTTCTTTTTTCTGTTAAGATGAAAAATGAACTGTTCATAGAACATTTCAATTCTCCGTGCAATTTATAACTCGACAACCAAGAAAAAAAGTACTTCTTACTACATGAAAAACAATTCAACGACGAAAAATAAATCAATGCTTTTATTGATTCACTTTGGTTTTAATATTATTGATAAGACAATCGAATAGAGCTTCTTGTACGTGAGGCGCACTTAGAGCAAGCTTCAAGTGGAAAAATTTGTCGCTTTTTTTATACATCATTCGATAGATTGAAGGCCACTGATCATGAATATCGCATCCCTGACTGTTAAAATTCTGTTTTCCCTAGACATGTGTAAAGTAATGAGAGGAACTGACAAAACACCATAAACGCAACTTTTTTAGTAAAATAGTCTTAGTTTTTTTCCCCTTTATTATTTTTACTCAATTCAAAGCTTGTTGAACTCGGCATCAAAAGGTGAGTGTAAAGTAGTTTTCAAAACTGCAGACCTAAAATTGGATTAGGTAAGACATCAGAAATCGGATTGACTCGCAAATTTCTTATCAATTTTGCAATCCTAACACAGACTTTTTAGAAGATGCTAAAGCGATTATTCTTGCGTCGTTAGATCCATACGATGCTTAGCTACAAAACACCAAAAAAATCTTTTTTTTAAATTTTGTTTTCTCGTTGAGAAAAAACGGTTTTTACTGAGGCCATGCCGAAACATCGAAGTCGGTTTTTTGTTTTTTTCGCGATTTACGATCGAAATGAAGTGTGACTATTGGTAGATAGACTATAAAATATAGCGAATCTAGTGGACAGATTGGCGAAATCTCGGGAGGGTTTCTGCAGGGTTTTCAGAGAGATCCAAGACGTTTAGCTATTTTTTTGTAGCCATACAACTATTTCCGTTACCAGTAGACTTGAAGTGTCTAAGTAAGGTGTGAAAACAATTCACGTTTCTTGCAGAATCAGCTTCTAATGTACTTTCCGACTTTTTTCACAGCTAGAGTCAGAATCAATAACGAAAAAACACCAGATCACTGCTTCAAAATCAGACAGCGGCGCAATCACAGTAGCGGTAAATGGGCAACTATCCGTTCAAAATTTCTGAGCGGCGTTTTTTCCCAGCAGAATCTCTCGAAAAAGACACTTTGCCCAAGCGTTCCCGCTGAAGTTTTGAATCTTAGGCGACTTTTACCCATTGCTAAAAAACTCCTGGTTGCGTCACTAAAATCAGACTAAATATCCAGATTACTATTCCTAATCCGGATATGGTTTTGAACTTTTCCATTACATTTTGTACTGGAGAACATCCGCATCACTTCTGTATAGATTTGCTCATCCCTGTACGCCTGAAAAGTTCGCCAAAATCTCCAGAGAAGTTTCATTGGAATGTCTTTCCCACGGAAGTTTTCTCTTGATTCAATAATCAGTTTAAGCGTCGTATCATATGTTTCATGAGTCTTTCGACGAACATAGAGTTTTTGGGTGTGTGTGAGGGTGGGTGTGAGGGTGGGTGTGAGGGTGGGTGTGAGGGTGGGTGTGAGAGCGTAACATGTTGATTTAAAAATGAATTTTTTACAGTCTCAAAGGCTGGATGATCAGTCAACAGAGCTCGTAGGTCGTCGGGTTTTATGTTCGAGGGAACTTTGATAAGCAACTCTTGGGCAATTTCCTCAAGACTCTTGCGGTTACTCTTGTTTATGCCAGTGTGAAAGAGACAGTACAGGAGTTTTGTGTTGCCTTTTGCATCTATATACTCTATCTTGTAGATAAGACCCTTAGTTACGATGCGTTTATTGAAATCTATTAGATTACGTGACCTTGATGCATGGATACTAGCATTGTCGACAGCGATTGCGATGGTGTCATTTTTGTATTCTTCTTTAAATTCAAGGAGTTGAAATAAACGCGCAAACTGTCCGAGGATTGTGAAGTTATCGAAGTACAAGTCTTGGCCGACATAAATTGAGGCAATGACACTTCGCACGACATAGTTAATATCAGTATCAGCTAAATAGAAAGGTTAGTTTCGGTTTTGTTCTTGATCTGAGACAACTACGATTCAGCAGCAATTCAGCTTCTAGTTGTGGATACTTAACCAAAGTCTTGTCATATTCACTTTGAGAGAGACTAAAAAATGATCCAGTACCGTGTTGAACTATCAGATCACTGATCATATTTGATCGCCCTCTTCCTTTCGAGTGAAAGGAGCCTGATCTCCAAAGAACCACCGCTCTTGAATGCGCTTTCGTCGTGAAATAAATAAACTGAGCTACACACATAGTAGAATGCATAGTGGATTTTGAGCGGAAATCTTCCATAAAGACTTTTCGCCCTCTCTGACAGTGTAATAGAAATTCTGTCTACTAAGAAAGTAATTGATGAATTCTTGATGGTGTTCTATCACATTCAAACGTTTATGACGCTCAAAATAAGGCCGTTGCGAGTTCTCTTTAAGTCGAGCCCCCAACAGCGAACATCCACATGACACGATGACACAGAGCGAATGAAGAGATTTTCCGATTCTACAGGAAAAACTATTTTTGATAAATACGACAACGAGGCACCTATTTTAATAGGCCAATGGCCGACCTTTAGTTATGTTCGTTGCTCCATAACACTTTTTATCTATAATTTTAGCCAAATCAAGTGCTGTGAAGTCGACTGACTTCTTTGAGTACTGCTCAAATTTATGCTCTCTGGCAGCATCTTCTAATTCAGGGAAATAATCATAAAACTTAACCGTGTGTTTATTACCACTGCTGTCCACTTGAAACTTATCTAAATCACCAGAAGTAAATACTTCAGCCCATTGTGCGCCGATTGGACTTGAGAGTTCCTGAAATATAAATTATGCTTCGCATACATAGGAAAAAGGTACGGTATTATTTAACAAACTCACCGACATTTTGTAAGAAAGCATTGAAATTATCCCAGTTGACTCCAAAACTTCTCAAAGTCGTGTGGATCAGCATACTGACGAGGGAACCACCCGAGGTGTCAAAAAGCTTTTCAGTCAGCATTACGATAGTTAAATAGACCATAGCTAGGAGTGATATATCCTAAGTTAGTTCGTGCCCAAGTTGAGATCCAGCTGAGATATTGACTTCATACTAGAATTCTTCTATGAAACTCCGTCTTCCTTACAAAATCAAAGTTTTGAATTTTGAGGTGAGACTTTGCCCATGTCAAGGCCTCACCCAGAGTAGTTCACCCACAAAGTTTCAGAACCTTCGGACTAAGCGTTCTCAAGATATAATGTTTTCAAAATATCGATGCATACAACAATACCTGTGAAAAACTGTGTTTATGCTAACAGACTCATATCTCGGGAATGTCTAGTGCGAAACTTCTGAAACTTCGTGCATGAACTACTCTGAGTGAGGCCTTGACATGGGCGAAGTCACACCTCAAAATTCACAACTATGNATATATTGAACAGGTTTAACTCAATGAATTAGGATTACATTAGACACATCTGACTCTAGCGAATGTATCTTTTGATATCTGTATTTTTCGCCTTCAGTGCATTTAGCTACGGTAATACATACGATTATTTATTCGTCGTTCTTTTATTACTCCTAAGGTCACTGGCAGTTGCATAAAACTTGGAACACCTACCCATTTCAACTGACTTCTGACACCACTCTCAGCCAATCCAAACCCCCTCGCCCTCATATTTCGTTATAAACAAATCGACAAGAACTGAACACCTGACCGACATAAAATTCTCCACTAAGGAAACAGATCCGCCGATCATCGATTCCAGTCCCCTACCTCCAGACACCCACCCCAAAAAAGAACCAATGAACGGTCACCCACGCTCATACATCCACCCATAGTTTCATCCGAGGCCCCACCCTCAGCGCCCCGCCTTCACCCTTCATCCGCGCTCGTTCTACGACCAGCACACTAGAAGTTTTCAATGTGTTGAATGATTGTAGGAAAAGATGTTTTTTTGACCTTTGATCCTGACACAAACAAACAGACAGACAAACCATTTTATTTCATATGACCCTCTCTACAGTCGAGGGAACAAATTATGTCCTCCTTGTTTTAGTAATTTTTTAGCATTATATCACGTTTATTTTACTTCATTTATTTCTCCTTTACTTATTTTTATTATATTTATTATTCCATCGAAACAGTATAGGAAAGAATTTGACAAATCAATGAAACAAATTCGAACTATTATAAGACCATAGGGGTTCATCATAAAAAATACGAACATCTCTAGGAAATGGGTGGATGTATTGGTAACAACTTACTCAAAAATTAAATTAACAACATAAGATATAATAGTTTTATATTTTATCGTGTGTATCATTTTTTGTTTTACTTTGTACTTAGAAATGATCTTCTATTTACATATGCGTTTGGTTAAATCGAAAGTTTACATCAGAATTTTTTGTCTTTTCTTTAATTATTCCACCATCCAATTCTCTAACATGTTTCATGTCAATCTAGAATGCGCGTGTGAGTGTGGATGCTGGTATAGAGAAGGCACTCACATCCTTCATCATTTCGAAAAAAGCTTCGAAGATGGAAAAATCTAATTTTTTACGATATCTTTTTGGTCATATCTAGAGAACGAATTGCTATGGAGAAACGCATTTGTAGGACTTCATTAATCTCATTGAGTCCTGCTTACAGCCAAGAGATGAAACAAAAAGCTCGGAATCGGTTGGAAGTAATTTCTTCGTGAGTAGTTGGGTTCAACTATCAAGTTTCAGATATACGAAACTTATATAGAAATCTAACAGTTTGATTATCTTTCAATATCTTTCTTGTAGATAAACCATCTTGACGATGTAAAAAATGTTCTGGTTTGATTGAAGATGAGCGTGTCAGAGATCGGCCCACATTCTCATCCTCTTGGCAGTTATTCGTATTATTGAGTTGTAAAAGAAAAAAAACAAATCCATTTGTAGTGTGATAGGATGTACACAAAAATCACTTACTCTGTCAATAGTATATCATATAACACTCGTTTCTTTTTTCTTTGTAAAACAATAATGTCAGCCAATAAAAGAAGGTTTTCATCGTTTCTCTAATAGGTAAATTCCAACTTCTATATGTTGTATTTAGATTATAAAAGCAAATTGTAATCGTATTCGACAGCATTTAAATATCTTGCTATTGATTAGATTTTCGAAATACAGTGCAGAGTCTCCTAAGAAAATGTCTGGTATCAGATGTCATGAGTGCGGTGCTGTTGTCACTCTGAGTGGTGCAGCAGGACGTTTAGCTGCTGATGGTATCAAGTGGACTGGAGATACAGCAGTTAAGTTATCTCCAAAGATTAATATTGGAATGAAAAGCGCTGTGGGAATAGCAGGTTTTGCAGCTACTTCAGAAAATACTAAAATAGGTATATTAGAGTTATTTACGGAATTAAAAAAATCAATGATACTGCATTTAGAGAGTGGATTTTTAGCTGAACAGTACAACAATCAACAATACAAATGTATTAATGATCATTCTGGTAAATGGATAACAAATTATTAAAGAAGTTTGACTCGTGACAGGACTAATATCATTTTATTAATCTACATTTATTATTTTCCGTTGTTTTTTTAATATATAATCATGATTGAAGTATGAATATATAAGAGTTGTTATAGGATGAGGATGAAAATGTGACATGATTGTATAACAACTATTACATATTCTATTTGAAAATGCAAGAACATATAAATTCAGCGGTGTAAATATATATATATATAACCCCTGTTGCATAAGTTTTGAGACAAATTTGTTTTATCCGTTTTTTTCGAACAACAAACTTTCATTTTTTATTTTTCCTATATAACAAAAGTACTAATGCTACTGTACAAAAAATCAAAAAGAACAGGCTTCATAAGGTCCTTTATCAGCAATTCGTCGAAGCTGTTTTGATATGCCTGAAAACATGGTTTGTACAACTTTAATATCAACTTCATGNTTGCATAAGTTTTGAGACAAATTTGTTTTATCCGTTTTTTTTCGAACAACAAACTTTCATTTTTTATTTTTCCTATATAACAAAAGTACTAATGCTACTGTACAAAAAATCAAAAAGAACAGGCTTCATAAGGTCCTTTATCAGCAATTCGTCGAAGCTGTTTTGATATGCCTGAAAACATGGTTTGTACAACTTTAATATCAACTTCATGTAATTTTTTGCTAATTCTTCTCTTCAATTGATCAATGTTTTGTGCTTCCTAACCACCAGCATATACCATTTGTTCAAGAATAGACCAAAATGTTTCGATTGGTCGAGCTTGTGGACAGTTTTGTGGATTTTCTTGTTCAGATACAAAACGAATGTTATTTTCATCTAAATATTCGATCACTTGATGAGCATAATGGCTTCTCGCTAGATCAGGCCAGAACAACACATTTTGTTTAGAATGATTGTTTTGAATAAATGGCATCAAACGAGCTTTAATACAATTATTTAAATAAGTAGTTTTGGTAATAGCTTGTTTTTGTTGTGAGAAGAAAGGCTCGGAGATACCATATTCGGACACGGCAATCCACACCATAATTTTGGATTCAAATTTTTTCGTTCGTTTAAATTTTACTTCTGGTGGTGCAACACTTGGATCAGATGTATAAAAACCGCGGTTAGCAGATATCGATTCGTTATGTAATAGGAAGTACTTTTCATCATCCAACACAAATTCAACATTATCTTCAGATAATGCTCGGCATAATCGTCTTGCACGTGTTGGAATTTCATCAAGTTGTTTGTCGGTGTATTTGGGTGCTCGTTTCTTTTTTCGATACGTAATACCCATAGCTTTTAATTGTCGACTAAGTGTAGAAATATCGACATTAAATTCTGGTTGAATTTGACGTAATGAAACTCCAGTCTTTTGGTCAGTCAAGCGTTTTAGTCGATTTAATTGTTGTGTTGATAANATGGCTTCTCGCTAGATCAGGCCAGAACAACACATTTTGTTTAGAATGATTGTTTTGAATAAATGGCATCAAACGAGCTTTAATACAATTATTTAAATAAGTAGTTTTGGTAATAGCTTGTTTTTGTTGTGAGAAGAAGGGCTCCGAGATACCATATTCGGACACAGCAATCCACACCATAATTTTGGATTCAAATTTTTTCGTTCGTTTAAATTTTACTTCTGGTGGTGCAGCACTTGGATCAGATGTTTAAAAACCACGGTTAGCAGATATCGATTCATTATGTAATAGGAAGTACTTTTCATCATCCAACACTAATTCAATATTATCTTCAGATAATGCTCGGCATAATCGTCTTGCACGTGTTGGAATTTCATCAAGTTGTTTGTCGGTGTATTTGGTTGCTCGTTTCTTTTTTCGATACGTAATACCCATAGCTTTTAATTGTCGACTAAGTGTAGAAATATCGACATTAAATTCTGGTTGAATTTGACGTAATGAAACTCCAGTCCTTTGGTCAGTCAAGCGTTTTAGTCGATTTAATTGTTGTGTTGATAATTTTTTAGGACGACCAAGTCTCGGCTTATTACCAATAGCACCAAATTCTTCATACTTTTTAATGATTCGATATATAGTTGGACGTGGAATTTGTTCTTGTAAAAAATGATTTACAGTAATTATTTTTCCATGTTTAGCAAAGTTCACGTACTGTTGTACAATGCGTTTTTCGAGGAATTCTCTTTCTGAACGTACCATTTTATTATGAATAAAGATGAACTAATTTAGGGAGTATTTCAAAATTCTTGCCGGTCGGCCGGCCGCTGAGACGTTCTCATGCCGCTCTGCCATTCTGCCGCTCTGCCATTCTGCCGCTCTGCCATTCTGCCGCTCTGCCCTACGGCCGCTCTGTCGTTCTCAAGTCACTCTGCTGTAGCAAAACGAATTTACTTGAGTCGCGTAATGCGACTCGCATTCTGGTATATACATAAGCGTGCACAGAATACATTTCTCTTTTCATCTTCAGAATTCTTTAAACTTTAGAAAATTGATTTCCTCCAAGAACATAATGAATCCTTTTCAAAATTATTCTTTATTTACAAATGAACGTTATTTATATTTACACACACATGTACAAATTATTTTTCATCATAAATCTATTTATTCGCAATAATTTTATTGAATTTTGTTCTTATTCGACTGCATTTTTTATTCAGTATGTCTTTGTATTGATTACTTATGCGAAACTTTGTATATCTTGCTCCATATAGATCAAATAAATGTTTATCAATAGCATCCACTCTTGCTGGATCGAATGCTTTTGTGCCACGAACAGAACCGTCGACTGATGAAAATTTTAGCTCTTCTTCTGTAAATAAACTTGAAAATAGATAAGCTAAAAGATGACGGAATCCCGTCTCTTTTTTCAGCAATTCTTGATTTGTTGCCACTTGGTGTCTATCATGCTTGTCTTTCATAACGTAAAATGTTTTCTGTGTATTGGGATCAGTAAGAGTTATCTGTGGACCCTATGAAAAAATTTCATAGAGAAAATTGAAATATTCTGATGATTAACTTTTCGTGATCTATATTTACATTTGAAATTCCCAATGATGGAAACAAGTTTTTAGACACATCAGTCGAAATCTGTGCATCACTTCTTCGCCTCTTTGACGACTGATTCTAAAAAATACCAAAACATCTTTTGCTGAGGATACTTGAGAATATAAAGACATTTAACGTACCTCATCAACTGGCGTTGATAAAGGCGAGTCATCACTATCCAAGCGAATACCACCTGGTGCTTTTGATATAAGATTTGAAGATAATTCAAGATCGTAGCGTGAGTATGAAACTTCATTTTCGAGGAGAATCATTTTATTTGGTGTTACTGCTACGGGCGCTGATGCGGTTGTTGTTTTTTGTTGTTGTAAAAGTTCAAGTATCGACTCGTCTGTAATAATACTTTGTATTGCATCTGCACCAACAGGAATCGAACTTGCCTAAAAGGAAATTGGTTGGCAAGATTATATTAAACTTCGAAAAATTTGTTTTTTCTTTACCATTTGCTCTTTGATTTCATCCGATGCATGTCGAATTGCATTTTCAAATGACAAAGCTCTTTCTTCAATCAATTCCAAAATTGATGCGCAGCATTTTTCCGTGTTGATTATACTAACTGATTTATCAGCATTTTCTATCTGTAATTGTGCTACAGTTAGATCAATTGCCACTTGTTTGTTTACTAATATATCAACAGTTCTCTCAAGACTGTTCATTGAAGTTTCCATTTGATCGAATTTCGTTAGCAATAAATCCAATTTTTCGTTTACCATTGATAGTGAAATTTTGTCACTGATATCGACTGCGAACTCCGATTCGTCGCTGCCATTACCGATGTCTGGAGATTTTTCGTGCAAATTGTCAGCTACCGACATTATTTATCTATAATGAAAAATCAAAAAATGTATAATGGTTTTGACTTTTTCAAGTGAAGATATACGATGTCCTCCTCCCCTCTAATAAATAGTCTTCTTTTTGAATTAAGATAATTTTTTATTTTATTTTATTGCTTTAGTCACTAAACTCTTTATTCTCATTTTATGAAGATTAATCAGCTACGCGTCTATTCATTCTTCTTGTTATATTTTTCGTAATTGACTTAAACTGCGTATCCGTGTACACTCTAAAAAAATAAGGAGTTTTACCGAACCTAAAAGGTTTCCTATACTTCGACTGAACGATTTTAAGTTCAGAAAAACGAAAAATGTTCCGTGCTTGAACTGCCGAACTATTTTAAGTTCCGTAGCGTCGAGAAGGTTCGGCAATTGGTAGCAAAAACCATCCACAGGTTTTTAATGCGGTATGCGAAACCATTCGTAGCTNATTTATTCAAGACTATCAAAAAAACTCGTAGAACGAGTAACTGTTCGGCAGAAGTTCTTCGAAATCATCAGCGATTCCGTGTACTTATTCATGATTTGATGAAATTTAGACGAAACTAAGATCGGTTTATTTTTCTCGCGTAAGATTCGGCAGAATTCATGCCAAACTATTGCTGGCTTTGTATATTAGTCAGAGGTTTGACAAATATTCACTAAACTATGACGAGTTCTCTATGCCTCTGATTAGTTCAGTATAACCTTTGGGAAATCATTATCTACTGCGTCGAATGAAGGAAGGCTTGGTAGTATTTGTGCCAAACTATCCCTACTTTCCTACAGCGGCTCAAAGTTTCCCATAATTTACTCGTATATACAAATATATTTTTGTACTGGTCAGTAGTTACGTACAAGTTCCGCAAAACAATTAATGATCTCATAATTATTGTTCCTGTTCGGCGAAACCTCTACCAAACCATTGATATCTGCCGTTGGTTCAGTTAGGAAAAGGAGGAGACTCATTGAAAGACAGCCCTTTACACCAGCCGACGTCCAGTTTTCAATAGACCGTCCGGTGAGACCCTATAAATATCCATGCAATTTTCATTTTCTATTTATTTCTAGTATTTCTCACTAGTCGTCACTTATGTCTATTCATCTCGGCGGACGTCCAGTTTTCAATAGACCGTCCGATGAGACCCTATAAATATCCATGCAATTTTCATTTTCTATTTATTTCTAGTTTTTCTCACTGGTCGTCACTATATCGATGCAAATCTATGGACGGAAAGTTTTCAATAGCGTGGTATTCAACTAGGTAAGTGATAATATCTAATAAACCATATTCTGTCGTCTTTCTCGTTTAGAGTTGATCGCAATGGATCTACTGGACTGGCTAGAACCTAGTCTCAGGTTCGTGTCACGATCAAAGGGTGGGTGAAGATGTGTGGACGTTCGAAATGGGTGAACTACGTTTCGTACGACTCATTTCGAACACCCACACCCTATATTCTGTAGTGACTGAATACGGGGCCTGTAGGAGGATAACTATATAGCAGTGTGTGACTAACCCAAGAGAACAACTAATGCAACGAAGGTTTCGCAGCTATGGATTTTTACGAAACCTTTTTTAATATAGTTACAGATGGTTCCGTACGGTACCTATGATACAGAACCTTCTGTCTTTTGAAGAAAAAAAGTTTCGTACTAAACCTTTGCTGCGGAACCTTTGTTCTCAGTTTTTCCTGTAAGGTTCTGCTCGGAACCTTCATTTTACTTAACCAAAAAAGGATCGTCCCGTGTATCGGTGGGAAGATCCTTTTTTGGTTTGGTAAAACTCCTTTTTTTTTTACAGTGTATGTCATAATTGACCACATTTCTGTTATGTTATGAATGAAATTAACAGTTCTGTTTGTTGTACAACTCATGTTATTTTATTCCAATATTTCTCATGATGCACACTTTCGCTTTGTGTGGAATTTAGGGAGCATTTCAAAGTTTTTGTCAGCCGGCCACAGGGTTACCAACTGTACCCCATTTGAGGGTACAGCACCCCAAGAAAATTTGCACCTTTGGGGTACGCATTCTGTACCCCATTTCTCATCTCTGATGCCTCATTTGAGACCTGAACAGTTGGTAACCCTGGCCGGCCAGCCGCTTTGCCGCAAAGCCGGTCGGCCGCTCTGCCGCAAAGCCGGCCGGCCGCTCTGCCGTGGTAAAAAGACATAAAATCCATTGCTCATGCCGCGGCAGAGCGACCGGCCGGCTGAACGGCAGAGCGGCTGAACGGCAGACCGGTTGACAAAAACTTTGAAACACCCGCTTAACTCAAGGTACGCTTTATCTGATTTATTTGTTTATAAAATTTCATCAAGTTTTAAAAACTTTTTAAAAGTTGTTGCCATGCCCAGCTACAAATGGTTAATGTTCGAGACGAAAGAGAAGTCTCAAGAAAAAATGAGACAAATGTCATTACCACGTTTTCAACATAAAAAAGTCGGAAGAAAATCTTATCATGAATTATATCCAGAAATAATTGTTGAATTAAAAGATTTGTTAAATACTCACAGTGGTTCTGCACAGGATAGACGTCGAGACGATGCTGTACGATTCAATGGTTTATCAATCGTTGACTGTAATAAATGTATTAAAAAACGATTAATGAGAAAATACTCAAAAATCAACAAAATGTCAAATTCCACTGTTCGTCGTTACTTTTTACCGCCAAAAAGCAATACTCAGAGTAGCAAATTTTATAAAGGTCGTATCTCGGCAAAAATTCCTCAAAAACGGAATTCACAATCGATCAAAGAACACAATGATTTCCACTTCACATGTGCACAAGTTAATTATGTCGAAGAAATGTCCAGTTTATACAACGACGAGATTTTAGCACTATCCTGTGATAATAAAGCGAAAATTCCATTAGGTAAGCACGCCTGCAAAAGAACAACCGCTATTGAGCCTCTTCACCGCAAAATTTTCGGAAACATGAGTTCTCTTAGTTTTATCTTTCATTCTCAGTATAATCACTACAGCTAGATTGTAAAAAACTAATTGAAACGATCTGGTTGAATTAACATAACAAATCCTATGTATAAAATGTTTATACGTCAGAACGTATCTTTTCAGGTGCACCAGCTGTGAGTCGTTATGTACGTTGTAGAAAGTTTCATCTTGTGGAAAAGCAACCAAATTTACCGGATCACGATTTTCCGAAACACGGAATTAGAATCAATCCATCTGCATATGTTATCTTATCAAATGGACGGAAACGGTCGTTGAGTGTCGATAGTCATTCGTCGTATGAATTAATAATCAAGAAAAGATCAAGATCATGTGATGCTCGATTATTTCCAGATATGAAAGGAGATACTATTCTAGTGAGTCAACCATTTCATTGGTTTGAATGTTAAACGGTAATAACCATGACTCTTTGCTTCCGTTCATTTAGACGTCTGATAAAAGAAATCTTGAACACGTGAAATGGAGTCGAACAGGAAAATTGTTTATTCGTCCATTTGGGTCTGGCATTGATCAATCAGCAAAAGCAACGAGTGAGGTCCACATAAACAATCTTCATCGGATAATAACCGAAAACAATATGTTACTTAAAAAGAATGTTATCACAATCATATCTGACAATGGACCGGACTGGAGTACGGACTGTACAGCAAACATTTATAATTTGGGAAGACTTTGGGAAGAACTGAAATTAGATGCATTAATTTGGGTTAGTTATGCTCCAGGACACAGCCGTTTTAATCCAATTGAACGTATGTTCTCGAGGTTGACAGATTTGCTACAAGGTGTTATTGTCGATTTGGATCCATCGTTTAAAGAAAAATCACAACAAATGGACATGGCATTGCTTGATTTGTCTAAATACTGGAACGATAAAAGTTACTGTAATTATAAAATTGACTGTCGTCCAATGTTTTCCGTCAATGGAAACATATTTGATGGTCACGAAAAATTAAAGAATTTACTAATGAACAAATCACAAACACAGATACAACAAAATCCAAATGTTCAATTTAACCTACAATTTTATCTTCGTCATTGTATTCGTTCAACATATTACACATCGTTTACTAAATGTGATGACAAATATTGTGTGCATTGCTCTCGTTTTCCAGTTCGTGCTTCGAAAACACTCTCTCTACTTCGTGCTGGTGGTGGATACATTCCTTGGCCGACAATGACTTACAGCAATAAATGTTACGATACATTTTTACAGAGAGCACATTCAATATTATGTGGCGAACAAAATCGTTTTCCCGATGAACATTTACCATCGGGCTCAAAGTTGAAATGTCAAAAATGTAAACTTCCATATGTATTCCTGTCGAAAGCAGATGAAGAAAGACATAATCAATGGATACACGGATCAGAGTCGAAGCGCAAAAGGTTGTCAGTTCAAGTCAACGAAACGAGAAAATCGAAAAAACGTTCTCCTTCACCTGAGTATTAATCAAATAATTGACACTAGTATTTCATTATTGTAATTATGTTGATTAGTCTGATTGAAAGAATTTCAATAAACTGAACTTATCTTTGTACAGATATCCATATAAAAGAAAATTTCATTATGCTTGGAGAAGATAAAAGAATTGTAATTGAAGTGTTGTGCACAGGAAAAGACAAATAGAACTCGCGTGAAAACCATAAGCAAAACTGTGATCTGATCATATTCTCAATTTGGCTGGAATGTGTTTAAACAAAAGTAGACTTAAATGAAGAAAAAGCGATGTACTATAGGTTTCATTGTTATTTAGAGAGGATAAAAAAGATCTCAATAATGAGGTAACTAGTCTGATTTGTTAAAAACTAACAACAATAATAATAACAAAATGCTTCAATTGTATAATTGCTCAGTTTGTCGGCCTTACAATGTAGTTGAATATTTGTCATCACTAAGGAAAAAGCTGTCTGAATCGTATTCAGCCAATTTGTTTAATGGGTAAATAAAATTTCAGATTCATCTGAATTGTTGGAGACAGAACCGAACGCTGCATTGTGTGTAAAAAGACAATCAATGTTAGTGACGGCAGGAATATTTTGCTCGGCTGATTATCATTCTAAACTAAGATCCTGTAAAGACATGAATAATTAAAAAATTGTGACCTAATTACTTTTGTTAGAATTCAAAATAAGGAGTAGTTCCGACTCGTAAAAATCTTTTTGGTGTTTAAAACTCAAAACTTTTAGCCTCATTGGCTTATCTCCATGCGATTTTAATTATATATAAATATATTTCGGTCCGATTTTCCATCTCACCAGTTTTTTAAAATTTTGTTCTTGGCATGGATACATCAGAATATGAGTCAGGTAAAATCATTTTGCTACAGCAAAGTGACCTGAGAACGACAGAGCGGCATGAAAGCGGCAGAGCGGCCATACGGCAGAACGGCACAGCGGCCGGCCGACCGGCAAGAATTTTGAAATGCTCCCTTATTTTATATCAAACTGAACTTCTTTCAGCGCTCTATCACGTGATATATGGAGAAAGGAAAAAAAGTTTGTTTAACCCGAGATATATATAAAACAAATTTGTCTCAAAACTTATGCAACAGGGGTTATGTGTATATCAGTCTTTAATACCCAGGACGATCGTTGCTGGAAGCAGTATTCCGCTTATTTTCGGCGAAAACCCGCCGGATATTCATATTTTCCGCGCTGGAAACCACGAGAAAAGACTCGGAATCCTACTAAAGGAGCCGGTAACCGTATCCGACTATCGGTTATGCCGGGTTCTTGCTGGTTCTCGATAAAACTTTTAAAATCCGATGAAAGGATCCGATCGCCGAAATACTGCTTCCATGAAATCCCCGGAAGGTCCTGGAACTGGTCGGTTCCGGGCCGGATTGTTCGACCTGGGTAATTTGTCACGTGACAAATGGAGACACATTTGCCTTTATTCGCATCTTCGGGTTTGATGTTTATTTAGCTATGCATGACATCCAAATGTAAAAATTTCACTTACAATAATAAGCTTATATAGAAAAGAGATAGAGAGAAAAGAGAACGGTACAGTTGGTTTATAGAAGAAGAGAACAAGATAAAAGCTCAAGATTGAATGAGAATGAACGTCTATGATAGAGGCATTCTTCACTACATTAATATAGTCCTTGGAGCAATCTACTTCACTTTCATCTAATAACGATTTTCAATGTTAAAATGAGCATTTGATGCTTATATAACCTTGTTTCAATCTGCATAAAACGTTAGACCACATTTAACATACGCAAATGATTCACTACTTATTTCATTTTAGGATAAGGCTGAAACGGACATGTAATTGTATGAATAAGAGAAGATGACTAACACATCTTTTTCGATGAAGAGAAATGTCGTATTGTAAACTCCTAAAACATAAACTATTGGCATATTCATGTCATCTTTGGATGTTTACTTTAATATGAAAGTTAATTACTCATATTTTTTCTTTATTTCTGTATAAATTAAATAAGGAAATATATGCCGTACAGAAAAGAATCTCAACAACAAAACTTTAAAAGGTGTAATTATTTTAATATAAATTTATTGAAATAATTCAATCGAAAATATTTTTGTGATTTTCTTTTCAAAACTTAATTGAGTAATTATTATATTAAAATCATTCGTATTTAAAAAGATAATAGCAACTTTGAAGCATATTATCCGTAGAGACCAGCCGTATTTATTATTATTTATTTTCCGCTCTCCATCGAGTCCTTTCGTTTTTTTCTTTTTATAGATGAAAATATCTCAAGGGGGGAAAAGCGAGACTTCAGACTTCAACTACTTCACTGGTACTTCACTGATACTTCACTGTACTTCGCTCGTACTTCACCAATACTTTTTCAATAGTTCTAGGTAGAAGTATTAGCGAAGTATCAGTGAAGTAAAGTGAAATACGAGTGAAGTACCGGTGAAGTACCAACGCACTAGTAACTTCACTGTACTTCACCGGTACTTCAGTTGTACTTCATTAGTACTTCACTGGTACTTCACTATACTTCAAATAATATCTGAAGTAGATGAAGTCTCGCTTTCCCCCCTTGAAATATCTACATTCCTTTTGTCATTGCACATATTATTAAAATATGTAAGCCATACGAAATGAAAGACTTTTAGCAAGGAGAAATAAGAATTTTTATTCTTTTAATTTCGAAGTAACACGAACAATACTGTCATCAATTTTTTGTTTTGCTGGATGTTCATGAAGTGCCAGATTAATGTAAATATTTTTTGCTTTTTCTAAATAGGTGACGCTTAATTGATAGTCATTTTTCTTTTCATAAAGAAGTCCTATATTTTTTAAGACGACAGCAATGTCGATATGTTGGTCAGGACATGATTGGTTGAAAATTTTTAATGCTAAATAATATTTTTCTAATGCTAAATCGAATTCATCTAATAATAAATGAATATTTCCAAGTGAACATTGTGATTGACCAATATCAGAATGATTTTCAGGCAAGTGTTTTTGACGAATTTCTAGTGCTTTCTTATAATAATCCTGTGCATCTATGTATTTCTTTATAGTCTGATAAACACCACCGATATTGTAATAACATCCAGCAACATCTAAACAATCGTCACTAGATACAGATTTAAATATTGATAATGCTTTGTTATAATACTCAATTGCTTGTTCAGAATCACCTTTTTTACTATACACAGTAGCAATACTATTGTAACTCAAACCTATATTAGAATGATCTTCAAAACGATTCATATTAGATAATAATTGTTCGTCGATTTGAAGAGATTTTGTTAAATATTTTAAACTTTCTTCGTAATCTCCACGTTCTTCTTCAATCATACCAAGTGAATGATAACATCCAGATATGTCATTATGATCATCAGATACTTCGATGAGAAAACGATCATAGTACTTTTTAGCATCTTGTAATTTATCCATCCTAAAAAGAATATTTCCAAAGAAAAAAAGATTTACTTCATCTGGTTCATATTCATCGTTCATGTAATCCATTAAGGATTTAAATTCTTCATCTTTGATTGAACACAATTCCATTGTAACATGCCAGAACTCTTTGCTGTATAGACAAACATTTTTAATTTTAAAAACAGATCCTGCCATAAAAAGTAGTTCCTTCTCGTCTTTTTTACTGCTTATTATTGAAATATCTGCGAATGGTTTGACATCATTTAAATGAGAACCAGTGTCAATTTGAAAGAGAACATTTTCTAAATTGTTCTCTTGAGATTTAAAACCATGAAAGGAAAAGCATACACTGGAATCACGAGATGTTGAGAAGAATGTATTAACCGAAATGAGCTTCCCAACAGCAGTTTGTAACTTTTTTATTTCATCGGATGAAATACGTTGACCTCGATAAACTGGAGAAGAAAGCGATTCAGCTTTAATGTCCTGTAATTCTTTTTCGATATCATGAAGAAAGAAGCGAAGGTAATATAATAAATCAATATCTTTATTACGAAGTGCTTCATTTAGTATTCGAAATACACCATTGTCGGTAGTATACCACCACAATGCTGATTTTGTCTTATATTTTCTTAAAAATTCTTCAAGTGTTGTTACACAAATTTTATCCTGCTTTTCGTAGCTTTTGTAAAATGATATAAATTCATCAGTTTCATTATCACTTAGTGGTAATCTAATTAGACAGTTAATTAATAACTGGGAATAAATAAAAGCACCATTTAGTTCATTTGTTGAATGTCCATTGAATATATCAAATGAAATATGATCATGAGTACTTTTTTCTTGTTCTTTGGAATCACAAAGAAGCTTCTTAATAAGCTCATTCACTTGAATAAATATTTCACGGATCTAAAGAAAAACATCGAGATCTATTATGGTCTATAATATTATACCTTCGTATATTTCTTGGTCCATTCTTTATACTCTTTCTGGCATGAACCATAAATATAAATTGCTGAAATCTGTGGTAGTTCATGAACTTTTGAAAGAATTTTTTCAACCAATCGAATATTAATTATGAGAATAATGTCATCATCTTCTAATGGGTTTTCTATATAATACGTGCATTCATCTTCATTTTCGAAAACCATGAAGTTATTAATTAATATTCGCAAACTTTCTAATTCAGTTATGTCCTGCGAGCTATCCATAACATTCCTCAGCCAAACGAACGTACGTTGTTTCATCGTTTTTGAAAAACAGCAATAGAAACATAGGCAGGCTATATTTATAGAAATCATCTTTATTTTATTATCCAAAGATGGTATCAGTTGTTCTTTTATTCGAATTGGCACAGGTTTTATCAATAGCCTCATTAATATGAAAGAAAAAAATTTACATTTGTGTTCCTATAATTTTAAGACATTATAATAGACAACAAAATAATTTTATATCATTTATATATTTTTATGTATAGTTTTACAAGATAGTGGAACAGCTGATTTATCTCTTTCAATAATCAAATATATTTCATTAATATCAATTGACAATACAGAATTTGATCTGTCCCAAATAGTGTCACTTGAGATATATAATTCAATAGGCCATGTAATAGAAAGAAAGAGAAGAGAAAAAAACGATGTGCAAATCATCTACAGCATTCGTTTGTTTTTCTTTGTGTTTTGATGACAATGGCAATACCCACCTGCATCACTTCGTCGATAAAAACCACCACCATAAGGAATACAAATACACGTAGGGTATCTTAAAATAGGATTCGCGTTTTTCTTGGATGAAATCGCCTGATGCTGGGATCAAACGGGACCAACACCGGACCTAGATACAGCTCGACGAGCTCTATGGAATAGCCTATTTACTTTCTCCAAAAGACCCATCCTTCTAGTGAAAAAGTCAAAAAAAACTAGTAAAAATCAGGTAAAAAATGGTAAAAATTTAGTAAAACCTGAATGGACTCGCCTACGAATGGGAACAAGCAGTCAAACTTTCAAGATCAAAAGATCTCGACGAGCTCTATCGAATGAACACCTTTTAAAAGCCTGATTCAGATAAATCTTACTAGTAAAAACGCTAAATACACCAGCTTTCACTAGTGATTCTCACTAAAACCTGTATGGATTCGCTTATAGATCGGACCAAATAGTAAAACTGTCATGGTCGATAGAGTTGATCAAGCTCTGTCGGTTGACTAACTTGAATACTATATTCGAATATACCATAGTGGTAAAAATCACTAAATAGTAACTTCTTACTAGTGATTTTACTATATCCAAAAAGCATTGATTCAGAGGTCAGATCAGAGTAGGCCAATGTTAGACCGAGATAGAACTCGACGAGATCTACCGATTGAGTATCATGGATGCTATATTGGATTAAGTTAGAATAGTAAAGATTACTATTTAATAAGTTTTTTACTAGCGAGGCCTTTAAATAACTTTTTTTAATGCAGTGAAAGATAAGATTGTGAAATACTGTGGCGTGTTTGATTGAGTGAAAACCTTTTCGGCTTCAGTTGTATGCATGGTATGTCCAAAATGAGTCACAACTCTCATCGTGTATATGTAGCGCATGCAATCAATAAAAAAGGCGCGCTTTTGCATAATTTTTGTTTATTGAAAGCGATTGCTTTTTCTTCATGGTGTTTTATCTTTCTAACGTATTGAATTTAATTCGATTATCCTTGGGTATCGATTTCCCTCTATCTGAAAGGAGATATTATCAACAATTTTTGCCTCAAAGCATCTATTAACAATTCACGATATAATATTATACATTATATTTCTATTAGTAAGTATTATCTGCTCTATACTTTAGTATACATGGAGATATTTTCTAAACAAAGTACGTGGACCTGCACGTCGTTCGAACACTATTCTAGATGACGTTTTTACTGTATAATTGTATACATCTAGTTTTTCTATACTTGATTTTTCTCTAATAAATGTTAATATTCAGTGTTCATGTTTCGTTATGGAATATTATTCCCTCGACTGAAAGGAGGGTCATGACGGAAAAAAGTGATCAAAAAGTGGAAATTCGTTTGTGTGTGTCTGTCGCAGGTCAAAGGTCAAAAAAACATTTTCTCCAAAAACGCTCAAAACTCGATAAAACACGCTTGCACATGAAAACTCAGCGAAAACCGTGTATATTGATCGAATACAAAACAAGTATCACGGCGATACTGCATATCATTCAGAAGTTCCAGAAAAGACAACAGCCAAGGAATCGATATTCGGAAAATAGTATAGGAAAAAACTCAGCTAGAAACGAAGCGACACGTAGCTGAAAGCCGCGACAGAGTAATCCACCAGCATGACAACACGATATTGTATGTTCCCGTGCCGTACTAGAAACTCTCGCGACTATCGAAATATCGCTTTTTAGGCTCCGATCTCCCACAATCGTAACTTTTACGATTTACCCTGACACTTCAAAGGAATTGCACACTTTAGCGATACAATCAGCGCCGCCGTAATACAGAGAAATCAGCCGTTCCAAGCCAACAGCGACGAACACTAATAATATTCCCGTATTCATCACACATCAACGCCTGAGACAACAGCCATCAAAATACCCAATACCTGTGAATGCTCTCAGAGCCCAGGCGGAATGCCTCCACAGTAGTATCTTCACCCTCAGTAGTACGCAACGAAGCGATGAGCGGCGATCTGGCAGATCACCGCTCATCGCTTCCACTCAATCAACGCACTCCACTCTCTCCCCAAGCAATATTCCTTTCCCTATCCAAAAAACAAAACCACCCAGCACTTCAGAATTAAAAATCAAAATGCCTTCACAACCATATACTTCACGTCCGACACTCACCTATAGACCTATATGGAAAAGTTTGCAAAAATCTCTCTTTCTTCTCTTTCGCAGCGCAATTCATCCATGATTTCCTCTAGAAAACAGCACCTGTCTCTGTTACGCACCAAACTCTACCTCACAATTGAATATTCGGATTGTGCATTGAATTGTGCATTTCATGGGACAACTTGTAGCTCAACATCCTACAGGAAGGAAAAGTCGTATCCCAAATCGAGGTTCAGCAGATGTTGAAGAGAGAATTTCTGCCTCAGAAGAATGATTCTGTGAGGTTCTCGATGTAGAGGGTGCAAAAATCCTATAGTCTCGAAAAGATACGTGTACCTATCGCAATCAATAATGAATCCCGGATCGCAAACGATCTATAGATCTCGAAAGAAGAAATCAATCTAACCGTACCCAGTGAAAGATGTGAGATGGCAACCACGTTTATTCGGGTCAGACAAGAACAAAAACGAATATAGAGAATTACACGAAAATGAAAACAAACAACTCTGTAATATAGAGCAACAAATAGAGAGAAACGACAACTGAAAAGTAACAGCATGGTCTAACTACCACAAAAAATGACGGAAAAACAACAAAGAAAGATCATCATGAGGACATGATGATCAAGAGAAGAAACACATTCCACAGGAAAGAAAAAGTGTATCACGAAGGAAAGGAATGTGAAGCGAGGTACAAAAGAGACGAACGTAAAGAAACATAAACATGTCTATGTATCCGTACATAGATATGTGAAACGATAGCGTCGTGTAGTAACAACCCATTACGCTAATGTAACGACAAACTGGTTGAGTAGCTGACCGCTTCTCACGGTATCGATGTTTATTGACTACTCTACATGACTAGAATGTATCTCTTTCACAATAAGACACGCGCTTATATAGAGAAGAGGAAAGAGAGATATGACCCGGAGATAGTATGATATAGAGATGAGAGAATAAAGAACAGAAAGATATGAACGATATCATTATCGTTACACCATAGACTTAATTTTTCGTAGTTCTGGACGTCTTTCATGAATAACATTAAATCGAGAAGTAAAAACAATAGAACAACAATGAAAACGAAGTCTCACTTACATGTAGATAAATTCTGATTTAATTCTTGTGTAACCTCATCAATTGCACAATTAAGAATCGCTTGTCTACAAAAACAGCGTCTGATATTAATTGATGAAAACAATTAAGGAAGCACTTACTGTTTCATTAAGAACAGGTCGTTGTTCCAGTCGATTTTTACGTTCCGTGCCACAAGTGATTGAATACCGTCAAGAACAACTAAGTTTTCTCGTTTGTTTAATATGTTCGAAAAAACACACAGCTTACGTTGATGTTTTCCTAGATGATGATAGACCAATGCACGTTTTTTCAATAGCTCAGTCATTATCATTTTATCATCATTTGTTTGATCGAGATTTTCATGGATTAACTTGTTTACTAATTGTAAATAGAAAAAGACCACATAAGTGATCCTGATTGTTTCAATAAATCAAATCAAATTTACCTTTTCACATTTTTTAAAGTTTCGTTCAGAAATGTATCGATCAATTTTTACATACGAGAGAAGAACTCAGGTCGAACAATCCCATACTCGGATCCAATACTGAATTTTATCGGATCCTACAGGAATTCGACGGATCCGATGAAATCCTGGTGACGGAATCGCATTGGATTCCGACGGTCTCGGATCCGATCGGATCTCGTCGGACCCGAAACATGGATTTCCTGGATTTTCTAAGGATCATCATAGAATATAGCTAGAAAGATCGCTCATAAAATTTGCAACAACCGACGGGATTTTTCTAGTCGGATTCCAATGCAATTCCGTTTCCAGGAATCCGATCGGATTTTGTCGGATGGTCGGATCCGGTAAGATCCGATCGGATCCAGCATCGGATTTGTTGACCTGGGAACTGTATTCATGATTGAATAAGTAATTTGCAAAGTTGATTACTAATGGAGAAAAGTGATGGCAACGTGTATGATGTGGCGAAGTATATGGAAAACAACGACTTCCATTCGTGTCGGATTCATATATATATGCGTCAAAAACAAACGATGGACATGACCGACGAAATAATTCTTTTTTTTATTTCTCTCTGCTTCCGACGTATTTATCATTATGTAATGTATTTAACACATCGACGACAAACTCGTCAAATTTAAAACAACAAAAGACATTCGTCGACAGAACGGAACAGATGTAAGGTACGACAGTAGCTATCATCATAATATAATGTAGCGAAAGATAAATATTGAAAAGAAAGCTGCACATTCCTGGGAGCAAAGTTTCAACTAACTGACAAAATTTTACCGTCGACGGTGACAATCGTTAATCCAGAAGAGTGCGATTCGTCACCTATTTGAACCGAACCGTAATGCTGCCTTGTACCGAAGAGATGATCAAGCAGAAGTTGAAAGTGATCTGAATGTCGGAGATTTTCTTTCTCTACTCGATGTCAAAACAGGAATGTTTGATGTGGTTCTCTGATCATTGCTTTTATTTTGAAATAAACATTACAAATAGAATATCTTTCTCTCACGAAAATATCTAAATGAGATTGGCAATATCAGCGGGTAATTCCTCGATATGTGTATCATAGTATTTTTCGATACTTCGTAACATTCCCTGATCCTCCTTGGTGATGAGAGTAATCGCCGTCGCTTTTCGACCATATGCGCCGCTATGACCAATTCTTATAGAAAATGCAAAACAATACCTTCTATCGATTCTTTTGAACACAACTTTACCGATGGATGTAATTGTCCATGCTGTTTGGTAAGTCGTAGTTAATGTACAAATTGACCTGATGATTGATAGAACGAGCGAATAAATCGACAGTGATCAATACTTGACTTGATCCCGTTTGAAATTGTTGGACAATAACATCCCGTTCTTGCTGACTTAGATGTTGATGCTATAGAAAAGAAGCGTTTTTTACAATCCTATAGTTATGCCTATTCAATTTACCAGTACGCTGACAGTAAATTATTTTGTACGTAGTTTGTCCGCTACAAAATCAATTGTACGAGAAGTATTGCAGAAGATAATGAGTTGTTGGGTGGATATTATTTCGAGTATATCTACGAGTGTATCTGTTTTCCATTCCTTTTGTTTGGCGAACGAAATATTTTAGTGAATTGAGGATGAAAAGATCGTTCAATTTACCTCTCGCTCGACATTGACATAGAACTGACGAATAGGCTCGAGAGTCAAGTTGTTACTTTTAAGCAGAATTTTCACTGGATCTTTCATGACTTTGGCCGTTATTTTGTCCAGTTCAGCCGGTAAACTAGCCGAGAATACTACTATCTGGGTACTAGACGGTAGTTTATCTACTATGCCACTAATTTGTTCTTCGAAACCATGATCCAATATTTCATCCGCTTCCTCCAAAACGAGCATCTTAACGTGATCAATACCTAGAAATTTGATGAAATCACAGTTTCTGCATCTGCAATACAGATTACATACGAAGTTTTGATCGGTTTATCACGTCAGTAACTCGACCAGGTGTTCCAGTTACAATCTGAACACCTTTTTCAAAACGTTCGATATCGCTATGAATATGCGTACCACCGGTACAAGCATGGCAAGTAATATTCATGTATTGGCCAACACTGGAGATCACATAATTGATCTAAATTACAAAGCAAGTAGATGATCATTTATTATCAAGTCCAGAAGATTAGTCGATTACGAACACTTTGAGCTAGTTCTCTCGTAGGCGCCAAGATCAACGCTTGACAGTCTTTGATCTCCGGATCGATTCGTTGTAACACAGAAATAACGTATGAACTAGTTTTCCCTGAACCTGAATATGCTTGAGCAAACATATCACGTCCTATGAAAGTAAAGTGTAACACAATTTCTCGTAGAAATACACCAAGCATATACGAACCTGCAATACATGGTTTGATAGCAAGTTTTTCAAGCATGGATGGCTTTTCAAAGCCATATCCATAGATGCCTCGTAGAAGATTTTCATGTAAATTCATGTCATCGAAAGTGTTAACTGTTTCATTCCAGTTGTTCTCAAATATGTCTTGGAAAATATACGAACTTGATTCGATATTGTTGGCCGTCATCTTGAAATTATGAAATGCAATCAGAAGAAGACGACTGTTTCTTTTTTATGTATTGCAAGTGATTGCGAAATTACTTGAGAACGAACGATTAATAAACATCATACGTCAGAGAAGAGAAACGTTTCTAGTTGAATCCTCCCACCCTTTGTAAATTCAAGTGGCGAATTAGATTGTATGATTATTTACGTCATGGTCGAATTATTTGTGACATATAAACGTGAAACAAAAACATATTTTTCGATTACTTTCTATTTATCTGGAACGGGAACGTTTATTGTATATATAAAACGAAAAAGCATACGAAGGAAATAGTTAAGTCACCACGGGGAACGAAATGCATGCAAGCTCGCAGAATCGTAAGTTTATCTATTCGATTATGGCAAACAATAAGTTTTGTACTTCTATTCTACAGACAATTATCATCAAATCGATGAATACATCCGATCAGAGATGAAAAAACAAAAGATTCCGGGTCTTTCTATGGCTATCATAAAGAATAATCAGATGGTCTATGGACAAGGTTATGGTTATTCCAATCTTGAACATCAAATACCTGCGAAACTCGAAACCGTCTATCAATCAGGTTCTATGGGAAAGCAGTTCACTGCACTGGCTGTTATGATCCTCGTTGAGAGAGGACTAATTAACTTAGATACAAGGGTTAAAGAATATCTTCATGATGCACCGAAAGCATGGAAAAATATCACTGTTCGACATTTGTTAACACATACTGCTGGTACAACAGATTATCCTTCGGATTTCGATTATCAGCAAGACAATGACGAAGATACGATGTGGAAGATGATCAAAAAGATACCTCTTGATTTCCAACCTGGTGAACAATACTCGTACAGTAATCTTGGATATGTTACGTTAGGAATACTGATTGGTCGTGTCACTGGTGAATTCTATGGTGATTTTCTTCAGAAGAATATTTTCCAACCACTCGGTATGAAAACAGCACGGATCATTAGTGAAAGCGATATCGTTGCCAATCGTGCATCAGGTTATGAGCTTGTCAACGGCAAAGTGAAGAACCAAGAATGGGTAGCGCCAAGTCTGAATAGCTTCGCTGATGGTGCACTTTATCTGAGTATTTACGACATGGTGAGGTATGAAGTCGGATTGAATAGTAATGCAATATTGAAGAAACAAACGAGTTTCGATCAGATGTGGACTGCTGTGAAGTTAAACGATGGGACAACGTATCCATACGGTTTCGGATGGAGTACAGATGAAACCATCAATGGCTTGCGAGTTGTCAAACATGGTGGAACATGGCAAGGCTTTGAAACATTTATTGTTCGGGTATTAAATGCTAATGTCACAGTCGTTGTTTTTGCCAATCTTGACGAAGCAGATCCGGAAACAATGGCCACACACATCCTGGAAATGTACGATCCACAATTTGCCCTTAAGCCAAGTGTAGATGGCGAAGAGGAGGGGGAAGATGATGACGAGGAAGATGACGACGAGGAAGACGAATAATCTCGTCAGTCGCATGCTTTTCTCATTTATTGAAGAAAAAAAATCAATTGAATACTACAATAAACAAGTATACTTAAAAATGAGTATTCAAGATGTGCGTGTTCGTTTCTTGTCGTAGTAGAAATAGTTGATGTCACATGATCCTTTTGAAATCGTTCTCGAAATATTTCCTGTATGCTACGGATTTCATAAAGTTTGCCAACTACGGATTTTACTTGTTCTTCGATGACTCGGTTGTTACAGTTGTCATATCGACACCAATACTGAATTCTTCTCAACGTTGACGTCATATCTAAGTTCACTACAAACCTGTCTCTATCATCTTTTCTATAGAATAGATCAATGTCAGCTTGGATATCAATTCCTATCCGTACATCGTCATAATCTACACATTTCTGTATCGACTGATTCAATCGATGGATATGAATTGAGGTACAAGTTGGGATTGAACACATCGTCGCATTATCAGTATTATTCAGCGCGCAATAGTCTAAATAATCCGAATCAAACTAGATCGATATGTAAAAAAATATATCAAGCACATTTATTTACCTGCCCTAGACTTCTGAATCTCCAATACAATTTTTAGAGCGCTAGCTAATGGACTGTAATCGATAGAAGTTATCAAGTCAAAATGATCGAGTAGATACTGTTGATTACAAGTATCTTTATTCTGACACGTGAATTCGATTGTTTTCCATACTAGTGGAGGACTGTCAATACCAGTATTGGTTGATTGCGCTATTCTTGTTTGTATAGTCAGTTGATTGTGTCCATCGAGTTTTGTTTTGTTCTTGTTTCCGTAAAAGTGAATGGTTGAATATTTACCACCTGCCGAAGTGACATAAATATCTATTTGACATTCTTCGTATCCATCTCTACTTGGAATTTGATTTATGTATTCTTTCATCATCTTCAAATCAAAGTCGCCTCGTGCTAATTCTCGTTTACCATTCGTATCCGTACATCGAAGTGTGCTACCGAACATAGTAATACAACTATAAAACGAGAACACGAGAAGAAATTTCATTGCAATGAAGTTAAAACAAGAAAATGTAAGTTTTATAAATGTCTGATGACTGAACTTCAAGACGTCACGAGGATATTTATTTGGAGAATAAAAGTCAAGAATTGTCACGAACTCGGTAAAACGCTGCATATGCAAATATATTTGATAAATCACATGATGATTTCTTGGAATCACAAGAAATGCAGATACTTTCTAAGTTTATTTCGTAAGAAAAATAAAACGAAGCGTCTATTGTTTTGCTTTTCCTTGATTCATGACTTTTTCAATCGCCTTTTTGACAACATCATCCGGTGCAACATAATAATGCCGAATCGGATTCATATTTTCATCCAATTCATAAATCAATGGAATACCTTAACAAAGGAAAACTTGACTAACATAACATAAAACATGAATTCTTTTCGGAGAAACCTGTCGGCACGTCAATTTTTGAAATATCACCATCGGATACTTGATCAAGATATTTAATCAATGCTCGAACAGCAGTACCGTGAACACATATGAGCACATTTTGTCCGGAACGGATGGATGGCGCAATGTGATCGTGCCAGTAAGGTAATATGCGCACGAAGGTATCTTTTAAGCATTCAGTCAATGGCAATAGACGTTTGTCAACGTTCTAAAAGTTGAATGGAAATACGATAGAGAAAATGAAGATTTTGTATACTTGATATTTTGGATCATTTTTGGGATTGTATTCACTGGATTCATCCAATGGTGGAGGTGGAATATCATAAGCACGACGCCAAATCTATTCGAAATATCTTTTCATATTCAACGAAATAGCATAAATGGCAACGAATCTAACTTTAACTTGATCTTCACCGTATTTCGCCACTGTTTGAGCTTTATTTTTACCTTGTAAATCACCGTAGACGCGTTCATTCAGACGCCAATGACGATAAACCGGAGTCCAATGAAGATCTAATTCTTCTTGAATAAGATACAATGTTTTGATCGCTCGTTTTAAAACCGAGGTGTAAGCGACGTCAAAAGTACAACCTTGTTCTTTGAGCCACTAGATTAACACTCTTCTTGCTATAGTCTGCTGGAAATAAGAGGAAAACACGTACTTTGCCTGCTTGTTTGCCTTCTTCAATACCCTTCTGTGAGAGATCAACATCGTTCCATCCACAAAACAGGTTCTTTTCATTCCACTCACTAAATTAATTTAACAATTGTTCTCAAAGGCGATCTTTGCACTCATTTACCTTTCACCATGACGAAGTAAAATTAACTTGTACACAACCATGACTAAATCAAATGAGTCGAATCCATTCGTTTATAATATTATCCATCTTGTATATAGGAAGCAACCTATAGTTGTCGTTAGTTGACACAGTCAGTACGTAATACCTCGAAAATTCTCCTTCTCCACTGCGTAAATGATTCAGGTATTCGATAACAAATCTGTTTTATGTTGTTTTTATAAAAAACAGTTACGAAAAAATATGGCGGATCATCTCGGTCGTACAGAAGCATATGATGAAATATTACCGTTTAATATTCAGTCCACGCCTTCGAATTCGGATGATTGTATCGCTGTTTGGTTAAATTCAGAAGACAAACTGAGTCCTGAAGTTCAGTCAGAGATAAACAGCGCAATACGATCGATTGCAGCCTATTTGCAAATGTTCACAAATGTCGATGAATGTATAGATTTTATCTCTTCTATCGTCTATGAAAAAGTATTCCTCTTCGTATCGATATCCGTTGCTCGACAACTTGTACCACTAATCCATGACCTTCTCCAGTTGGTATATATTTATGTCTACACCACAAGCGATGTTCATATTCATCAATCGAGCTGGATGAAAGACTTTCCTATTGTTCGAGTTGGAAATCAGCATGAATTGCTAGAACAATTACAACGCGACATAAAATATTTGCAAACTGATGCGTCGCCATTTTCACTATGTTGGACAGAGACAGCAACTAATCATTCGACTCAAGATTTTAACATTCAACACGCGAATTTCCAATGGAATCAACTACTACTTGCTGCACTAAGACGACTACCTCAGAATGATCGATCGAAACAAGATATCATTGATGAATGTAAGGCGCAGTACCAAAATAATACTTCGGTGCTGAAACAGATCGAAGAATTTGAGAAATCTTATCGGTCTGAATTAGCTATTTGGTGGTACACCCGAGATTGTTTCTTATACAAGATGATCCATCGTGCACTTCGTACGGAAGATATAGATATCATTTTTAAATTTCGATTTTTCATAACCGATCTTTACAACCAACTGAGCGACTTACATAGACGATCCAATTCGGAGCGATCAAATCTGTTGGTTCTTTATCGTGGCCAACGATTAATGTCAAATGAATTGGAAGTTTTGAAATCGAATATAAATTGCATTATTTCAATGAACACATTTTTATCGGCAACAACAAATCTGGATGTGGCGTTGATGTTCGCTGGAAATGGATCCGAACGACCTCTGATTGAATCCGTACTGTTCCAAATAACGATTGATGTCAATCAATCAGACCAACCTGTCGCCGATATTTCACAGCTCGGTTACATGAAAGATGAAGATGAAGTTCTTCTTTCAATGAGTATGTTATTTCGAGTAAATGTCATTTACGAGGTAGATAACAGCGTATGGAAAGTGGAGTTATTGTGTATCAATGAAACTGATATTGAACTGAATGGTTATTATAAATATCTGAAAAAGAACATTAAGAAAGGCAGCGATCCGCTTCTAAACTTTGGATCGCTTCTTTTCGAAATGGGTCTATACGACAAAGAAGAGAAATATTATTTAATGGTACTCGCTGAAGGTACGAACAAGTATGGTGTGGTCTACAATAATCTTGGTTTTTGCTATTATCATAAACGTAATTATAGACGAGCTTTAGATTATTACAATAAAGCATTGACTCATTATGCCATGGAAAATCTTGATGAAGATCCATGTTGTACGCAAACGTACAATAATATTGGACTTATTTATCAAGCTGAAGGTAAGTATAAGGAAGCACAAAGATTCTATCAGAAAGCACTGAAAATACATGAGAAAAATCCAACAAAAAATGTCATTGGATATGTTCAAACTCTTACCGGTCTTGGAAGTATTTACAAAGCACAAAATGCTTACAATCAGGCGTTGACACTGTATTTACAAGCGTTAGATATAGTGCATACTCAACGACCTGGAAATTATTTTGGAGAAGGAGGCATTCATCATCACATAGGGTCCATTTACTTCGCATTGGGGCGGTACGATGAGTCAATAAGCACTTTAACAAAAGCTTTACGAATATCTCAAACATTATTGCCAAACAATCATCCTGTTAATATTGACATATTAATAGACATAGGACTTGTATATGATCAGAAAGCAGAATATGATCAAGCACTCAACTATTATAGACAAGCACATAATGTCTTTATAAAACAAAAGATCGTTGATCAGATTGAACTTGCTACGCTTTATAATAATATTGGGATCATTTATAGTAAAAAAGGTGAGTATTCTTTAGCATTAGAGTACCATTATAAATCTTTAGAAATCAGAGAACAATTTGCTTCACAATGTGCGAATACCATTGCTAATTCATGTCTTAATATTAGTATTGTTTATATCAAGATGAAAAATTATCATGAAGGTATTAAGTTAGCAGAAAAAGGTATTGCTACTATACGTCAGTCTCAATGTCCAGATCACGTCGATCTCGGAATATTGTATAATAATTTGGGAACAGCCTATCAGGATATGAGAGATTTCAAGCAAGCTCTACACTACTTTCAGCTGTCTCTTGATATTAAATATCGATATTATCCATCAAATCATTCGTCGATTGGAACAACGTTAGATAATATTTCTTATCAGTACTTATTAACAGGAGATATTTCAACAAGTCTATATTACCAACAACAGTCTTTAAAAATATTCGAGCAATCGCTTGGCATTAATCATCCAACTACAATTAACTGTAGAACATATCTCGAATTGCTTCAGTGATTTAACTAACCAAAAAACGTTGAATCTATCCCTTTATTTGTTTTTATTTATTTTTCATATATTAAAATAAAACCTTACGGCTAGCAAATTCTCAAGAGTGAATTCCATTACCACCAAGAAAATGTCATTCCGCCGTTGTTTCTTGAATTCCAAGCATAATCTCGTTGATTCAGCAGAAACAATTCTTGTGCTCTAGCCTCGAATGCACTGTCAGCGGGAGCAAAACGTGCACGTAGATCCATTCCTCGATTGGCGGCTTGTTGCATTTGCACCGCAATATTATCCATTCCACCACGACCATGTTCATTCAGNCTAAATTAATTTAACAATTGTTCTCAAAGGCGATCTTTGCACTCATTTACCTTTCACCATGACGAAGTAGAATTAACTTGTACACAACCATGACTAAATCAAATGAGTCGAATCCATTCGTTTATAATATTATCCATCTTGTATATAGGAAGCAATCTATAGTTGTCGTTAGTTGACACAGTCAGTACGTAATACCTAAAAAATTCTCCTCCGCTGCGTAAATGATTCAGGTATTCGATAACAGATAACAAGTCCGTTTTATGTTGTTTTTATAAAAAAAACAGCTACGAAAAAAATATGGCAGATCATCTCGGTCGTGCAGAAGCATACGATGAAATATTACCGTTTAATATTTAGTCCACGCCTTCGAATTCGGATGATTGTATCGCTGTTTGGTTAAATTCAGAAGACAAACTGAGTCCTGAAGTTCAGTCAGAGATAAACAGCGCAATACGATCGATTGCAGACTATTTGCAAATGTTCACAAATGTCGATGAATGTATAGATTTTATCTCTTCTATCGTCTATGAAAAAGTATTTCTCTTCGTATCGATATCCGTTGCTCGACAACTTGTACCACTAATCCATGACCTTCTCCAGTTGGTATATATTTATGTCTACACTACAAGCGATGTTCATATTCATCAAACGACCTGGATGAAAGACTTTCCTATTGTTCGAGTTGGAAATCAGCATGAATTGCTAGAACAATTACAACGCGACATAAAATCTTTGCAAACTAATGCGTCGCCATTTTCACTGTGTTGGACAGAGGCAGCAACTAATCATTCGATTCAAAATCTTAACATTCAGCACGCGAGTTTCCAATGGAATCAACTACTACTTGCTGCTCTAAGACAATTACCTCAAAATGATCGATCGAAACAAGATATCATTGATGAATGTAAGGCGCAATATCAAAATAATACATCGGTGCTGAAACAGATCGAAGAATTTGAGAAATCTTATCGGTCTGAATTAGCTATTTGGTGGTACACCCGAGATTGTTTCCTATACAAGATGATCAATCGCGCACTTCGTACGGAAGATATAGATATCATTTTTAAATTTCGATTTTTCATAACCGATCTTTACAACCAACTGAGCGACTTACATAAACAATCCAAATCGGAGCGATCAAATCTGTTGATTCTTTATCGTGGCCAGCGATTAACGTCAAATGAATTGAAAGTTTTGAAATCGAATATAAATTGCATTATTTCAATGAACACATTTTTATCGGCAACAACAAATCTGGATGTGGCGTTGATGTTCGCTGGAAATGGATCCGAACGACCTCTAATTGAATCCGTACTGTTCCAAATAACGATTGATGTCAATCAATCAGACCAACCTGTCGCCGATATTTCACAGCTCGGTTACATGAAAGATGAAGATGAAGTTCTTCTTTCAATGAGTATGTTATTCCGAGTAAATGTCATTTGCGAGGTAGATAACAGCGTATGGAAAGTGGAGTTATTGTCTATCAATGAAACTGATATTGAACTGAATGGTTATCATAAATATATGAAAAAGAACATTGAGAAAGACAGCGATCCGCTTCTAAACTTTGGATCGCTTCTTTTCCAAATGGGTCTATACGACAAAGAAGAGAAATATTATTTAATGGTACTCGCTGAAGGTACGAACGAGTGTGGTGCGGTCTACAATAATCTTGGTGTATGCTATTATCATAAACGTAATTATAGACGAGCTTTAGATTATTACAATAAAGCATTGAATCATTATGCCATGGAAAACCTTGATGAAGATCCATGTTGTACGCAAACGTACAATAATATTGGACTTATTTATAAAGTTGAAGGCAATTATAAGGAAGCACAAAGCTTCTATCAGAAAGCACTGAAAATACATGAGAAAAATCCAACAAAAAATGTCATTGGATATGTTCAAACTCTTACCGGTCTTGGACATATTTATGAAGCACAAAATGCTTACAATCAAGCGTTGACACTGTATTTACAAGCGTTAGATATAGTACATACTCAACGACCTGAAAATTATTTTGGAGAAGGAGACATTCATCATCACATAGGGACCATTTACTTCGTATTGGGGCGGTATGATGAGTCAATAAGCACTTTAATAAAAGCTTTACGAATATCTCAAACACTATTGCCAAACAATCATCCTGTTAAGATTGGCATATTAATAGACATAGGACTAGTATATGGTCAGAAAGCAGAATATGATCAAGCACTCAATTATTATAGACAAGCACATAATGTCTTGATAAAACAAAAGATCGTTAATCACATTCAACTTGCTACGCTTTATAATAATATTGGGATCATTTATAGTAAAAAAGATGAGTATTCTTTAGCATTAGAATACCATTATAAATCTTTAGAAATCAGAGAACAATTTGCTTCACAATGTGCGAATACCATTGCTAATTCATGTCTTAATATCAGTATTGTTTATATCAAGATGAAAAATTATCATGAAGGTATTAAGTTAGCAGAAAAAGGTATTGCTACTATACGTCAGTCTCAATGTCCAGATCACATCGATCTCGGAATATTTTATAATAATTTGGGAACAGCCTATCAAGATATGAGAGATTTCAAGCAAGCTCTACACTACTTTCAGCTGTCTCTTGATATTAAATATCGATATTATCCATCAAATCATTCGTCGATTGGAACAACGTTAGATAATATTTCTTATCTGTACTTATTAACAGGAGATATTTCAACAAGTCTATATTACCAACAACAGGCTTTAAAAATATTCGAGCAATCGCTTGGCATTAATCATCCAACTACAATTAACTGTAGAACATATCTCGAATTGCTTCAGTCATTTGACTAACCCAAAAACGTTGAATCTATCCCTTTATTTGTTTTTATTTATTTTTCATATATTAAAATAAAACCTTACGACTAGCAAATACTCAAGAGTGAATTCCATTACCACCAAGAAAATGTCATTCCGCCGTTGTTTCTTGAATTCCAAGCATAATCTCGTTGATTCAGCAGAAACAATTCTTGTGCTCTAGCCTCGAATGCACTGTCAGCGGGAGCAAAACGTGCACGTACATCCATTCCTCGATTGGCGGCTTGTTGCATTTGCACCGCAATATTATCCATTCCACCACGACCATGTTCGTCCAGNCTCAAGAGTGAATTCCATTACCACCAAGAAAATGTCATTCCGCCGTTGTTTCTTGAATTCCAAGCATAATCTCGTTGATTCAGCAGAAACAATTCTTGTGCTCTAGCCTCGAATGCACTGTCAGCGGGAGCAAAACGTGCACGTAGATCCATTCCTCGATTGGCGGCTTGTTGCATTTGCACCGCAATATTATCCATTCCACCACGACCATGTTCATTCAGTCGTCGATGAACATCCATCGACATACCGGCATACTGTATTGTGGGTCTTCCTACTCCTGACGTTGTCATCATCTGATAAACACCTGAAAGTAACATAGAATTGTGCAAAAAAGTGATTATATAATGGACGGGATGGTTTACCTGGACCGTTATGTGCACCTATATCATTGTAATACTGTGAACGACCCTGTGTTAGAAGATCCGAGGAGCCAAATACAGGTTGTTGAAACGAACCAAATCGTCTATCTCTCGAACCATCAATATTAACAACTTGTGGCATTTTTCACCGTCTATACGTATACCGATGTAGTGAGTTTTTTCCCAGTGAGTCACGATATAAAGAAAACTCATTTCATTCTTTTATCAATTCTTTCGCGAGTTTCTCGCCGAGACACGATACTATTCTGCTTCCACCATTTTATTCATACTAAAGCAACAAAAAAAGTAACAGCTGCTGCGAAAGATGCGTCTCATATGAAATGTGCCTTTAATTAAATTGATCGCCCATTTTGGCTGCCATTGTCACAAGTAGAACGAGGAAATAGATTGAGATGATGTCACCTGGTCTATTAGCGCCACTCGTTTGTTTACTATCTAATTGTATAACATGACTAGCGATACCACACATATTTTTCCCACGTACAATACGAATATATCCTTTCTCACCCCAAGTTTCCCCTTCAATCACGAAAAATTATAGCCAGACATTCATTTTCATAATACGCAACCTACCCCAACTATTTTTGCATATCCAAAATGGTCTTCCTTTTTCAACACCATAACCAACAATTTGTATCTAAGAAACCATTCAAAATAGTCCGTAATAATCAGACATATTTCTTACCACATGATCCCAAATCGTCTGTTCACAATTCGGCACATCATAAACACCTTTATCATATAACATAAAACTTTCCGCGCTAGCATCTATACCGGCCCATAGAGTAGAATCTTGAATCCAACTCAACATGGTAGTTTCACTTTTGCTTGTAAGACGATTGATTGTATCGAACTAGAGCACATCAGAAATTGCGAGAGCAATGGGCAATCGAATTGAGACATACTTTAGCGTATATTGGACATTGGTTCGGATTGCATTGACGGAGAATGTCCGGATAGTCACTTTGTCGACAAATACCCGTGAGATTTTTCAGGCAATCAAATGGATCGTCGATCGTTTGACAGCAATCAAACACTTGAGCACTACTGCCCTGTACAAGCTTTTTGGTTTTGATGGCATGGAGACTTTCGATGATTTCTACAGAATGATAATGAAAGGATGAATACGATTTGTTTCTTGTTCTTCCTAGTTACCAGTACTAACAACAGAAAGAACCATCTCTTGTATTCGACCTTGGTTTTGAACGGGCGAGATGACACCTTTCACTCGCCAATCGAGCGATGCAGGAAGATCTTTTACTTCGGCGGATTCTTTGAACGATGTTGAATGAACAGTGTTCACTACACTGCGTTTTTTGGAGACAAGATCCTATGAGATACATTCGACTAATAGCTTCGTTCGTTAAAATTCTATACTTCAATTCGTTGATCAGCAAGATGGTTGATTTTCATTGTAAATGTTGCATCTGGATGAGTTTGTTGAAAACGATGCATTCGCTGAATATTTTCAATAAAAAGTTGTTTATGCTTTACTTCCTCCGCATCCGTTGCATATTGTTTTCCATAATCACGTTTAAATCTCTCCCATTCTGAGGACAAACTACACATAACAGTACCAAATACAATGCACGATAGAATAAACTTAAACATCTCGCTCGAATAACAAAATGTCGAAAGAGAAGACTATACCGTTGAAAGATAGTATTATTTGCATAATTACTCTCGTAACTTATCTGAAAACTGCAACTTGCTGTGACATCTGCCTGTCCTTTTTCTTTGTTGGTCTACCTGATAGAGGTAAAGCATATCAAGAAATGCAAGCGAAATTACATCAGATACTGAAATTCTTTCATGTAAAGTAAAAAAATCAAATGGCAGTCCACACACATCACATTACAAATGAACAAATCAAAAACATTTTACAAGATAGTAAAGTTCTCGATGGTAATGATGAATTCACCTCATCGCGTATTACCAATGGATTTTGTAATCCAATCTATCACATAAAGATGTCCAGCGGTAATCAGTATATTCTGAAGGTGACAAATCCGATTTGGAAGAAACTCAAGACAAGAAATGAAGCGATCGTGCTGAATTTCTTGCATAAGTACACATCGATCCCAGTACCGAAAGTCATCTCGTATTCGAACACAAATGAACTTATCGGTTACGAATACATTCTTATGACGTACGTACCAGGAATTCCATTGTCTGATGTTTATGATTCGTTAAGTTTCGAAGAACGAAAGCCTTATTTATTTCAACTTGTGAAAATTTATGTTGAAATGGTGAATATCGATATACGTTCAACCGATATGAATAAATTAGGTTGCTTTGAAAAGATCAACGAAAAGGATGGAGCGTTCGAAGCGGTTTTATGTCCCAATGTCGATTCCCTACAAGGTCCACACAACAATATCTACGATTATTCATGCGATTACATCAAGTTTCGATTTCCAGAAATGTTACAGTCGAAATATTCTCACTATGTACCGAAATTCGAAGCAATTATCAAATCATTGCGCGAAGAGCAACAGAAAACGGTATTCGACGAACGAGTAGTCCTAACGCATACGGATATAGCGCCAAAAAATGTCATAGTCGATCCTGCAACAAAAACCGTTCAAGCCTTGATCGACTGGGAATGGAGTTCGTTGATGGTTGTCGATCAAGATTTTGAAACCATGACGCTTGGAGGAGTATGGAAAGGCGAGCAAGAATTAGTGTTCCTTCGTGAAACTCTATCTACTCTCTTGGGTGAACAACGAATGAAAACATATCAGGAGCAATTCGAAAAACGAAAGAATATGAATGATGCTGTATCTGAAGCTATGGTTATTGTTGCTTATCAGGATTGGTATCACGGTAGAGAACATCTACTGGAACAAGCAGAGAAAGATTTGGAACGTGATGTACAAGATTTGTTTTCACGATTTGATGTGTAAAGTAAACGATCAGTTGATAGGAGTAAATCTTATTTGCTCGCAAAGTTACAATTTTTTTTTAAATACCCATGTACTGTATGTCTTCGAGAGAATTGTAATCAATAGAAAACAGTGGAAANTTCCTACTCCTGACGTTGTCATCATTTGATAAACACCTGAAAGTAACATAGAATTATGCAAAACAGTGATTATAATGGAAGGGATGGTTTACCTGGACCGTTATGTGCACCTATATCATTGTAATACTGTGAACGACCCTGTGTTAGAAGATCCGAGGAGCCAAATACAGGTTGTTGAAATGAACCAAATCGTCTATCTCTCGAACCATCAATATTAAGAACTTGTGGCATTGTATAACGTTGATCATGTTCACCATCACCTCTAAGTACCCAACCAATATCTCTAATTGAGCGTGCCATTACTAGTAAAATCTTTTTTTTGTTATGAAAAATACCATGAAAATTACACCGTCTAATATGTATTCCGATGTAGTGAGTTTTCCCCAGTGAGTCACGGTATGAAAAAAAACTCATTTTATTCTTTTACTAGTTCTTCCGCGCGTTTCTCGCCGAGACACGATACTATTCTGCTTCCACCATTTTATTCTTGCTAAAGCAACAAAAAAGTAACAGCTGCTGCGAAAGATGCGTCTCATATGAAATGTGTCTTTAATTAAATTGATCGCCCATTTTGGCTGCCATTGTCACAAGTAGAACGAGGAAATAGATTGAGATGATGTTATGCGATCTAATAGCGCCACTCGTTTGTTTACTATCTAATTGTATAACATGAGTAGCGATACCACACATATTTTTCCCACGTACAATACGAATATATCCTTGCTCACCCCAAGTTTCCCCTTAAATCACGAAAAATTATAACCAGACATTCATTTTCATAATACGCAGCCTACCCCAACTATTTTTGCATATCCAAAATGGTCTTCCTTCTTCAACACCATAACCAACAATTTGTATCTAAGAAACTATTCAAAATACTCCGTAATAATCAGACATATTTCTTACCACATGATCCCAAATCGTCTGTTCACAATTCGACACATCATAAACACCTTTATCATATAACATAAAACTTTCCGCGCTAGCATCTATACCGGCCCAGAGAGTAGAATCTTGAATCCAACTCAACATGGTCATTTCACTTTTGCTTGTAAGACGATTGATTGTATCGAACTAGGGCACATCAGCAATTGCGAGAGCAATGGGTAATCGAAATGAGACATACTTTAGCGTATATTGTACATTGGTTCGGATTGCATTGACGGAGAATGTCCGGATAGTCACTTTGTCGACAAATACCCGTGAGATTTTTCAGGCAATCAAATGGATCGTCAATCGTTTGACAGCAATCATACACTCGAGCACTACTGCCCTGTACAAGCTTTTTGGTTTTGATGGCATGGAGACTTTCGATGACTTCTACGGAATGATAATGAAAGGATGAATACGATTTGTTTCTTGTTCTTCCTAGTTACCAGTACTAACAACAGAAAGAACCATCTCTTGTATTCGACCTTGGTTTTGAACGGGCGAGATGACACCTTTCACTCGCCAATCGAGCGATGNCGAATGAAAACATATCAGGAGCAATTCGAAAAACGAAAGAATATGAATGATGCTGTATCTGAAGCTATGGTTATTGTTGCTTATCAGGATTGGTATCACGGTAGAGAACATCTACTGGAACAAGCAGAGAAAGATTTGGAACGTGATGTACAAGATTTGTTTTCACGATTTGATGTGTAAAGTAAACGATCAGTTGATAGGAGTAAATCTTATTTGCTCGCAAAGTTACAATTTTTTTTTAAATACCCATGTACTGTATGTCTTCGAGAGAATTGTAATCAATAGAAAACAGTGGAAAAAGTCGTTAAGATAGTTCAGAATTCAGTCGGACATTTTTTCATGCTTCATATGACTTTTATTATTCTACTTTTTGCTTGACCGTACAGATGATGGAAAAATTTTGTATTTGACAGACAAACTACCGTACACCATGTCGGTAATAATAGATATATCACACGTAAAGTCATGGAACATTAGAACAATTTGACTTCAGAATATTGAACACGGTTTGAGTTTGAACGTTTGCTTGTAACGAGAAAGCGGTAGCTTTGATATGAAATCGAATTATTAATTGATTGTGTCATGCCACACGTATTTCGGCCGGGATCGGTCTGAAGACCGCTACCATCCTCGTAGATGATGTTCCAGCTGAAACCATACATAAGGACCGCTCTGGTCATGCTGCTTCCCTCCAATGTCACACCAATCAGATCGCGTTCTGGAGTGTCATTAGCTGTGCAAACTTGCAATCTATAGTGATCAAGAGTGGTCCGCCTTGTAACACTAAATAAAAACCCGTGTTAATAGCGCAGAGATTACTTGGACCGTATGTTTTATTACATTGTCCAAAATTCAAATATTTTGTTTGGACATCAGCATCGTAGACATTCGAAGGTCGCTCAGTCCCTGGATATTGACCAATGCCTCTGCCGAGTGTTGATTCCAGACTGTCGCTACCCGCAGTTGTGTTGTATAAGGCAGTAAACTCATTGACTTTAGCAGATGATGTACTCATTTCTGTCGATGGTAATAATATTTCGGTGGTGGAAAATTGTTGTTCGAAAGTATAAAATAATGCATAATTATAAAATAATAAATATGTGTTATTTCGTAAACAACTGAGAGTCTTGACTTGATTTGTCCTGATTAGATTGCAAACACATTCATCACATGAAGTATTTATTGTCTCTATAAATTCATTTGTTGATAATAAGATTGTATCTGCAATGAAACAAGTTTGTACATGTGTAGTCTGCTGTGATAAAATAAAAAATAGAGTACTATAGAAAGAAAAAGTCGAGCAAACATCGTTAAATTGCCCCCGAAGTTTTTGTTCATCGAATGATCTTTCCGTGATTATTCTGAATTACTATATTTTCTTTTGAATGAGAAATATATTGTTGATTTTAACAACGATTTTGTGTAAGAAAACTGATCAGAACTCACATTTATTTTCTTATACAAAAAAAAAGAGACGCGACTACAAACAGTAAAAGATAGAATCTTTGTTTAAATTTCGTCTTTCAGATGTAGAACAAATTTGTTTAACCATTTTAGTTCGTCTCGAATTTGTTTTTTGATATTTTCAACACTGTAGTACGAATGACCTTCATTTGGAAAAGTTAATAATTGAACAGGTACTCCAAGAGTACGAAGACCACGNCTTGGGTGAACAACGAATGAAAACATATCAGGAGCAATTCGAAAAACGAAAGAATATGAATGATGCTGTATCTGAAGCTATGGTTATTGTTGCTTATCAGGATTGGTATCACGGTAGAGAACATCTACTGGAACAAGCAGAGAAAGATTTGGAACGTGATGTACAAGATTTGTTTTCACGATTTGATGTGTAAAGTAAACGATCAGTTGATGGGAGTATAAATCTTATTCGCTCGCAAAGTTACAGTTTATTAAAAATACCCACGTACTGTTTGTCTTCGAGCGAATTGTAATCAATGGAAAGGCAGTTAAGATAGTTAAGAATTCAGTCAGACATTGTTTCATAATTCACACGACTTTTATTGTTCTACTTTTTACTTGACCGTACAGACGATGGAAAAGTTTTGTATTTGACAGGCAAACTACCGTACACCATGTCGGTAATAATAGATAAATCACACGTAAGTCATGGAACATTAGAACAATTTGACTTCAGAATATTGAACACTGTTTGAGTTTGAACGTTTGCTTGTAATGAGAAAGAGGTAGCTTTGATATGAAATGGAATTATTAATTGATTGTGTCATGCTACACGTATTCCGACCGGGATGGGTTTGAAGACCACTACCACCGTCGTAGATGATGCTTTAGCTGAAACCATACATAAGGACCACTCTGGTCATGTTACTTCCCTCCAACGTCACACTAATCGGATCGCGTTCTGGAAAACCCGTGCTCATACCGTAGAGATTACTTGGACCGTATGTTTCATTACATTGTCTAAAATTGAGATATTTTGTTTGAACATCAGCATCATAGACATTCGAAGGTCGCTCAGTTCCTGGATATTGACCAATGCCTCTGCCGAGTGTTGTATTGTCTCTATGAATTCATTTGTTGATAATAAGATTGTATCTGCAATGAAACCAGTTTGTACGTGTGCAGTCTGCTGTGATAAAATCAGAAATAGAGTACTAGGAAGAAAAAGTCGAGCAAACATCATTAAATTGCCCCCGAAGGTTTTGTTCATCGAATGATCTTTCCATGATTATTCTGAATTACTATATTTTCTTTTGAATGAGAAATATATTGTTGATTTTAACAACGATTTTGTGTAAGAAAACTGATCAGAACTCACATTTATTTTCTTATGCAAAAAAAAAGAGACGCGACTACAAATAGTAAAAGATAGAATCTTTGTTTAAATTTCGTCTTCCAGTTGTAGAACAAATTTGTTTAACCATTTTAGTTCGTCTCGAATTTGTTTTTTGATATTTTCAACACTGTAGTACGAATGTCCTTCATTTGGAAAAGTTAATAATTGAACAGGTACTCCAAGAGTACGAAGACCACGCTCCAGAATATAACTTTGAAAAGCAGGAACACGTTTGTCAAGCGCGCCAGTGCTGATGTGTGTTGGTGTACGAATTTTGTTTAATTGATAAAGCGGTGATTCATTCTGATATGTACTAGCCAATTCCCACGGTGTTCCATTGAAATAAGTCGAGTAGAATGTAGGACCATCCGTATAACCCCAATCTGTAGCTTGATCAACTATGCCAGAACAGGAGAGAGCAGCTTTGAAATCATTTCTTTGTGTAATCAACCAGTTTGTCAACGAACCACCAAAACTGCAACCACCAACAGCAAGTCGAGATGGATCAACAATGCCATCGGCAATTAATTGATCCATTCCTGAAAGAATGTCAGTTCCTGCTACATGATGAGGTCTTCCAATCATTCCTCCTGTAAAATCATAGCCGTATCCTGATGATCCACGATAGTTAGGCTCGAAGACTAGCCAACCTTCAGTAGCTGCAAATAATGCCCAATGAGATTGAAATGGTTCGATCTTATCTACGCTTGCATCTAGGGGACCACCGTGAATCAGAATGAGAAGAGGTAAATTTTTCGATTGAAATTGACCAGGTGGATAATGCAATATTCCTTCTATTGTTTTACCATCATTTTTACTAGTCCAATTGTATACGATGGTTTCTGGCAGATGTCTTTCGGTAAATAATTTATTTTCGTTAGTAATCTGTCTTGCCGACACTAGATTTTTAACATCTTGTGCACAGTAGATCTCCATAGGTCGTTGTGATGATGAGTAAACAAAAGCTAAGGCACAGTTTGGATTCGAGGACGAGGCAACCGAAGTGTAACTTCCGGGAATTCCGTCATGACGTACCCATTCTCCATCTATTGATTGTACTGAATAGACTTGTATTTGTGTTCTCCATTGACCAAGGATATACACGCCACCATCTACTTTTGCAGTGTAATCTATGATGTGCAGTTCAGATTTTTTTCCAACACGACGCATAGTTCCATTTTTTACATCTAATGCGTATAGCTCTTGAATAACAACATCATCATCATCGTTCATATCAATATTTATAGTAAAAAAGACAGTTTTACCATCGCTAGACAATTGCAACTTTCGATCATCGTCTTCATCGTGTGTTAATCTGCTAATTATTGGATTATCTTTCAGATCGAGCGAATAGATTTCATTGGTTTCCACGTTTTTATTAGTCAATTCCTTGCTGATGAAAATGAACTTGTTTTCGGACGGTACAAGCAATAACTCGCGAATATGAAGTGGAATTGTTTGAAGAAGATTTGTTGTGTAAGTTATACCACCATTTGTTCCGCTAAGACGTACACTATAAAGCTTTGATTCTTTATCAGATTGTTTCAGTTCTCCTTTCAGCTTAGCTCCATTCAATTCTATATTTTGAAGTACATAAATAGTTGAAGCATTTTGAGACCATGTAACAGAAGTTGGAATTGAATATCCAAGTGGAATGAATATAATAATACGTAATTCAATTGAATAGACAGAAAAGCCGTGTTTGAATTGATCGGATGAGTTTGCTCGACTTCCAAATGCACCAGGCAAGTTATTTGCTGTGTGGGATACGTATTTATCATATGAAACATATGTTATAAAATTACTGCTCGGTGACCATTGCGGATTTACATTTGGTTCGAGATATTTTGTGATATGGGTTGTTTCCATCGTCTGAATGTTGTACAACCATAGGCCATACGCATGATATTCAGTAATAGGCGATGGACGTTGAGTTGTATAAAGTAGATATTGACCATTGGGTGAAAATGACATGTGCAGGAAAGTTGTATAATCGAAAAATTCATCCAATGTCAACTTTTGTTTTGTTTCAGATGCAGATGCAATAGATTCATCGATCGATGGCATTGAGTCTTGCTCGATTGGTATACATAACAGTGCATTAATAATAATTGTAAAATATACAACAATGCTGAACACGAACATCGTTGATTTTGCTTGAATTTAGCTTAAACGATTTGTAAATGATGAGATAAAAATGTCCGACTGGTTTTCTCAGACATCGGGTGGGACACTTTATATATGTTAAGGCTGGGAAGACTGGTCTAAAACGTGCTTGATGAGATACAGATAACAAATTCCATTGTATTGTACTCTGTATTCATTGCTGGAAATATTCTTGGTACACTGTGGGGAAAAGGAAAGAATTTCCTTTCCTTCTCTTCGAAAAAAAATGAAGTTTTTCACGTCGTCAATGAATTTCTTAATGGATGATTTTTTTATTAAAGTAAGATTGGCTGCCGCGTATGTTGTTATTTTTGTATACTCACTGCACTGTTATCAATGCAGGACAGCAAAAAATTTCATACTCATGCTGATACATGATGACAGTATGCGAATAAAGATTTTATTTTGAGTCATACTTTAAAAACTCAGCATCGTTTATTTCAGTTGCGTGTTTTAGTGCAGTCAAAAAGAGACAAGATGATACAGCGTAACATATGTTGTTGTTTCGCACTGCTGGTCCTCAAGTAAACATCAAAATTTGTCTTTACTCTTTGAAACATACTATTTTGACCCTAGTGTATTAGCAGTTATAACTCTGCCACAAACGTGTCATAATTTAGCTCAATACGACAAATGTTCCAGCAATCCTTTATGTGCTTGTCTACATTCTGTTTCTTCAAACGACAGCGGCATTTGTGCCTTCCGATGGACAACCTGTTCTGAACTTGACGCTTGTACAATAAATACTCATCTATGTTTTCAACCTAACCATATTTGCGTTCATCACCCTGATTGTCAGAGCCAACCATTGTGTTATCCATTATCCATGACTACTGTTGATCTATGCCCCTCTATTAGCGAAACAACCACTCCAAGTAAACAAATCGATTTTTTTTTGTAAACAAACTCGATGTGACTTGTAGCTTCAAGCTCTTCAACAGAGACCGATGAGGTCGAAATTTGTTTAACAGCAACATGGTTTACGCAAGGTATAACAGTTGCTGGTGGAAAAGGTTTTGGGGACAAATTAGATCAATTAGCTGACCCCTACGGAATTTTTCTTGATGATAATGATACAATTTACATTGCAGATCGTTCCAATCATCGTATTGTTATGTGGGAACAGAATGCTATCATGGGGCAATGGCTTGCTGGCTATAAAGAAGATAATGCACGTAGTATGCCTTTAAACATGCCTCAAGATCTTGTTGTTGATCAGAACGGGACGATGCATATAAGTGATGGAGGAAATTACCGCGTTGTTCGATGGAATCGAGGCGCACAGGAAGGTGAAGTGATCGTTGATCACATTCAAGCAGTCGGTATTGCGCAAGACAATACCGAATCAATTTATGTGTCGGAATATGCGGACGGTCGAATAACAAAATGGAGCAAAGATAATGATGGCCAGTTGGTTGGACAAGTGATTGCAACAAAACTGCGCCAATCGAACTTTATATTCGTCGACCGGGATCGATCAGTCTATTCAACAGGTTATATGGCACATCGCATAGTTAAAATAATCGAAGGGGTTGAAGAACCTCTCGTTGTTGCTGGTCAATCAGACAAATCCGGACATGATCTGCATCAACTGACATTTCCAACTGGTGTTTTTGTTGACCATCAAGGTACTATTTATGTGGCTGATACTGATAATCATCGGATAGTACGTTGGCCAAAAGGAGCAACGTCGGGTATTCTAATCGTAGGTGAACATGGACGAGGTTCAGCATCAGATCAATTGGCACATCCTTCTGATTTATTTCTTGATCGGCAGGGAAATTTATACGTTACTGACACTTTGAATAATCGTGTACAAAAATTTCTTATTGATAAAAGTTCTTGTGGTTCGAAATTGAAATAAATCCTCCTTGCCATTTTCATTATTAGCTTTGAACTGTATTCATATCAAGTTTTCCATATGATCAGTGTCTATACTTGTGCATAGTCATAGCGGTCTAAAGCAAGGAAGTGCAAGACTCATAAACTTATTTAATGATAAACAATTTTCTCATTTGTCAAACCATTTGTCGAAGCACATGTATGCGTGTGTTTTTTATCGTTAGAATCACTTGCGGAACTGTGATCAAATCGTCTAAATGATCTAAAAAGTATGTCAGTGATCGTCACAAAAATATTTATTCCTCAAAGCATACAGGCATAACGATATTTTCTTCCAATTTTCAAAACATGTTTATATCAATGAAACATCAAGGCTAATATGCGTAATATATGTTAAACAGACACTTTTATTGACTCTAACTATATAACAGACAGTATGTTGGTGTACTTGATGTTATTTCTAGATGCTTTCCCATCAACTGTTCTCTAAAAAGCCAGTACATTCAAATCAAACTCATAGTATTAATGGTGAATTGTATACTTTGCTAAGTCGAATAGGCCACGGATCGTATGGATCTGTATGGAAATCTGTAACACCAAAGGGTATGAGTATTTTCTTGTTTTCATTTATCTGTAAGGTTTGTGTCATATCCATGCGATATGATCAACTTTTTCTGTACAAGAATCTGTTGAGTGCCTTATTTCGAGAAATAAACAAGACAGTCGCCGTTCATCAGATCTAATAGATCGTTTTGCCGTATAATCTATTTTTGCAAATTACAGACGGTAGATAGTTCACCCAAAGTATGCTGAAATATTTCAGCACCGTTGTTTCTACCTATTCTGAAAAACAACGTCAAAGAGCAATTACACGTGCAAAAGAATAGTTCGAAGTTTAACTTTCGTTCGTACATCAGACCTGCTTGACTTGTTTAGGTAAATATTATGCTGTGAAAGTGTTTGAATTCAATCATGCACAAAATCCTCTTGCTTCGGATGATCGACTGAGCTCTTTTAAAACTGAAGTTAAAATGGGTAAAAAACTTCATGATGAAACCGAGCACGTTGTAACAATGTGCGGGTATGAATATAGTCCACGATACGGGGTGGGTTTTATTGCAATGGAATTGGGCAGCGAATCATTAGTTGATCGAGTTAGAAATCTTCATCAAACACATTCAAAATCGCCGATGTTCGATTACTATGATTACATTTCGCTAAGAGATCAACAGAATATATGGTGTCAATTAGTCAATATCATTCTTGCTCTTCACCAGTATGGCGTAGTAAGTTAAAGTTGATGTAGATCATTTGTAGAACAATGTTCGACCTACCAAAAACATTTCATAATAGATCCACCGTGATCTCAAACCAGCGAACCTATTGTTTTTCGGACCTACCTTGAAAGTGATTGATTTTGGTATGGCGCAAGACGAATTTGTAGGGTAAATTTCATTTTCTTTTCTTCATTTGTCACTCACCGTCTTCTTTTATACAGATTTAGTCCACATCAGAGAATAGGCGGTACTCGTCCTTACAGTGCACCCGAATGTTTCACAGGTCAAGCGCTAATCACTCCAAAAGCCGATGTATGGTCCGTGGGTGCCATTTTATATTATCTAACTTATGGCAAAGCACCGGTATTCGAAAGCCCACGGCCACCGTTCGGCGTTTTACCTACTCGCTCTCGCCACATTCAGGAGATTCTTGAACATTGCCTTCGACCAGTTGCGTCTCGACGGCCAGATCATCAATCACTTGCTCAACATCCTTTCACAAGACCTTTTAAGAGATACTTAAAGTGATTGTATATGATATTTTTGATATAGATAAAATTAGAAAATTTATTGGAATTTAAACATAATTTACACATAGCGATTTATAACGTATACACTCGAATGATTTTAGAAGTATAAATCCTTGGCGATATTGACGTAGACCTATGAATAAAACAACACTATGCAATAATAATTTAAAGTGTTGACAACGTTCTTGTCGTTCTCTTAACAAATTTTGAAATTTTATCTTTTAGCAACATACCTTTATCTCGAAGACAAAGCGTATGTTGGAAGATTACGTCAACTGAAATCTGACTTCAACAAGATGTTCTGGTTTTAGATAGAAATTTGTTTTTACTATGGCTGACGCAGAATATCAAGATTTTTCAAACGGCTCACGTCGTAAATTAGCTTTGGTTATCGGAAATAGTAATTATGCTTTAGAAAGATCGTTACCGAATACAATCAATGATGCTAAACAAATGACAATTGTCTTAAGGAGTCTTGGATTTAGTATTCACGATGACGAGCCAAAATTAGACTTGACGTATAGGGAATTTTTTATGACCTTGATGAGTTTTGTTTGTTCAATTAACCAAAACGATTTGGTTTTATTTTATTTTTCCGGTCATGGAACTCAATGGGAGGTAAAGCTGAGGGATGACAATGAATTTATTTCATAATTCTTTTTTATTAGAATGAAAACTATTTAATTCCAGTGGATAATTTCAAGGAAGAAAACAAACAAAGAGTCGAGCTAGATGGAACTGATCTAAAAAGACATGCAATTAATGCACAACAGTTTCTAAATAATATCGATGATCGCAATCCATTTGCGATCGTATTTTTCTTAGATTGCTGTCGAACTTATTATTTAAAACAAGAAAGATTACTAAAGAGCCTGAAGAGTTGTTCACTGGATCAACTCCACGGATTAAAATCAATGCCGCCGAAAATCGGTTCATTGATCGCCTTTGCTTGTGCGCCTGGAACAACAGCTGATGATGGAAATAATCGAGAAAAGAATGGTTTATTTACAAAACATCTTCTCAAACACCTATCCACAACCAAAGAAGATGTTCTTGGAATACTAATGAACGTAACAGAAGGTGTTATTCAAGAGTCAAAGAAACAGCAAATTCCACATGTTACTTTTGTGTTAACAGAAAAGATCTTCTTGTGCAATCAAAATCAAAGTAATGGTTATTTTATTGCTAGTGAGAGAAATACTATGTTTGCTATCCAAACATAAAAAGATGAAAAGCAATCACATTTTAGAGTTTTATTCTCAATCTTCATAGTTTCCATTCAATTTAGGAATCAGATTCAACAAATGGACACAAGATGGTGTCACCATAGCTGGCGGGAATGGAAGAGGAGAGACTCTAAACCAATTGAATAGGCCTCACGGAGTCTGTATCGATAAAAACAACGATACTCTCATTGCCGATTGGGGAAATGATCGGATCATGAAATGGAAACCGAATGGCAAACAGGGTGAAATTTGTATAGATAGGATCGGAAATCTAGCTGACCAACTGACCTGGCCAAGAGATGTAATTGTTGATGAACAAAACGGTTCATTAATCATTGGCGATTGGGGAAACCGACGGGTGATTCAATGGTGGAATCATGATCTATACGAAGTTCTTGTTGATAACATTTCATGTTCTCGTTTGACAATGGATAAATATGGATTTCTTTATATTTCTGATTGGGAGAAGCATGAAGTGAGAAGATGGAAAATGGGTGAAAGGCAAGGGAAACTAGTAGCTGGCGGCCATGGACAAGAAAATCGACTCAATCAATTCGATTGTCCAACGTTTATCTTCGTTGATGACGAGCAATCTGTGTATGTTTCGGATAGAGACAACCATCGTGTGATGAAATGGAGAAAAGGTGCGAGAGAAGGAGCTGTTATCGCTGGTGGAAAAGGCGGAGGAAGTCATCTGAGTCAATTGAATTCTCCTCAAGGAATATTCGTGGATAAATTTGGTCAAACTTACGTAGCAGACACTGGAAATCATCGAATAATGTGTTGGCGTGAAGGAACGCTGCAAGGCGAAATAATTGTTGGTGGGAAAGGAATAGGGAATCGATCGAATCAATTGAATTCTCCAATTGATCTATCGTTTGACGATGACGGAAATCTTTATGTTGCTGATTTGGGAAATGATCGAGTCCAAAAATTCAGTCTGATTTAGAATTAAAGAGACGAAAATCCTATCAAGAAGTAGTAAATATTATTGTTGAGTAAATAAAATAGTTTCGCATTCAAGTAAACTTTTATTTCTTCATTTCACTTTCCATATTTCAAAAGTAACTTCGGCTGAACAGAAATGATTGAATTCTGTTCAATAGCTTTTCATTACCATTGATTGCGTAGTTATAACTTTGTTTTATGTTTGCTAAGATTTTTAAGCAAAAAATTCATCGGCGATATGATCACAAAAAGAAGTCAAATATTAAATGTAAATATATGAATTTATTTTTGCTAAATGATGAAGTTTTCAACGTGTTTCAGTTTAGTAAAGATCATAAAATCAACCAAATTTTTGAAAGTAAACAGAACTACTCAATTGATTTCGTCATTGATCTTTTAGTTTTGTCAATAATGTCGAGAACGAATAGAGATGGAGCACGAGTTGGACAAATGAACACATGCGGTTTGTCGCGTAAGAAATCGATCATATCTTCACGGTGGCGCTCGAGTTGAGATCGTGATATTGTCGAGAGATTGATTTAAAGATGGGATTTTTTATGAAGAATTAACTTTTGTAATCGACTATTGAGGTAGAAGAAGCTTCCGGAAATGTAAGAAATATCAAGATATTCAAAGATTTCATAGACTGTAACTTTCCTTTCTTGTCCATAAATAGAACTGGTTACATCGAAGTATGCGTAGACAACAATTTGAAACTTTCAACTTTTCCTATCGGAATATGTCTTCAGTTAGTTGTCAATAATGGTAGTACGTGGATTCCAATTTATTCGAGACGATATTAGAATGACTATTGAAAATTTGCTTATCTTTTCCGGAGCTCTTTTTCTTTATTTAAAATCAGTACTCAAGTTGATCAACGTGCCAATTCTTCAACAATTTGAATCAAGAACAATGTCCAATCTGAGTGATTTTTATCAAAAGTAAAAATGATTAGCTGTCGATGGTTTCATAGGTTTTGTTTGTAAAAGTGATGTAATATGAGATCAGGAACATTAAGTGTTACAAAATGTCCTTTCTGTTTCAAACTATGATTGATTTGCACGTTTGACAGTCGAACATGGCACCTTCGGAATCTGTTATATTAAGAGCTCTACATGAAACTGTTGTTGTTGGCATAGTCATTGCTAAATTTATTGAAATCTTATGATTATTGTGAAAGGACAAACCGAAGTGTACAATTAGTATTAAATGTTTTGTACTTGGAGTGTATTTAAACTGACTGGAATGTACGCGAGAAAAATTTTGTGTTATTTTTATAATTGATGAAATTCGAAAGTCTTCGTCGTCACAAGAACGATGTGAAGAGAAACTTGGTAGGTGTGTGAATAATACCTTAGGTGGTTGATTTTCATGGATCAGCGAGCTTCGGTAAGTAACATACAAACTGGATGGAATGATTGTGTGTCAAGATGATTTCTCCAATCGATGAGGATTTTTAGTATGAAAAAAGTACTGATAAAAAACGGTTGCTCGAAAAAAACATAAAAAGTACAGTTTCTTCGGTGTGATATATAATCAGTTAGCAAAATTATACGTTGAGAGAGAAGAATAAACAGAACGAATAAAGCTCTCACCACTATAGTTACCCTCAAAGAAAGAAATCGACAGAGAACACTTTCACGTGTTATAATTTTTTTGCCCTACAAATTATAATCTTCACATACATGCAGCAGTCAGTCAGCTTTTTGTACTGATGACTTTAATGTTTCCTAGTCGCAATACTATGATCCCAATTGTATGCTTATTTATCTTCCTACAAATTATTAACTATATTTATAGTGTCAAAACGAAATGGAACCGACCACTCGAAGAATTCTCCTCATCCAATTTATACAAACATTCATCGACTGACAAAAACAACTCGACATATAATAATACACGAAAATTTTCAACTTTACCTTCAGATTCAAAACTATCCGTATTTTTCGGTACATCATTTTCAGCGTCTACAAACTTTACGAAACCTGATCCTTCTATTTATAAATCTTATCCGAATTGCAGCTTTTCTCTCTCAAACAATGATTCAACTTCCTATAGAGTGTCAGTTAACAAAAATATACAATCTTTTAATAAAATTGAACGTCGTTATGAGAAAGATCTTTATCCTGGTGGACACTTCTTCCCAAAAACATGCCGATCCAAGCAACGTTTAGCGGTGATCATATGTTACAGAAATCGTGAAGCACATTTGAAACTATTTCTTAATCATATACACGCTTTTCTTCAGCAGCAACAGCTTGATTATACAATATTTGTTGTTAACCAGCATGGACAAGAACAATTTAATCGAGCTGCTCTATTCGATGTCGGTTTCCTTGAAGCAATAAAATTATATTCATTCGATTGTTTCATTTTTCACGATGTTGATCTTTTACCCGAAGATTTACGTAATGTTTACAAATGTGGAAAGCAACCAAAACATATGTAAGCGCGAACAAAAAATAAGGATTTGCTCGATCGACAGTTATTTCTTTGTGTAGGTCAGTCGCTGTTGACACGTTCAAGTACAAATTACCCTATCCGACTCTGTTTGGTGGTGTAACTGCAATCAGTTTAACGGATTTTATCGATGCAAATGGTTATGCCACTATTTACTGGGGTTGGGGTGGTGAAGATGATGATATGTATCAGCGTGTAAATCGAACACTGCGTAAATCAATTGCACGCTATCCGACGGTTATTGCGCGTTATCAAATGATTTGCTCACATAACCATGTCTCTGCTGAAGCTAATCCCAGTAGGGATATTATTCTACGTTCAAATTATGATCACAAGAAGGATGGACTGAATTCGATAAAATATGTCCTACACAAATTAACTTTTTATAGATTATTTACATTGATAAACGTGACACTAACTGAAGAATCATTGAATGAGATTAGCAAACGTATGAATATTAAATTTCCGAAAAAAACAACAACTATGAAAATGCGAGTGTTACCAAGAAAAAGCGCATAATTTGATGTTTTTAAATTGTTTTTCGAATAAATTTGTTATGCTCTGCAGTATGCTGTTAAATCTTCACAATAAAAATGATTTTCTATGCTTGTACCGAGTGCACTATGAGTATGGTAAGAAGACGTCCTTGATAATCATTGAACTACAACAGAATATACACACACGTAACAGCAAGTTTAGCTGTGATGTAAGTAGGCAAGATACTTGCACAGAACGACTTAGCTGGCTTAGGACGCACTGATACTCCACCGTTCAAAGTTAATTTTGAAATTCTTAGATTTAGCACGTACATTCAATAATGTCCAAGTATAAAGAATAATATGGGTTGTTATTTAATTTGTCTCCTCCGACTTTTGCACTGATATCTGATAGTTTTTCGACAAATCACAAAGAAATATGAATAATCAAAAGCTATGACATTCAACAGAACATTTTGATATTGTACAACAAGAACTCTATGAATTTCTCCATCATGTTTAACAAATTGTTCATCAACTAATCGATCAATACAATTTACAATTTTTTTATTGAAATAAGGTAAAATTTTTGCTCGTTTAAACATTGGAAGTATAAATCGTGCATGACGTTTCCATGTTTCACCTCGTAAAGTGATCAAACCTGATGGAAAAAGAGTACCAAAACTACTTGCTGTACTTGTAGCTTGATCATAAGTATGTCGATCGGTTAACACATGTTGAACATATTCAATACGTGAAAGAATTATTGAAGGATATGGTCCAAGCCAAAATAAAAATGCATCTCCGAAAGTTTCTTTTAATTTAGCAAGGACTTCATGAAGTGTCACTTCACCTGTTGAAACACCGGTATTTTTTAAATTACTAATTAACCATTGAGGTTTAATACCAGATAAATCTTTAGCATGAGTTATATGGCTATACGATGAAAAGAGTGATAATAAGAATAAACAATTAGAAAAAAAAGAATTAAAACGATGAAAATGAGTACCAAGATCGTTTTTGTCAGTATCAATTTTCTATAAGAACAAAACTCTGAATGACTTATTTGAATAATTCTCGACGAAATATTTTTCCAGTTAATGTATATAAGCAAAGAAAGTCATAGAATTATTAATATATGTTATTAAAATACAAATTTGTGGGAGAAAATTCTCGATTTCTTTACGTTCATTTGATTTATCCAGATAAACAATTAAAGAAGCATAAAATTTATAAAGACCCATCGGTGAACTAAATAAAATGAGAATTCTAACCTAACAAAAAAAACAATCTAAATGAGATTTTCTCTGAAAAAGGATATACTTGTACAAATAACATCGTGAGAATCTGTAAATCTTGTTTTCTCATTTTAATATTTGCATTTGTTGCTTTGAATTGTGTTGTTATTTGTCTTCGACTTTGTTGAATATTCCGAAATATGAAATAACCAAATAAAATCATCACACAAATTGGAATTGTTGTATAGAATATCATTAATAAAAGTCCATCAACGATTTGACATTGAATTGATATTGTATAACATGAAGCAACAGAATTCACATTTCCATTATATTAAAACAATAAACTGTTTCACTGAAAATCAAACATCCAATAAAGAGAATTAAGAATAGAATTCGATAAATAATCTTTGTTTGACGAGCAGTCATCCTATTCCGCAATGTTGAACATTTGGGAACCAGTTCCGCCTACGGAATCGATTCCTATGATTTCGGAATTCCGTCCTTACACAAGTTCAATGAATTCCGGAATTCCACGGAATTGTGTGCATCGATTGCAGAATCGCTTTGGGTGAATTCCGGAATCGTAGGAACTGATTCCGTGTGTGGAACTGATTCCCAAATGTGCAACATTGCGGAATAGGATGTATTCTCTAAAGAACTAAACTATATGCTTTTCAATGTTGAAAAAATCTCAAAATATATAATTTTTTATAATTTATTAATTTGATAAGAAACGAAGAAAGCAGAAATAGAGAGATGAACTGAAAGAAAATCAACAAGGATAGTCACGAGCAAAAAACGGTTTGAAATCAGGGTTTCGTTTATTTGAACAATTCCTTTCCATGTGTATCAATATATAAAAAAAATAAACGACTACAAACAAAATAGCAAAATCAGCCATAAAAAAATAAACAATGGGACAATAACCATAAAATGTGTGCTAGTCAGCGAACGCAAACTTCATTATAGATGGGAAAAGTGCAGAAGCAAAATAAATCAATAATGTATGCTACGTTACGTTAAGGACACATGGTTCTACAAAAACCTCCTAAACTTCGTCTGCTGTCGCCAGAGAATGAATTTTCTTTAAATCTGTATATGCTTGATGTTTCTCTATCACTTCTATTTGCCATAAATTCCCCAATTTATAACGATCTTCATCCTTTAGTAGTGCTGTAAAATCGTCAATATAGTTATTGTTCTTTAAAAATCCTGCAAACGCCTTTAACTGATCCTCTGTATTTGACGCGAATGCGTTGTGAATAATATCACACCAACTCCTGACTGTATACCAGAGCCAAGCTCGTTCTTTGGCTTCCATAATAATTTTATATAAAAAACGATCCCAAGTATCGGGACCAAACGTATCATTTAGAGTCTGTCTCTCAATATTTATGATAGATGTTACCCATTCACTACAGGGATTTTCATACGGACTATTTTTCGAATACAGTGGAGGATTCCAACTTACAGCTACAGACCATAAACAGTCTACTGTTGATGGTGTCTTTTTTTCGAATAAGTCTGCCCTACTGCAAATAAGTAACTTATGTTCTAATTTAATCATGCGTAGTGGAATCTTCTGAAAATCATTAGATTTTTCATATGATTCATAGTCACTCACGTAATCTATTATCACAAAAAATCTAGGCCACAAATTTAATTCTTTGATCGAGTTACACAAGAACTTTAGAATCTCAAGAAATTGTGTTATATCAAGTGTGTCTATTAGTTTTATTAGATTTTTCATCTCTATTTGATCAGCGTATTTAACTTCAGAACATAATAAATCATATTTAGGATCATACAAAGTTTTACAGATATTATTGTTTTCAACAGTAATTTTTTCTGCTATTTTTCTATCAGATATGTTATAACGGTTTAGAAACTGCTTTTTACGTTCCTCTTCGTTACTATCTTCTGGATAGCCAAAACGCAATGGTAAAAATGGAATAATCAGATTTATAAGTTGTATGTGTTGTGGTACAAACACTAAGTTTTTCTTCATGTTCTTGGCAACGAAAGTTAAAGCAGCCGTTGCCACACCGCTGTGCGGACAAACAGCATAGAGCGCACATTCTATTTGTTCTTCGTCAGGATCTGTGCGTTCTTTAGGTTTCTTGTTGATGTATATTATGTTGCTCTTAAAATCTCGAAGAACTGAATCTTTTTCGAAGTTCGTAAAAATGTAAACTTTTATGTCTTTATTTATAATTTTTTGTTCAATGTTTTTTATTTTTAACATTTTTTCTGTATCATTCAAATGATTACTCGAAAGGAAAGCAAATACTGTAGCCGTTTTACTACAATGCATAATAAATCTCTCTATTGTATTCATGAAAGAATCAGGGGATTGACTAAAATCATCTAATTGATCAGAAAAAAACAAATAATCTTTTCCATCAATCTTTACTTGAGTTCGTACACATTGACTAGGTGTATCGTCCATTAATTGCGAATAAATAGTTTCGCATACATCGAATGTCTTTTTACTATAATCATCGTTGAACAAAATATCGTACTCTATTTTGAACTCTTCAAAAGACAATGAACGTGTTAAATAAAAAGATGCTACAGCTATAGGTGCGACACGCTTACAACACTCTTTCGATATACTATAATCGTCGTCAGTGCTATCAGGAGACATTCTTTCATAAATATTTTGATAATATTTGAAACATCTATAATCGTCTGTAACCTGACCACCGTTTTGCGCTTGAGAAAGAAAGGTACGAAAAACCATGGGATGCATGATAACATCTGTAGGAAAATAGTTGCCTGTGCAAGTATTTACATAATTTGCCAATGTCATAGTATTACAGTGTACTAAATTCTTGTCATCTGCAAAGCAGAATTTTTTGGTGTTGTCGATCATGAGTCTCAACTGATCTTCTCGCGTGATAAAGTGAGTAGAAATAGCACGACAATACTCCGCTGCTAGAGAGTGATGAGCCTGATGTTCTAAAGGACATTTGTCAATAGGCCATATTCCGTCATCGTCTGTTGATAAAACGATAGGAACACCTATTTCATACAAATAATTGAGAGGTTTTTTACTTTCTACATTTCTAATGGCATCACCGAGCAGATAAATATTACTAGTAATATTGATTTCAAACGGAATCGATGACAACAATGATCCAACGTTTTGCATTTCTGCTACAAGTACACTAGATTTTCGATATTTATAATTCTTAATAGAAAGTAATTTATCAAAGGCAATACCATGACCGATACGAATGTTCTGCTTTAACTTCTGTCTAAGGAAATGAAGAGAGCGATAAACAATATACATATGCGCTGCAAAGAGGCGATAACCATGTAGTTCAGGGCGAACAAATGGCACATTCTCAGCGCAATGAATGCGTACGCCAAAATTCGAATTCTTTTTTCTGGCATCTTGAACAAATCTTAGAAACTCATACGCAACAAAAGGACAATATGGATATCCTAGTTCATCTCCAAATAGATCTAATCCTACTACCCAGTCAAAAAAATGTGAATTTTTCTTTTCTTCCTCAATTAGTAGCTGCAGTTGTTCCACCTGTTCAGTGAACAATAAAGTAGATCTCTGATTATCACTTCTATAAAACTCTCGAAACATAAGATAAATTGCATAATGCGGAACTTCAAATAAAAATGCGAGTGCCCTATCCGATGAATAATCTTTACTAAGCTTCGATATTTTACGGTTAAATCCTGCCAAAAACCGATAATCAATATTTTGTTTAGAAAACTGCGTTTTAAGCCACGGAAAATTCTTATTGTTCACTAGCGTTTTAAACGTACCAGTCAATTGTTGAGAAGTGGAAAATGTCGATAAAACATCCAATACCCATGCTCGACTTAAATCTGTGTAACTGACAGAAAATTCGCAATATGTAATTGGTGGTAAACATGTTAAGAAACGATGAAGTGCGTTTTGCAATAAAAAAGCTAATAGGTCAAGTCTTTGAGAATATAATGAATCTTTTAAAGCGAATCTTCGTGGATAAAATTCTGGAGTAAATGAACCTCGAAATGAATGAAAATCTACTGAACGTGGCTCACTACCATCTGCATTCATCATTGAAAATGCATTAATAATATGTGCTCGTGCATCACGTTGTGCTGGATCAGTTAGGTGATGAATTGGTTTGGCCCCACCAATTAATATTCGTAAATCTTCTGCTGTCATACCATATACAACTTCTAATTCTTGTTTTCGTGCATTAAATATAATCCAGTGCTTGAAGAATTCTTTTTCTTGCCAATCACTTCTTGTATATATACCTAACTTTTCTTCAATTATAGCCTGAACCATATCTCTTGCTTCATCGGATTTCAAACTAAGAGCATCTCGAAGATTTTCTATTGAGAAAACGATATCATAAGAAAAGTGTTCTTGAAAAGTTAAGCCAAGATGACTTTGCATTAAGGTAAAATCATTAGATTTCAAACATTTAAACATGACAAAATCAGGTAAGTTGCATAATTTATCAAAGTCTTCTTTTGCGCGAAGTTTATCAAAGAACATCATTGTGTCACCTGGGCTGATAAATTTTCGCGCATTCCTATCCCACACCAATGGTCCTAAATGTTTTCTTACAAGGTCATTATTTTCAAAATCATATTGAGGAGGCAGTTTTGCTTGATCCGTTAAAATGCCTTGAATCCAGAAGGAAGCGTTACCCATACCCAAAAGATGAGTATGAAGTTCATAGAGGTTCTCTTGTTCATCAAGGATCTGTAATAGATTTGCAGCTGTCATCTCATTTGTACTTGATTCTGAAAGATGTGACTGTTATCACTACAAAAGAAAGATAAACTTCAAATGAGCTACTTTACCAGTGCGCTGCCGCTTCGATTTTGTTGAATCCATCAATGTCTTTGCTTTTATCTAAGATTATTAAAACAAAGAAATTTAAATACAGTCAACATATAATGTAATGTGTTGGTTTTTCGATCCATATGTACAGCTTTTGTAAGGGGTAATGATACATTATTCAATACAGAAAAAGAATTCAACAGAGTAATTAAAATGACAGCAATTACATCGATACTTCAGTCATGTTGAAAGTTCATAGTATTTACACATTTATGTTGAAACTAAGGAACTGCGAAATTACGTTTTTCTGGCTCCGTCCTGATATAGACATGATAAAACTTTCGTGACTTCGGTTCGAATTCGATTTCGGTCTCAATAGAACTTTAAAAATAGTTGTGTAGGAGTGGTCGAGTTATTATTCAACCGAACTAATCCATCTTCGCTTTATCTGCCCAAAATCTGTGGAATTGACGAAAATTTACAATTCTTAGAATATGAATACAATATATATCCTTTTCCCGTAACTATAGTTAAGACAACTGATTTGGAATGTCCTAATATAAAAAATACAGATACGAAAATGCGCGGTTAAATGTGTGATGAAAAGATCAACGCTATCAGATAAGGACTTTGGTTCCATCCTGGTTCTGCAAGACAATGAAATTTTAGTCTCAGTTCTTATCCCTGTTCCGCGGTACCGGGGTTACTTTATAGTTCCCTAGTCGAAATTCAAATAGAGTCTTTGTTTAATTATTATTTAAACGTAATACTTTTAACTGTGTTACATTTAATACCATTCTTATTCTAATGTTTGCTTCAAGGAGATCTCTGTTTAGACGAAGTAGCTATTCGCCTCAGTGACTTGTTACAAAGCATAGAAGTCATTGTATTACGTCTATATTAGAAATAGGACTATCATTTATGTACCATTTTGATAGACCAATCAAAAATACCCTCATTAGTCACGCAACGGTGGCAATGATCGTTCACTGGTCCACCGGGCTGAATGGAGCACCGATCCACCGAAGTCACTTTTGGACTGGTGAAACCGATAGATCAATAAACGATCGAACGATGAACCGCTAAACATGGTTTCCGATTAGGGTGGGGGGGGGGGGGGGGGGGTAAGGTCCCCCAAAAAACAATTGTTTCTGTCAAATTTTTTAACATTATTACACTGGCAACTTTCGATCGTAGTGTATATGTATGAAACTATACTAAAATTACACTTTTTTGCCGTAAATTAACACTGATTAAGTTAAATTCTAATTAAATAAAGTATTTATAAGAAAGTCTATGAATTTTCTTTACTATTTCTGCCAAAATCTCCATAGTTGTTCTTCATTAGTTGAGTAGCTGCCTAATTCGACTTATAATATAAGTACCCAATTTCTACCACACTTAGGAATAGAAATAGAATTAGTTTCACTTATACATATATACCCTCACCCTCACCCTCAATCGAGATATATACCCGGGTTTGGGTGTGGGTGTGTATATGTATAAGTAAAACTAAATCTATTTCTATTCCTAAACTCGCAGGGGGGTGGGGGTATGTATGTATAAGTGAAACTAATTCTATTTCTATTCCTATCTACTCATTTGTTATAAGTGTGATATAGGCATCTGTTTATATTCGAATTGATACTAGCCTGTTGGGGGTCGACTTATAATATAAGTCGAATTAGGCATCTCATGACTCTGTGTCGAAGTTACAACTTCGACAGACAAAATATGTGCTGAAGTTATAACTTCGGCAGATGAAGTTTAACTTCGGCACGACATATATACATGACGTCATGTTATTATTAACGAATGTTGACAGAAAGACTTTCTGGCAAAATTTAGCCCCCACCACTTTGAAAAGTAATCGGGAACCGTGCCAGTAAGAAAGTAATACCGGTGAGGACGGTGAATTGAAAAGAGATGAGTCCTCATCAAAATGTACAGTCATTTGACTAACTGATGTGTTATAGCTTTTCGTTAATTAATATTTACTTTTTAATGCCTTGTAATACAAACAAACTTTATCGATTTTCATGACTGTATTTATGACGCTATAACCCTTTCTTTCAGAAAAGGGAATAATTAAACTCAAGTATTTACTAGTTCATACAAGGAATAGGCTTTTTCTCGATATAAATCTACAAAAATATTCTGGAAATGTGCATATGATGGAGTTTCGAACGTTACTTGGTTATTTTCAAGGTGACATACGTGAATTAGTGAACTAGTGACGTTGATACCGGTGGACGGATGAGCCGGTGGATCACTCAACTAGTGATATCGGTGGTGGCGGTAAGACCGGTTACCGATGAACGGTGAACAGTCACACCGCTCGGAATAGTGAACCGGTGATCGGTTGGACAATCTACCGTTGGTAACGGTTTGTCGTTGAGGATCGAAGACGATGAATCGCTGACGGTGATACCGGTGGCCACCGTCACTATTGCATGCACTGATAAAAATTTTCGTAGAATAATAAATCCACAAAAAAGGGTTTATAACTGAAAAATTCGTTTATCAACGTGATCTACCCCTTGATCAACCCTTTTTTCTTGGTAAACCCCAAAAAGGTATATTATCCGTTGCAAACTGATAAACCCAACAGTTTATTGTCCCTTGATAAACCATTTTCCCGTTGATCAACTGAATCAACCCTCAAACTCAGAGTTTATCATCATTTCCAAGAAACCTTTCGATTACAATTGATCCAGTTGATCAACGAGAAAAGGGTTTATCAAGAGACGATAAACTGTTGGGTTTATCAGTTTGCAACGGATAATATACCTTTTTGGGGTTTATCAAGAAAAAAGGGTTGATCAAGTGGTAGATCACGTTGATAAGCGAATTTTTCAGTTATAAAACCTTTTTTGAGGGTTTATTATTCTACGAAAATTTTTATCAGTGTATGTTCACAATCCGGTTTATCCGATATCCGATATCTTCTAGCTATACACCACGGTTTATCTACAGCCGATTCCACAATTTCATCACCTCGTATGCCAAAACTTCAAACATCCAACCATTCATTCATGGTGAAAATGAGTTCAGAGCGAACCAACAGAAAATGCTCAACATCCCAACTATTCCAGAATATCGAATGGCGCCCAAAATCAATATAAATAAAGCTACTCCTGATCATGAATCAGTGAAAACTAATGTACCCAAAACGAAGTCAACGAAATGTTCAAAATGGGACAATCAACTCATAATTCATTACACTCATGAGCAACGGTTCCAAAAATACAAACGAGATCTACACTGACTTTGGAATGAAAAATATCGATCAACACCAATCATTCACGCCAGATTAATCGTTGACAGGCGAAACAATAAAACATTAGCACGAGAACTGGTACATCATCAACACATTAAACATCTGCCGAAACAATCATGACAATCAGTCGAGACATTGACTCCACGCCAGACCTACATTTCAAGCATCGTAGACTCTTCTGTATATATTATTTCTAATAAACTATTTACTTCGGTATGAACTTTTTCACATATCTCAAACATTAACATACAACCAATATCTTAAAGAAAAAATATATTCAGAACTTCACCTATACAACAAAGCACAAGACTCTGCATAGTATTTCTGACTATCCTATAAAAAACACAACCCATAGAGAAACTGACAATGTCAGATACAAAGTCAAAACTACCTGACGATGAATGGAATAAGCCCCATTCGAAACGCGCCGTAGACAGCTTGAATCACCCACACCCTCACCCACCCATCACCCACACCCTCAAGATGCTTCCGTAGTTTCAATATAGAATAAGGGTGTGACTGTAGTTGTCTTTCCGTTCCTTACCAACACTCACTCTCAAGACAGGTTCCAATCGGATCGAATCTCTTGGGTATAGGTTGAAATAGTTATAGAAAAAATACAATCATTTTAAGAATAGTAAGTTCATATTTTATTATAATAAATGCTTTCTTAACAAACGATACAAACATATTGCGTGCCAGTGTAAGCACAACATCCTGTAAAACCACCAGTAGAAAGATATAATTCACCATTACCGCCACACGAAGCATCAGCACTACCACATCCATAAGCACGAAATCCATGACCAATATATATTGCCCAGCTACCATAACGGTTCGGACCACAAAAATTAGTAGTAGATGTGGTATTATCACACACATAGTTACTATCAGTATCATAACAAACACGGCCACAAGTAGTGCTTGTACTATAATTATCAAAAGGTAAAGGACAATTAATAGTACATATCGGTGGACCTAGAGTTGTGCTGGTTGTTTCAGTAGTTGTACTGGTTTCAGTAGTGATGGTAGTTTCAGTAGTGGTGGTAGTTTCAGTAGTGGTGGTAGTTTCAGTAGTGGTGGTAGTTTCAGTAGTGGTGGTAGTTTCAGTAGTGGTGGTAGTTTCAGTGGTGGCAGTGGCTTCCGTAGTTGTACTGGTTTCAGTAATGGCAGTGGTTTCAGTGGTGGTGATAGTTTCAGTAGTTGTACTGGTCTCAGTAGTAGTGGCGGTAGTCTCTGTAGTCGTGCTGGTTTCAGTAGTGGTGGTAGTTTCAGTAATTGTACTGGTCTCAGTTAGTATAGTGGTCTGAGTAGTTGTGCTGGTTTCTGCAGTCGTAGTACTTGTACTACTTACAGACTTTGTGATTATTGTGCTAGATGCTATGAGAAAAAATAATATTGAATAAAAAAGAATAATTCATGCTACAATAGTATCTGATTCAATAGATATTTTGTTTACCATCTCTCGTTAAGCTTTCATCTATCAAATTTATCTACTTATATCATCCAAATATATTTTAATTATAAATATTTTACTTGTCAAAACACATCTCAACTATCTCTTCTATGAAAATCTCTTATAACTTGAGCATATCATAAGATATTTAACAAAAATAATTCTAATAATTGAATCGAATTTAATCTTAATAATAGCCAGATACATTTCAATCAAAGATAAAGTTTTTTATTTCTTTTGTTTAATCTATAAATAAAGTATCTTACTTGTTATTGTAGTACTAGATAGATTTTCTTGAATTGTTTGATTTATTGATTGAAAATAAAGTTTAATAGTTGATGTAGTATTATCTGTGAATGATGAATTAAATGAAACATCTGATGGACCTAATTCAATAGTTCTAATAAAACGATCGATAAAATTATTTTGACAACCTATTAATCCATAACATGAAATCGGATATTTAATTTCTACACCAACAACAAATAAATCTGCTGTACTATTATTTGTAATACTGTCAATGTGTGTACTAAAACAATATTATATATTTTTCCAATATAAAAGTTAAATAAAAAGAAAGTAACCTACTCTTCTCGTTTTCGTCGTTTTAAAATTAAACTTTGTATAAATTGAGCTGAAAATACTCGAATAATATTATGAGATGTACTATATATATGAGAAACCTTTGAAAGAAAAATATTTTTCAAAATACTTTTAATTATATTACTTGTTTTGCTATTTCTGTCAGATCTGTGACGGTTAATAAACCATTTGTTGACATATTTGATACATAATCAATCGTTAAAAGAGCTGCAACTATAGAAAAAAAACTAAATTTAATTTTCATGAAAATGAAATCACTCAATTTTCCTTGGTTGATCGATAACTGATATTGTTGCATTTTGCTTATCATTAGCATTTGATATAAATATGAATATAAATCCAATAGAAACTGAAATTATCCATAATATAATAATAATATAAGCAAGACATTCAATAAGCCATTTTATTCTTAATTAAATCAAAAATTTTATATAAAAACAAGGAATAAGATGTACATTAGTTCATTACTTTGTCAACATATTTCTTGGTTTTGTAATAACTTCATGGTTGAATACGTGTTTATATCATATTAATAATCGATCATGTGTAAGATAGGTAAAATAAATAATATAAGATATATTTTCATTACATTTTTTTTCTTTACATAAAAGAATCTGATTCGAACATGTGATTTATATATAAATGGTTTGTTATTATTTTGATTATGAAGTGAAATATATTAATGGATATGATTATGAATGAATTGATAGAAAATGATTTCTTTTCGATTAATTGATTATAATTTGCTTTAACATCTTCAAATATTTCAATCATTTCTAAGAAAATATTAGATTTTTTGATAATTATATAAAAATCAAATTATATAATGTATAATGAAACTTTAGAGGAAAAGAAAATTCATTGGAATATGGCGATGTTTATTTAGGAATGATACTCTTACCACATTCATTGAAAATCTCATCATATTTATAAATAAACTAATCATAAAATAACCATAGAGAAGAACAAATTTCAATAGATAAAACCAATTCTTATCATGAATAGTGGAAATCAACGATTTTATTGATCGGATGAAGTGTGAGCTAAGCATTCTAATTCAAGAAATGCAGTTCACTTTGTATATTCGAATACCTGTTTTTCTTACACAGTAGATTGTTAATATTCACTGTAAAGCGTTACAGATGACATAAAAGAAAACAATGATTATGAGTAGATTTTTTTATATTAGTAGTTTTTAATCAAGATGCATTCATTCCATCTAGAACATCTATGCATCATATATTGATTGTAAAATATACTTTCTTCGGTAACAGTCAAGAATGTCCTTTAGAAAATGTCCTTGCAAAAATGTCCCCGGATTTTGGGCCTCGGACAAAAGGTCCTTTGGTTTTTTGTCTTTTGGTAAATGTCCTTCATATAAAATGTCCTTTTGGAAAATATCCTTTGGAAAATGTCCTTCAAAAAACGTCCTTGCAAAAATTTTCTCATCTATAAAAGGTATCTTTTTTTTAACTCATTTATTATGTTTATGTACGTATGATGTTATAAACATAGGTAACAGTGTGTTTTAGACTCAAAGCATGTAGATATGTACTCGATCTATATTTAAATGGAATTTTTTCTTTCTCTATAAAGTGAACCAATTTAGAGGAAAAGAAACTCTACGAAATTTGGATTGGTTGCTCACTTACTATATAGACGAAAACAATGAAGTCAAACGCAATATCTTCGAAATAGCTGCTGAAGACGTAGTAATGGTGGATGATGATTTATCGTGGTTATCCTTATCGACACCAACTGAAAGTTCATTATCATCTTCATTAATTGAATATTCATCATCATCATCGTCGTCGTCATCATTAACTGAAAATTCATCGTCACCGACTGACTTACCGAATGTTACTGTTAACAAGACAGTGTCGAATAAACGAAAACTGATGTTGGAGATCGATGGTTATCATTTCCAGTTGAAGGATTATAGCAAAGACCGAACTAAGAAGTTTTGGCGGTGTGCTAATAGAGCGTGTCGTGTAATTGTGCATACAACTATTGAAAATAAATTTAAATGTTATGGTGGAAAATCGTCTGTTCATTCTCATTTACCAAATCCATCTGGAAGTGAAGTACGAAATCTACGAGAAGCTATGCGAAAAAGAGCCGAAAACGAAACAACATCATTACAAAAAATTGCAGAACAAGAAGTACGACAAGCGTTGTTGACTGGTGAAGCTTTAGCAGCTTTGCCTCGTATTAATAATTTAGGTTCGATATTTCTTTTTTCATCCACATAACAGATTGAACGATATATTTCTCTCTAACGATCGTTCTAGGTCATAATTTACTTCATCAACGTCGTAAAGCAACTCCTCCAGTACCACAATCTTCATCCTTTTTCATACCAGAATCATTCACGAAAGATTTTCATAACAAAGATCGTCTGTTGTTATACGATAGCGATGATAATAAATTTCAACTGAAACAATCGGATCATATGCGATCTGAAGGAAGATTGTTGGTTTGGTCCTCAGATATTCAATTAAACTTATTATTCAGTAGTCAAAAGGTTCACATGAATGGCACGTTTAGTACCTCACCACCACAGTTCGAACAAGTATTTATTATTCAAGCATTTGTTCAAGGCTCATATAAGCTAAGTTTAACCCAATATTTATTTGTCGTATTAAAATATGTTTTGAAATAGGTGTACCGGTATTGTATGCGTTGTTGTCTGATCGAAAGACACCCACATATGTCCATTTATTCAACGTATTATTTAATGAAGCAGAACGATTTAATAAAAAGTTTGAACCTGAATTGATTATGACTGATTTTGAGCCGAGTCTGTCAAAGGCAATTAGTCTTGAAGTATGTAACACATAATGATTAAAAAATTTGGGAATTATTTTAACAATTTTCTTTATTATAGTTTGCAGATAGTACCATTCAGAAAGGATGTTTTTTCCACTTTACCAAGGCCGTATACAGAAATGTTCAATCTTGTGGACTAACATCTGTTTATTTGAATAATATGGTAATTCGTAGTGTTGTTCGTCGAATGATGGCACTGGCTTTAGTGCCTGCAGAATGTGTTCCAACATTATTTGATGATCTTCAGAATGATTTAAGTGAATATGAACGTCATGAATTAGCCCCATTATTCAAGTACTTCAGCAGTTACTGGTTAAAACGCATGGCAATATGGAATGTGTTTGACATTGTCGATAGAACGAATAATTTTAGCGAGGGTTTGTTTAAAAAAGCTATTATGATTACAGTTTTGTTATCAGCACATATTTGTAGGTTATAACAACAGGTTCCCTAATCGTTTAGATAAATGTCATCCGAACATTTGGTACTTCATCGATGCCATTCGAAACGAAGTGAATACCATTCACAGTATGATTATTCAAATAAGCTGCGGCGTGTGTCCACGTACAAAACGATTAATTACAAGAATGGCCGAAGATCGAACAAATGAATTATATGATCGGTTCAAAAAAGATACAATTACAGTGCAAGAGCTATTAGAAAAACTTTCATTTTTTGTACCCAATGATTAAATTAATAAAATTTTAACCGTTCTTTTCGATTACATCTCATCCTTGATAATTTTAACAAGCACCGTTGGGTTCATTTAGAAAGAGATACTATTTTAAAGGATATTTTCGAAAGAACATTTTCCGACGGACATTTACCATGAAGAACATTTTATACGAAGGGTATTTTGTAAAGGACCAAAACCCAAGGACATTTTTGCAGGGACATTTTCTAACAGACATTGTTGACTGTATTCTATCGAAACATAATTTATAAGTGATAAAAATCGAAAAATTTCAGCACGAAATCGAGTGATTTTGTTATAATTGATGAGACGTCGTCATCTTCTTCATCCTCATTCTCGTCTTCGTCTAAACCCACAATTGGTGAAAAATCATCAAATAAACGGAAACCTATGTTAAAAATTGACGGTTATCAATTTCAAATGAAAGATTTCAATAAATCTAAAACTTTGAAGTTCTGGCGATGTACTAATCGACTTTGCAATGTTATTTTACTCACAAACTTGAATGATGAATTTGTGAAATTCTCAAAGGATAAAAGTGACCACTCACATTTGCCAAATCCAGCTACATTAGAAATACGGAATTTGAGAGAACAAATGCGAAAACGAGCTGAAAATGAATTACTATCTTTGCAACAAATTTATGAACAAGAAGTACGACAAGGTCTGCTCACTGGTGAAGCTCTTGTTGTTTTACCAAATATTCTTAATCTTGGTATGTCATTAATATTTCATATAACGCGAACACTATTGTACACTCTCTTTAGGCCATAACTTGGTGAATAATCGGAGAGTAATGATGCCTCTAATTCCACAGTCATATTCTTGCACTATTCCAGATGAATATAAAAACGATTATCTTAATAAGGATCATCTTTTATTACACGACAGTTATGATCCACAATTTTCTACAAACGATTCATTATATACATCACCTGAAGGAAGAATTCTCATATGGTCATCAGATATTCAATTGAAATTATTATTTGATAGTGATAAACTTTATATGGATGGAACATTTTCCACCTCTCCACCCAATTTTGATCAGATGTACATCATTCAAGCCATTTATCATGAATCATGTAAGTAATTCTACTAGCATGTGCATTCGATGGTTTTAAATATATATAATGAAATGCTGTTCATTGTCATAGGTTTGCCGGCAGTATTTTCACTGCTTCCTGATCGAAAAGCAACAACGCATATTTATCTTTTTCATGTTTTATTCTCGGAAGCAAAAAGGCTTAAGAAAAAGTTCAATCCGTGTTTACTCATGACGAATTTTGAACAAGGAGTTTCTCGTGCAGTTTCAATTATGGTAAAGTTTTATTCTATTTTCTAAATGCGTTTTGGCTGAGACTGCAAATCTTTTCTTGCAGTTCGCAGGAGCAACAGTACACAAAGGTTGCTTTTTTCGTTTTTGCCAAGCTATCTATCGAAATGTGCAATTCACTGGTTTATCATCAGCTTACTTTGAGAATCTTATGATTCGTAGTGTGATTAGACAGATGGCATTGGCGCTAGTTCCTGAGGAGCATGTGTTATCATTGTTCGCTGGTCTTGGTGCAGGACTTGATGAAAGTGAACGTGATCAATTAAGTTCTCTATTTACATATTTTGAACGCCAGTGGTTATCAAAGATCTCGATGTGGAACGTTTTTAACATTCGTGATAAAACTAATAATTTCCCCGAAGGTATGTAAAACTAAAGTAACGACTACATATCTCATTTAATTATCGCACATTCTAGGATATAATAACAGATTCAAAAGAAGAATGCAGAAAATACATCCGAACATATACATTGAAAAAAAATAAGGTATTCTACCAAACCCGTCAAAAAGGTTTCGTAGGTGTCCAAAGCTTCCAAATGTGTCGACATGTTCAAAAAAATCGTTTTCAAAAATCTATGAAACCAAAAAGGATCGGTCGGCGGGCACACGCTCCGAACCATCGTCTCGAAGCCTTTTTAAGTTTCGCACGGCTCCAATAAAGGTTCGCCAGAAAATACGGAACCTTAAGGTTTCGCACTATGGTTTTGTACGAAGCCATTAAGGTTTCGTATTTTGTGATGAAACTCAAAAAGGTTCCGTGGTGAGGGTTCGGAGTGTGTGCCCGCCGACCGATCTTTTTTTGGTTTCGTAGATTTTTGAAAACCATTTTTTTGAACATGTCGACACATTTGGAAGCTTTGGNAATACAAGTATGCCGCTCGAAACTGCCCTGGCCCGCCCAAATTCTTCCGTATAATAATCAAAAATTGCTATAAAACTTTTCCCAAAAGTTTTTAAGAGCTCAAAAAAATTCTGGGGGGGCCCAGCCCCCCCCCGCCCCCCCCCCTTGGCGCCGCCACTAGAAACTTGTTTAGTCGAAAAGATATTCATAGCCGAAAAGGCATTTCTTAGTCGAAAAAGACACCAAAAGCCAAGAAAAGGCATGTTTTAGTCGAAAAGACATTGAACGTCGATCTAAATTCTATCTAGTATACGAAATTAATCGACGTTCTGCAGGGTAAGTATTGATTGTGATGCGACCCAAAGGCTGTTAGCCCCGACATTCACGTCATATTTTCATTTCCATTCGAGCTGCAGTACGCGATCCTACTGGCGTTAAAGAAACATTCACCAGGTAATGAAGAAAATTAGGCGAATTTTCATCGAACCATCGAAAGAGATCGCTTGCCACAAAAACTCAAAGTAAGTTTTCAGAAATTTTCAGTTTTGATGGCAACCAACCTTCGCTACCATGACATGCGTTCGGAGCTGGAGCATTGGCGAGCATGTGTGGATCATTATCTTGATCGCCTAAATTATATTGTGCGATTGATAGAATACAACGAAATTTGTTTTTCTCGCTCTACTCAAATCGTTTAGTCCTTAAAAATCTTTTTCTGCGAATAATACTGGTATTGTTACAAGGAAAACACACATCGATTACTACTCTAGAAAAACAAAGTTGAGGTTTAAAGAATTTGACTACCATCACTTGCGGCAGAGCTGTTGAGGGCATTCACAATTGAAACGGAATGAGATAAATGAAGGATACCCAAGACGATCATTCCGGAAGCAGTATTCAATGAATTTCCGACGAAAGCCTGCAGGAAGCCTTTTAGTTACCGACTGGAAAAGCCGGGAATATGCTCAGAATTCGACGGAAAAATTCTACGATTGTATCCGGCAGCTATTTATTACAGGTTCCCCGGTCGGTTTCAGGTGAAACTCGGTAAATCCAGCCACCGGATCCGTTCTCAGGAATACTCTGGAGCTCGTCAGATCCGCACCGGATTCGTCGACCTGGGTATCTGCTCGAATATACACAGTCAAATGTTTTGGAAAACATGTGATACGTTGAATATCCACCGGAATTATTTGCTTCATGACCAGGATCTTCGAATGTAATGCGTTGCATTAAATGTGTAATAGCAACTTTTCATTCAAAGAATGCTAAATCTTGACAGCACATGTACGATGACCATCCCCAAACGGCATATAAGCATATTGAGGAGGATTTTAATCTTCGTCCAAGAGTTGTTCAGGTAGAGGTTTCGATGGATCAACCTTCTAATAACGTGGATCTCAACGAAAATTTTGCGTGGCTATAGCAATTGTATCGCTCTTTCGAATCGGTATATTATCAATGATATCATTACGTGTTGCATCACGGGCTATGGCTCCAACAATAGGTGCATTTTGTAGAACATCTTTTGTTGAACTTCAGGATATTTTGACATGTAAAAAATTAACCATGAAAGAGATGTTGAAGTTTCAAAACCAGCTAATATTGACATGGAAACCTCATAAAATATTTCTGTCGGAGTTAAAAAAGCTTTCGGCAACGATGAAGATTCGTTTCGTATACGTTTTTGTTCGTCAGTAATAATATTCATCACATATTGTTTCATCGTACTCAATGCCTTTTGAAATTTGCAATTCAGTTTGAGAATTAATTTTCCTAGCTAAGGTGGAATACCAGCAGCAATTATAAACTGATTCGCATAACGAACAAAATCATTGGATGCTTCTCGTAAACGAATTGAATTTTTTTTCGATGAAGATTCAATATCATAATCAATATCATTATATTTTCAATCAAACTGTCATACAAAATTATCGATATTTCATCTTGATTCATCGTTTATCTCATGACATACCTTCAGGTGGAAGTTTTAACAATATAGAAGTTCTGTTAAGGACAATCACGATCATTGAATAGATTCGAAAAATGTGAAGAAATCAACATTAATTGAAATTCTCTATAGACGTTAGGCGTTGATCGATTTCAGATACCCATCGATTTTTCGGGAAGATCTACCAAATGATGTTCACCAGTGTTAACTAAGAAATAGTAAACCAGATTTATCGACACCCAACAATAGTTTAACGAGGATGTATAAATTCGTTAGATTAGATAGAAACATAGTTCTCCTCTTGACTTCGAATCATTTATTAATCGAAATTACAAGATTTGGATAGAACGAATTCATTACCATACCAAAAATGTCTTCTAGACAAATGGTAATAATACAGATCAATTTGAAATGTTCGAACTCACTTCCTCTGTATATAAATTGCTGCACTACTAACAACTAATGACAACAACGTTTACGCGCGAACACACACACGCACGCGCACAGGCACACGTCGTTTCATGGACATCATTTCTAGCGTTCATATTTTCAAGCGACACGTCGTCATCTTCACCTGAAAGACGTACTTTTCGTACTGACCGCAATGACTGAATAATGTCCCGAAAAGCACCACACGACAGTAAACACAGAACGTAGTTTAAATATAATTTAATAATCACATCATGTTACATCTTCAACCAATTACGCACACCCACACCCTCACCCTCACACCCTAGTTGTATTGGTCGCGTTCTTTAAACTATAGTGAAGGATATTACGGTCGTATGTCTTCCATCAATACATGAAAGTCGAACCTTCCCACAGAGAGTTCAAGGTCGTAGATATACAGCGTGATTTGATTACATGAATGATGATCCATTTCTTTATTCGCTATAATGGCATATTGTATTTTTTTATTTATCAGTGTGTAAGATTAGAAGTGGTAAATGGTGGATTCATCCAACTGATGTACGACGCTTCGATTTGCGAAAAAAGAGATATCAAAATACATTAAAAAAAAACATAACAATGTTGACACCCCACACCCTCAAGAAAGACTCTGTATAAACGCTTTCCAAGTGCATTTTTACGCAAGCGGATGTCATTTTCCGTTCTATGCAATGTCTCAGAAGTTAACTAAGTACACAAAATATTAATATACTGAATAAGTTCGAAAGAAAAGTTCTTAATAGATAAAAACTCTTTTCCTTAGTAAAATTAACGACTGAAAACAACATCAAAGTAGAATCTGTGATGTAGAATGAAGCGGTAATCGTGCTAAGCTATATCTAGTCAAAGACAATAAATCACGCACATTTAATTTATTCCAGGCGTTTAAATATAAAAACAATCACTTTTATGACTATATATATAGATGCATTATAGCACCTGATTCACTACTTCTCAAGACTAGAGAAGAAATATCAACGCTGGTCAATTCCTTTCAAAAATGACCAATAACTTTTCTGCTGCAACTGAATTTAGTACCAAAGATACATACCTGCCGCCAAACTGGCTCGATATAAAATTTTCTTTATATCTTGTGGGTGAAGGACTATCAATTCCATGTTATTTATTCGTCTTCTATCATCTTTTGGCGAAAAAAGCAGCTCGTACAACTCTCTGTAACCATTCACCATTGGTCGTATTGATCTTCAGTTTTATAAATCTTATAATAGATCTGCCATTACAAATGTCCTATTATCGACGAGGATTCTATCTACCATTTAACCCAGCTATATGTCTTGTCCATCGGCTCGTGGACTATGGAATGTGGTACGGTGCAATCATAGCGATGCTATGGCTATCTTTCGAAAGACACCTTCTAATATTTCATTCAAACTTAGTTCGAACAGCCCGCGGTCGCTTAGTTTTTCATTATGCGCCAGTCATCTACTTTTGCCTGCTTTTTCTTCGACCATGTGAACAGAAGTACAATGCTTATATATTTCTATGCGGTGGTCCATTTGATAAATGTCCGCTTTCGAGCGCACTGTCTTGGTATTTGGTTATTGCTCACGATATCGTACCAGTTCCGTTGATCGTTATTCTTAGTGGCAATCTTCTTGTTCGAGTCATCGTTCAAAAGCGCCGACTACAGCATGGCAACAGTTGGCGACAAAATCGAAAGATGATGATGCAATTCATGTTTTTATCAGTAGTTTATATAATTTTTATTCTACCTTTCGCAATTGTAAGACTGTTAATTACGGTAGGAATCACAAATTTCAACACGAATGTTTCATTTTTTCTTTTTAACATGACAAATGTACTTTCAATAGTTATATCCTACGCAATGGCCGTTTCATTACCAAATCTGCGGCAAAAACTTCGTACGTTAGTATGTCAGAAACCAACGGAAGAAAATGTCTTTATTTTAACGTATCGCGCACGACCATAATGACAGTGTCGCGATCATTGTAAAGACGTTCTTCAGTGTGATGTAAAATAACAAAGGAAAAGAAAATCATCTTTCAAGTTTTGATCTCTCATCTCATTTTTAATTGATTCTCCTTTTCATGAATTGTGAGCTAAAAATGCTTGAGCTATGTTTTGAAACATATTGCACGCTTTAGCAATCCTCAAATATCTCTCAAATTACTACTGAAATACACTGTGCATGACAGACATTTCGCAGAAAATCTACATCGACAGAATTTTGTGTACATTCCATAGTGTCGATGCTACATTGAGAGTGAGTGGATTAAACATTGCTTTTACTTTCTTTTGTTGCTCTGCACGTGTAGCATCGCACTTCAAACGAACAACAAAACAACATTAGCCAAATATACAAAAAAGTTTCTTTGGTAATAAAGAAGAGATCAACAATTGAAATAAAAAGGTTTTTTTCTTCTGTTTGGAGAGAAAAAACGTATGCTTCTCTTCATCTTAAGTTGTTGTTGACTGCAACAAAAGCTTCCTTGCTTTCCAGTGTGTCGATTCGCATCCACAACAAAAGTACGTTTATCGAAATAATCACATGGACAAAGATCTCTCGATACGATCTGAAAATCAAAATACCATGCAACAGGCTTGTGTTCGAAGCTTCCATGTTCTTTGGTTGGATGTATACCATGATGAATCTAATCGGCAGATGAGAAACGCAATTGCTGGGCTACGTGACTTCGTTGATGGAATTACCTTACTCGATGATGCGGATGAATGTCGAGATTTCTTTGAACATAGAAAGACTGAAACAATATTCATGATCGTTTCGGACGTTTTAGCACAGCAAGTCATTCCGAAAGTTCATGGGATGCGTCAACTGCACTCGATCTACGTCTTTTGTCTTAAGCAGTTGCCTGACGAACGATGGTTAAATACATGGTCGAAGGTAAAGGAAACTACTCCGCAACTTACCTTCATCTGCGAATCAATCAAACGAATCATACAACAATATATTCAGGATACAATTTCGATGAGTTTCACTTCAACAAATGATCTTATCGATGAAAACGATCAATCATTCATGTATATGAAAATATTGAGAGATATTCTTCTCGACAAGAATTATGATACTCGTGAACAATCATTCGCCGCATTTACTTCGTACTGTCGTCGTAACAATATACTAACAAGTAGCATAATCGATTCTTTCGAACATGATTATACCAATCATACACCTATTTGGTGGTTTACGAAGCGATGTTTTCTTTCTTTAGTACTCAATCTTTATATGAACCGTCAAGATGCCAAAGGTATTAAAAGCATGGATGTCTTTATTCGAGCTTTACATCAAGAAATACAAACACATCACGAGCAACAGCAAAAGGAACATCCACAAGCATTCATTGTCTACCGAGGCCAAACTATGCCACATGAAAACTTTTCTACGATGATGAAATCGACGAAAGGTTTAATATCATTCAATAATTTTCTATTGACAAAGACGAGTAATAAGGATGCTTTTATCTATGCACAGCATGCTCTGAAAAGTTCGAATTCAATCGGTGTCGTGTTCAAAATGAAGATCAATCCATTAATTTATTCTAGGCCATTTGTCCGTCTCGATAATGCCAACAATGGAACATCAGAATACTTATTTTCGTTGAATACTGTTTTTCGTATTGATGAAGTACAGCAGATCGACAATGATACCCGCTTGAGGCTAGTGGAATTGACATTAGTGGATGTCGAAAATCCACAGTTCAGTAACCTGAGCAAGAGAATAGATGAAATGCTTGACGAATCAAATGGCTGGGAGCGACTGGGAAAATGGTTGATAAAGATGCAAGATTATGATAAAGCCGAGCAAATGTATCTTGTTTTACTCGATGAAACTACTGACAACAAAAAACAGGTGATGTATTTAGAAATTCTTAGTAAAATTAAAAAGAATCAAGGCAAATGGAGGGAAGCCATCACATTCTATAGAGAAGGTATCAACATCAAGGAAAAAGTTCTTAGCCCGAACGATTCCAATTTAGCTGAATCGTACAACAATATTGGTCGTATGTATGAACATCTAGGTGACTATCCTAGAGCACTTTCGTCCTATCAGAAAAGTCATGGCATTCGCAGTAATATTCTCTCGTCAAACTCTGGTGAACTCGCCGATTCGTTTCACCAACTGGGAGTCATTCATGAGAAACTTAGCGATTATTTCAAAGCACTGTCGTTTTATGAACAAGAGTTAACCATACGACAAAGTACAGTTCCTGTTGATGAATCTCGCATTGCTCGATTGTATGATAGCATTGGTTCAATATATGAGAAACTTGGCGACTATTCGAAATCAATGTTGTTTTTACAAAAATCGCTGGATACTCATGAGAATACGCAGCATTCGGATGCGAGTGACTTGGCCCGTTTATATTACAATATCGGCTGTACACACGACCATATGGGAGAGTATGGTGAGGCTCTGAAATGGATTGATAAATGCCTGAATATTCAAAAGATGAATTCGTTTCTCGATCAACTATTGCTAGCTACAGCGTATGACAGATATGGCATGATTAATGACAAAATGGGTCAATATTCCAAGGCTTTTCTCTTTATTAAGAAAGCATTCGATATACGAAACAAATTCTTAGATGTAAATCATCCTGATCTACTTACTTCGTACAACAACATGGGTGTACTATTTATTCGAATGATTGAATATTCAAAAATGTTCACCGCTGATGAGTTAGCGCAGAAAAGAGAGTACTGCTCATTGTTCTTGACAGATAAAGATACCAGTTATCCAGTACACGACATGAATGAGTATCCTGAAGCATATCAATTTATTCAAAAAGCTTTTCAAATTCGTCAAACAGTGCTACCTTCCGATCATCTGGATATCGCCGACTCGTGGAGCAGTATTGGATTAGTGTCGATAAAGGCAGATCAATATGCAAGCGCTTTGTCTGCCTACGAAACAGCAGAGCAAATGCGTCGAAAACTTTTATCGGCAACGCACCCGGAATTGATTCCATTGTACAATTCTATTGGGCTCATTCATACAGTGAATGATGAGTATGCAAAAGCGTTTACATATACAGAAAAAGTTACCGAAATTTATCAGACATGTCTTTCTCCGAATCACCCATACGTAGCAACTTGCTACAATGTTATAGGTTTCACTTATGCTAAAATGGAGAAATTCACTGAAGCAATTTCACACTTGGAAAAAGCGATTTCACTTTACAAGAAATATCTTTCTCCCAATCATCCAGATTTGTCTACTACGCTGAACACGATTGGACTAGTACATTACAGAATGAATGATTATTCTAAAGCCCTTCCAGCTTTTGAAAGTTCATTGGAAATTCGTGAAGCAAAACTGCAACCCGATCATCCTAATTTGACGACTACCTACGAAAATATTGGATTGGTGCATCTGAGAACAGGCAACTATTTCAAAGCGTTACAGGCCGTGAAAAAGTCTCTGATTATGCGTGAAGAATCACACATGTCAATTGATTCCCAGTTAGCTGTATCGTATAACAACATTGCATTAGTTTATGCGATGATGGATCAGTATTCTGAGGTATATTTCTATTTTGAAAAATCTTTTAAGATTCGAAATAAAACCTTACCGGAAAATCAATCTGATTTCATTACATACAACAATAATGTTGGTTTAGTTGATTTTAATATGAATGACTATTCCACAGCGTTCATATGTTTGAATAAATGTGTGAAATTGGGCGAGGCGAAGCTTCCTCCCGATCATTGTGACTTGGCTCATCTTTATAATAATATCGGCATTATATATGCAGGTCAAACTGATTACTCCAAAGCGCTGTCATTTTTAAACAAATCATTGGAAATTCGAAAGAAAATATTACCTCCAAATCACCTTGATTTAGCTATTTCTTATAACAATATTGGTTTGGTTCATCTTCGAACTGATAATTACTCCGAAGCGTTAACATTTCTGACGAAATCGATCGAAATACATGAGGAAAGTCAACCAATAAACTATCCTGATTTGGCGACAGCGTATAACAATATCGGTTCAACTTATGATCAAATGTTCGAATATGAAAAGGCCATGCCTTTCTACGAAAAATCATTAGAAATTCGTCAAAAAACGCTTCCTTCATATCATACTAATTTGGCTATCTCTTACAACAATACCGGCCTGGTATATGCAATCATAGGTCGCTATACAGAAGCATGCCCTTTATTGGAAAATGCACTTGACATTCGAAAGAATATCCTACCGGAAAACCATTGTGACTTAGCGACATCTTATAATAATCTTGGGAATGTGTATTCGAAGCTACATCAATTTGGAAAAGCGCTGATATGCTATCATCAAGCAGTGACGATTGCTGAAATCAATTCAGGCATATCCCCGTCTGATTCCATCACGTTTCACAACAATCTCGGTCTCTTATACTGTCACACAGGTCAATTTTCAATGTCAATTCCATATCTCCAGAAAACAATTGAAATTCATCAAAAATATGTTCCTTCTAAGTATTTGGAATCGGCTATTTATTACGAGAATCTTTGTAATGTCTACATCAAACTAGAAGAATATTCCGAAGCACTTTCCTATCAAATGAAAGCACATGCAGTATATGAACAAACACTTTCCCGTCAGCATCCGATCATGGCGAAATCTTACACGACGATTGGTTTCATACATGATAACGTCGGTGATTATGTAAATGCTCTTCAAGCTTATCGTGAAGTAGTACAGATTCAGGAAGGTATCAATTCACTTGACCAACAAGAATTAGCTGTTGCATATAAGAATCTTGGTAATATTTACTCGAAAATGAGCAATTATTCTCGTGCATCGTTCTACTACGAGAAAAGTCTCATTATCGATGAAAATACGTCATCGGACAACGATCCAGCTTTGACTAGTAGTTACAATCAACTTGGTTTAATTTCAGAACTCCAAGGCGAACAATATCGAGCATGTTCATACTACGAAAAAGCCATAGAAATGTGTCAGAAACAACCCTATGAGAACTCTCGTAATCTAATCTTATTTTATAATAAGATCGGCAGTGTCTATTCCAAACTAGATCAGCATGACAGAATAACACCATTGCATTCTCAACAATCGAAGAACAAATCAAATCTTCTTGCTCTGGAAGCTCACGATACCACGGATACTTTTAAACAGGGAAATATGCTGCAGGGCCCTTTAATGGAAGATTTACCACGACAAATTTCAATTGGCGAACTTCCCTTTCACATTTCACTTTACTCACAAACGGCAAATTGCCCTCATATACGAGTGATGCAACATGCTTGAGACACCATTTCATAAACGTTTTACATTCTTAACAAACGAACTTTTTTACCGTCAAAAAATAAATAAATAAATAAATAAAGAAGAACAACGCATATTTTTCAACTTTCAGCATAATCATTAATAGTAGTTATCTTCGAGAATGCCATTTACAAAGAAATAAAATAGAGAGATGGGCAAATAAATTTAGTTCTCATCCCCTTGCGGAAATTAAAGGAAAGAGAATCAGAACAAAACTATCCGTTTATAGAGGACGCCTTTCAAACGCAGAAAAGAAAAAGGAAAAAAACTTTCCAACCTATAGTGCAACGTAAAACCATGTGACATATGCATGAAGCTTATGCGAGAAGCAGAACAAAACACATTTATAGTCAATATTCCATTATACGGCAAATGCTTCGAAACTATCGACTAGTTTGGCTTGACAATGACATTGACAATGTGAAAAACTATGATTCTATTGCACAATTAAGGTCAATCGTGAATACAATCGATACATTTAACGATATTGCTGCATGTTTTGAGCATATTGAAAGTATCAAAGACGAGACGTCAGCATTACTCGTTTCAAATAAGCTTGGCGAAAAAATAATACCAACTATACACAAGCAATCGAATATAAACGCGATCTTTATCTTTAGCCAAACCGTCATCTCCGACAATCGATGGATGCAGAAGTGGTGGAAAATACATGGAGCATTCCATGATATATCATCCGTTTGCCGAGCATTGAAGTCTGCTACTTACGATTACAATCAGAGTACAATCGCAATGAATTGTTCCCGAACGAATAGACTCGATCATGACCTCATTTATACGTTTTTACTAAAAGAAATCTTATCTACAATCAAGTTTGAATACGAGCATAAGCGTGAATTTCTGAAATACTGTCGCGAACAATATGTGGGCAACAGTATACAATTGAAAAAAGTCGATCAACTTCAAACGGACTATCGTCGGCAGGACGCTATCGCATGGTACACACATGAAGGAATCTTGTATTCGATGCTTAATGATGCTTTGCGTACACTGAATGTAGATTTAGTTCTCAAGATGGGCTTCTTTATCAATGATCTTCATGAACAAATTGTTGCTCGTCATTTGCAACAGCATGGTAATCAGCAGGTGGCAGAGCCACTCACTGTATTTCGAAGTCAAGGTGTTTCTCATTCAAATTTCGACTTGTTGATGAGAACACGAGGTGGAGTATTATCGTTTAACAACTTTCTGTATACCAATAAGAATCGTGCCGAATCTCTTGATTTTGCCCGACGGACAATGACTAAATATGACGTAGTTGGCGTTCTTTTTATCGTTACTGTTGATTCTGCAACATCTAAAACTCCGTTTGTTAATATTCATATGGAAGGTGACGAAGAACAGGTACTCTTCTCTATGCACTCAATCTTTCGCATTGATCAAATGAAACAAATCAACGGAAATAATCGTTTTTGGCAAGTTGAATTATCGTTGATGGATAGTGATAAATATTTATCTGATGATAGTATTCAACATGCGCGCAAAGAAATAGAAGGATCAACCGAATGGGTTCGAATAGGAAAACTGATGGTAAAGTTAGGACAATATGATCTAGCCGAAAGCCTTTATCGAAAGATTCTTTTACAAACAAATCAGGCAAAATCACAAGCAGATTTACTATACCAACTTGGATGTATCTATTGTATTCAAGGGAAATATTTCGAAGCATTAGCATCCTATGAAAAAGTGTTAAGGATGCATGACAAATTATTCTCGTCGAAACATCCCAGCATTGCCAAGTGCTACAATGATATCGCAATTGTCTATGGTGAAATGAACGAAATCTCAACGGCACTATTCTATTCGGAAAAAGCTATCGAAATATTCGAGAAAGCCGTTGAAGAGAATCCTTTAGATTTAGCAAATGCCTACGAGATCATTGGAGTATTATATTCCAAGAGGAATGATTATTTAAAGGCACTTGCGTATTATGGAAAAGCATCGAGAATCTACCAAAGAACTCTACCTGCAAAAGATCCTCAGTTTGCTAATTTGAATACTAATATTGGTTCCATCTATGCTAGAATGAGCGAATATCTTACAGCACTGACATATTTCGAGAAAGCACTTGAAATTCAAAGCAAAAGTCTTCCTTCAAACCATCCTGACCTAGCCTTTTCCTATGGACACATAGGATTGGCGTCGTTCTTTACCGGGAATCACTCAAATGGATTATTGTATTGTCAACGAGCATTAGAAGTAGCCCAACAGTCATTACCGGTAAATCATCCTCATATTCAAATCTATAAGGCTAATTTAAACTGCATTACATCACAAATGAACGATACTGTACAGGAATAAAACTATTCTTCGTGATACTATTCTAATAAATTTTTGCATTCATTTGTACATGAGAAGTTCTTTTTTTGTTGAACTGTGACCTTCCTACTGTTGGAGAAGTTTCTGAGCACTTTTAATGGCGCTCGCACGCGCGTAAAAGCTCTTCAAAGATGAGTTGTCGTTCGTCGTAGAATACTTCGATGGTTTATGAATACAAACTGTTTGTTTTCTTTTGTATTCTCACTGCAAAAATTGATTCTATTTTCAGAATATTAGAAGGTATGATGAATATTGCAATGATGTAATGCTCTGAGTCGGATTATGAGATTTTATATATTAGTGCTGCAGATTCGAATGGTATAGCACAAAATTCCTTCCCACATTCTCTATAATTGAATTTGACCTTTTCAAAGAAAACAGGAAATTGGATATATACGTATAAAGTTTAGAGTTTCATATTTTATTCTAACCTTCTCTCTACACTCATTAGTCTGTTATGTCGACATCATCTCTTACTAACTATTTATCTGATTTATAACCACCAACCTTGGAATTGATTACCGAACTTCAATGTATCTTATTGGCATGGGAGATAATCTGTTGAATATCTTGATTATCACACGATGTAAATTGAGTGATTAGCGCATGTTTACTGTATTTCATTGTTATTTCTATCAGACAGATCATTCTTTTCAATAGTTTAGCATTAACTATAATTATCATGTAGCTAACTGGTGACGACCTATTTATCTTTAGTCTTGGATTAATGCGACAATTCTTATGTTTAATTTCCATTGATCAGTGGTTTATAGTGACAAAGAATGTCCACATGAGACGAGCTAAGCCATCAGAAGTTGTTCGATGGTTAATCGTTGGCGTTAGTTTATTTCGAATGATTTATTCTATTCATACACTGGTTGGTTTCCAATCGTCGAAAGAATGCGATTGTACACATTTGTTATGCACAGACAGTTGTGCATTGTTTTACATTATACATTATACTGTCTCCTCTCTAATACCGATTTTAAATATTATTTTGTGTAACATTTTAACTGTTAAAAATTTACGTTAGCGATGACTTCATGTTTTTTCAACCTTGCAACGTCAAGGAGAATCGAACTCGATGGCTGTTATATTACCTCAATACACTGTATGTCATCGACGAGAGATGCAGTTACTTAGATTGCCACTTTTACAAGTTGCTTTCTACACTAGCTTAAATATTTAAGGTACATTTTTTCTTCTCTATACCTGTTTTTTACAAATTATCAAACGAAAAGTGCAGATCAATATGCTATTGATGGATTTCTTATTATTTATCAATAATTTATCAATCATCTAAAGAACATTTTATACTGATGTGTAGTAGTGCTTCTTTTGATATTGGATGTCTGAAATCTATGAGAATACATAGCTGTAATAAAAAACAGACCCTTTGCCTTTCTTTAAACATGTATTTGTATCGAAAAGATTTTGTCTTCGGGCTAATGAAAATTTAGACTCCTAGGTTTCACACAAAGATGCGCCAGCTATGTCTTAAGCTATTTAAATGGTATTGAATGTGTTTATTTCAAGGAATCTAACGCTGGTTTAATATAAAAAGAAAACGTATAAAATACAACAGTTTATGTCACATATCTGTACTTCATTCCTAAATTATACAAATAGAAAATAAATAATTTAGGAAATTGTAGAAAAAAAGCACTTACTTTATGTTCGATCTTTACATGAATTTCGCCTTTCGAACGAAGACCTAACAGGGCGGGTAGTTTTATCCACTCGTCAAAAGCGCCTTTGGAAAAATCATGCTTTCTCAGATCAATCTTTGCTTCGCCGATCGAATCTTTGCCGACTGCATCGTCATCATAAACATGAAGATGTAAATCGTCATGATTTCGCGATAAATTACTACGATATACAACTTATAAATCAAATCAGATCATCGTATGAATAGGAACAACTTACAAGGTAAATGTTTCGTTCCACTGAGGATCGTTGTTATTCTTAATCGTCTTTGTTCGTTGTTTGTAGTCTTTGTCTAGATAGACTTCAACGAAAGCATCATTTTTGCCAACGATGTCTTGATCTTTGAGATGACGAGCTTCGATAATGGTTACTTCAAGTGTACCGTGTGAACCACTCATAATGCTTGTTCGTTCAGGTTATTGTTGAGAATTTTTAGAAAGATTGGTGAATGAAAAAAGACAGTAAATGTTCGACGTATTTAAATGCATTTGTTTCTTTCCGTTCTTAATAATACGAGAAAAAGAACCTTTTAACTTTTTGTTATGAGAGAAGCAAAGAAAACGAATGAGGAGTTCATATGGTTGCATCGAAAGTAAAAAGAATAACGAATTGGTAGATTCTAGAATACAAACAATGCTTTCTTTTTTTTGTCAGCTTCGTTCGTCACTTGAAAAAGTATGTACCATCAAAAAAAATTTCAAACAGTACTTCTGCGTTCGCGGCGAAACACGTGATCTGTACGATGATGAAAATCGAGAAGGTCTTTTGGTAGAGCATCAAGATGAACTCAAAGAATTCTTTTTATTTGCAAGTATCTATGACTAATTATGGGGAATTATTCATCGTGATAATGTCAATCATTGCGATGACGTTCAAATTATTAACGATGACGATGTATGCGGATATTTTCGTGTTTGTCTAATATGTATGGAAGATTAAGATAGAGAGTTCTTTAGTCGGATTGTAAAGAATAACAAGCTCATTCATTTTTAAAGTCAATTATTTCATCAGATCTCAGATAGCTATAAAAAGTGTTTTTTTGCTAACGAGAATAGACCGACGTTGACAATAATGAAAATGAGACCATGTCTAAACAGAAGATAGTCAATGGTCAGTGCGATTAGACGTCTCTTTAGATCCTGAGAAATTACATTTGCTGCCAATCTTAGTTAAAGAGACCCAAACTTCAAAAATGTATCGAAGACTCCGTGGCGCAACGGTAGCGCGTCTGACTCCAGATCAGAAGGTTGCGTGTTCAAGTCACGTCGGGGTCAAATATACTCTTTTTAGTAATTTTACGTAAAAATGATCGATCTTTTATTTTTCAATGATAATTCCATTAGAGAAGAATTTGTCACACTCGAAAAATAAATAAATTATTAGATGTGAAGCTATTCGTTCACACTTATACTCTCTCGATGTACGTACATTGCTGGCGTGACGTAGCCACAATGAATACACAAGTTACATATAATATTTCTGGAAAAAAAGATGAAAGACTTCGAAGCTGTGGCGAGTATCCTATTAGTGTGCTAATGTTCGAAGGAAATGACTTTGAAAATCTTCCATTAAACACCAAATATTGGCTGTATCTACAAAAACCGATTATTCTTCATGCCTTCATAAGAACGAATTTTGCTATTAATAAATTATTAAATTTCTAAAAAACGAGAATAATCTGAGCAGATAATCAAAAGAAATAGCGTCCAAAATTATTTGCTTATTCATCTTATGTCACTAATATGAGTTCAAAACAATTTGTTCTCCTGGTTGTATTTGTCGAACAAATGAACAAGATAGGCGATCATTTCGTCTGTCTCTACTCACTGATTGGCAATGTCATCGTTCCAATACAACTGGTTCACCGTTTGTTTAGCACTTAGTTGTAGAGCAGTCAGTTACTATCGTTCGAATTTCAATGGCCAATTGTTTACTGACATGCCAAATTCAAATGGAAACATATTATTAAATGCTAAAATTACTACGACGATTGTTGTCCTAGAACAAACGAGTTCCCACTGTTTAGTATAGGCGTGCAACGGAAAAGATTAGAAGAGTGATTGTTTGGTTGAATCGAAAATACATTACACTTTATATTATGATTACAATATTCTTTTGATGGCACACGGACAATTCATGTCATATGTATACTATAATTAATTTACATTGAAAAATGATCTTTTCTTGGTTGGCATTGTTGATCTATTGAGTCCTCAAATGAAAAACTAATCATAAGTAGTATGCTACTAAATGGTGTCCAGACGTCCTTGACTTGATACATGTTAAACTTGTCACACCGGATTTTGTTAATTGTTTACGAACATAACTCTTGCAGGAGACGCATGTCTCTCTTCATTCATCTGTATATTTTCGTAATCTTGTTACAATTATTAAATTCTACGACGAATAGTCTGCGATCAATTTTCTCCTTCTGCTATTTTTTTATCCATATTTATGAAAAAAACTCATGGTAAAGGATCAGAAATCTTAACGTCGAAAGAAATTGCGGGAAACCAGTTTAGAATCATCATGTTTTATTTTTGCATTCTAGAAAATAAAATCGTCATAGAAATATTCAATAGTTTGATGTATCAAAATCAATTCTCATAACATTAATATTCGATTCGCCGTGCCGTAACGTTTCGACGAGGTGAAATCCTTGTTTTTCAAATAAACCTTGAGCACTTCTCGTCCATAGCCACACATATGTATGTTTCAATTCTTTCGCTAGTTCGAAGATTTTCCCAATCATGTACTTTGCTATACCTTGTCCACGATATTCTGGCTTCGTATAAGTACAAGCTAGCCAAGGTGTTATATTATAATATGGATTGCCTGGAGATACATCAAAAACTTCCAAACCAATAGTTGCAATAAGATTCTGACTCTGTTTATCCAGTAGAATCATTAATAAAGGTAGTTGTTTTTCATTTCGAATATAATTCATTTCGGCGTCTTGTATCACAGCTTCGAGGGTCAGCAAACCGAATGCATGATAACTGTCCTGCCATTCGTTGTAGAATATGTTGCTTACTTCTTGAACATATTCCGGCTTTTCCCGTAAAAGATGAATTGTATATTTCGCTTCGAAGTTGTTACTCATTTTTCACTCGATTACTTGTGATGAAAACAACGTATCTGTTGTGCAAGATAACCGACATATGCATGACTCATATTCGATCTTTTGACAGATGTCAGTCTTTGACAAAATCTTATTTTATTATATGTGGCATGAAAAAGTTTTTCTTGTGTTTCAATCAATCACGTGGTCGTCCATATAAAAGTGTGCTGTCCAATGCTTTTCTGTAGAATGTTGGATAATCATTACGATATTCCAGATAACATTCTTCATTATGGCTTCCATTTTTTCCAACAAACGGACTGTCTATCATTTGAATAATAGTTGACAAGATCGTATGCAATGATAATGTCGGTCTGTAGTTTGAATCTGCAAAGCGAAAGCCACAATCACAACCACAACATACACCTGTTTGTGAAATATTCGGATGATAAATTGGATCTAGAAACTGTATGTCAGGATATTTGAAAGGATATTCTGCAGTCAAACCAATCTGAAGAAGAAATGATGCGCGGCAGTACGGCTCACTTTGTAACAGAAGTCGACCTTCAATGGTGTGGCGGTAGTGTTCAGACGAACGTACGGTTATTGGCGTGTTGTTGAAACGTGGTGGTGGTCTATTGGTATCAATAGATTGTCCTGAAACTTTGTCTAATATGAATTTATTTTCTGACTCCAACTTTTTAAGTAGTTTGATCTCAGCTATTACTTTGCGATTTAATAATACAGGAGAGGCTATAATGACACAAACAAATACGTATTATTTTTTTACGAGTAGACGTATTATTCTTGATATACCTGAATCTGGANATTGGAAGACCTCATCATGTAGCAGGAACTGACATTCTTTCAGGAATGGATCAATTAATTGCCGATGGAATTGTTGATCCATCTCGACTTGCTGTTGGTGGTTGCAATATTCCTTCTATTGTCTTACCATCATTTTTACTAGTCCAATTGTATACGATGGTTTCTGGCAGATGTCTTTCGGTAAATAATTTATTTTCGTTAGTAATCTGTCTTGCCGACACTAAATTTTTAACATCTTGTGCACAGTAGATCTCCATAGGTCGTTGTGATGATGAATAAACAAAAGCTAAGGCACAGTTTGGATTCGAGGACGAGGCAACCGAAGTGTAACTTCCGGGAATTCCATCATGTCGTACCCATTCTCCATCTATTGATTGTACTGAATAGACTTGTATTTGTGTTCTCCATTGACCAAGGACATACACGCCACCATCTACTTTTGCAGTGTAATCTATGATGTGCAGTTCGGATTTTTTTCCAACTCGACGTATAGTTCCATTTTTTACATGCAATGCGTATAGTTCTTGAATAACAGCATCATTATCATCGTTCTGATCAATATTTACAGTAAAAAAGACAGTTTTACCATCGCTAGACAATTGCAACATTCGATCATCGTCTTCATCGTTTGTTAATCTGTTGATTATTGAATTATCTTTCAGATCGAGCGAATAGATTTCATTGGTTTCCACGTTTTTATTAGTCAATTCCTTGCTGATGAAAATGAACTTGTCTTCGGACGGTACAAACAATAATTCGCGAACATGGAGTGGAATTGTTTGAAGAATATTTATTGTGTAAGTTATACCACCATTTGTTCCGCTAAGACGTACACTATAAAGCTTTGATTCTTTATCAGATTGTTTCAGTTCTCCTTTCAGATTAGCTCTATTCAATTCTATATTTTGAAGTACATAAATAGTTGAAGCATTTTGAGACCATGTAACAATAGTTGGAATTGAATATGCAACTGGAATGAATATAATAATACGTAATTCAATTGAATAGACAGAAAAGCCGTGTTTGAATTGATCGGGTGAATTTGCTCGACTTCCAAATGCACCAGGCAAGTTATTTGCTGTGTGGGATACGTATTTATCATATGAAACATATGTTATAAAATTACTGCTCGGTGACCATTGTGGATTCACATTTGGTTCGAGATATTTTGTGATCTGGGTTGTTTCCATCGTCTGAATGTTGTACAACCATAGGCCATACGCATGATATTCAGTAACAGGCGATGGACGTTTAGTTGCATAAAGTAGATATTGACCATTGGGTGAAAATGACATGTGCAGAAAAGTTGTATAATCGAAAAATTCATCCAATGTCAACTTTTGTTTTGTTTCAGATGTAGATGCAATAGATTCATCGATCGATGGCATTGAGTCTTGCTCAATTGGTATACATAACAGTGCATTAATAATAATTGTAAAATATACAACAATGCTGAACAGCAACATCGTTGATTTTGCTTGAAATTAGCTTAAACGATTTGTAAACGACGAGATAAAAATGTCCGACTGGTTTTCTCAGACATCGAGTGTGACACTTTATATACGTTAAGGCTGGGAAGACTGGTCTAAAACGTACTTGATGGGATACAGATAACGAATTCCATTGTATTGTACTGTATTCATTGCTAGAAATATTCTTAGTACACTGTGGGAACAGGGAAAGAATTTCCTTTCCTTCTCTTCGAAAAAAAAATGAAGTTTTTCACGTCGTCAATAGATTTCTTAATGGATGATTTTTTTTATTAAAGCTATGTTGTTATTTTTGTATACTCACTGCACTGTTATCATTGCAGGACAGCAAAAAATTTCATAATCATGCTGATACATGATGACAGTATGCGAATAAAGATTTTATTTTGAGTCTTACTTTAAAAACTCAACATCGTTTATTTTAGTTGCGTGTTTTAGTGCAGTCAAAAAGCGACAAGATGATACAGCATAACATATGTTGTTGTTTCGCACTACTTGCCCTCAAGTAAGCATCAAAATTTGTCTTTATACTCTTTGAAACATACTGTTTTGACCCTAGTATATTAGCAGTTATAACTCTACCACAAACATGTCATGATTTAGCTCAATACGACAAATGTTCCAGCAATCCTTTGTGTGCTTGTCTACATTCTGTTTCTTCAAACGACAGCGGCATTTGTGCCTTCCGATGGACAACTTGTTCTGAACTTGACGCTTGTACAATAAACACTCATCTATGTTTTCAACCTAATCATATTTGCGTTCATCACCCTGATTGTCAGAACCAACCATTGTGTTATCCACTATCCATGACTACTGCTGATCTATGCCCCACTATCAGCGAAACAACCACTCCAAGTAAATAAATCAATTTTTTTTTGTAAACGAACTCGATGTGTCTTACAGCTTCAAGCTTTTCAACAGGGACCGATGATGTCGAACTCTGTTTAACAGCAACATGGTCTACGCAAGGTATAACAGTTGCTGGTGGAAAAGGTTTTGGAGACAAATTGGATCAATTAGCTGACCCCTACGGAATTTTTCTTGATGATAATGATACAATTTACATTGCAGATCGTTCGAATCATCGTATTGTTATGTGGGAACAGGGTGCTATCGTGGGCCAATGGCTTGCTGGTTATAAAGAAGATAATGCACGTAGTATGTCCTTAAACATGCCGCAAGATCTTGTTGTTGACCAAAATGGAACGATGCATATAAGTGATGGAGGAAATTACCGCGTTGTTCGATGGAATCGAGGCGCACAGGAAGGTGAAGTGATTGTTGATCACATTCAAGCGGTGGGTATTGCGCAAGATAATACCGGATCAATTTATGTGTCGGAATATGCGGACGGTCGAATAACAAAATGGAGCAAAAATAATGATGACCAATTATTTGGACAAGTGATTGCAACAAAACTGCGTCAATCGAATTTTATATTCGTCGATCGGGATCGATCAGTCTATTCAACAGGTTATATGGCACATCGCATAGTTAAAATAATCGAAGGAGTTGAAGAACCTCTCGTTGTTGCTGGTCAATCAGACAAATCTGGACATGATCTGCATCAACTGACATTTCCAACTGGTGTTTTTGTTGACCATCAAGGTACTATTTATGTGGCTGATACTGATAATCATCGAATAGTACGTTGGCCAAAAGGAGCTACGTCGGGTATTCTAATCGTAGGTGAACATGGACGAGGTTCAGCATCAGATCAATTGACACACCCTTCTGATTTATTTCTTGATCGGCAGGGAAATTTATACGTTACTGACACTTTGAATAATCGTGTACAAAAATTTCTTATCGATAAAAGTTCTTGTCATTCGAAATCGAAATAAATCTTCCTTGCCATTTTCATTATTAGCGTTCAATTGTATTCATATCAAGTTTTCCATATGATCGGTGTCCATACTTGCGCATAGTCATAGCGGTCTAATTCATTGTTGTGATCATTCAGATTGATCTTTAAAGCAAGGAAGTACAAGGCTCAGTAACCGTGTTTACTTTCATCACATTATCCGAATGTTAGTGAAGAGCCGGTGAATGTTTTACTTAGAAACTTAGTTAATGATAAACAATTTTCTCATTTGTCAAACTATTTCTCGAAGCACATTTGTGTGTGTTTTTTATCATTAGAATTACTTGCGGAACTGTGATCAAATCGTCTAAATGATCTAAAAAGTATGTCAGTGTTCTTCACAAAAATATTTATTCCTCAAAGCATACATGCATAACGATATTTTCTTCCAATTTTCAAAACATGTTTATATCAATGAAACATCAAGGCTAATATGCGTAATATATGTTAAACGGACACTTTTATTGACTCTAACTATATAACAGACAGTATGTCGGTGTACTTAATGTTAGTTCTAGATGCTTTCCGATCAAATGTTCTCTAAAAGGCCAGTACATACAAATCAAACTCATAGCATTAATGGTGAATTGTATACTTTGCTAAGTCGAATAGGTCACGGATCGTATGGATCTGTATGGAAATCTGTAACACCAAAGGGTATGGGTATTTTCTTTTTTTTCATCTATCTGTAAGATTCATGTCATATCCATGCGATATGATCAAAGTTTTCTGTACAAGAATCTGTTGAGTGTCTTTCGAGAAATATACAAGACGGTCGTCGTTCATCAGATCTAATAGATCGTTTTGCCGTATAGTCTATTTTTGCAAATTACAGACGGTAGATAGTTCACTCAAAGTATGCTGAAATATTTCAGCACCGTTGTTTCTATCTATTCTGAAAAACAACGGCAAAGAGCAATTACGCGTGCAAAATAATAGTTCGAAGTTTAACTAAATACATTTATATGGAGAGTAAATAATGTCAATGACTAATTGAGAAAAGTAATTGCTGCCTGACTTGTTTAGGTGAATATTATGCTGTGAAAGTGTTTGAATTCAATCATGCACAAAATCCTCTTGCTTCGGATGACCGACTGAGCTCTTTTAAAACTGAAGTTAAAATGGGTAAAAAACTTTATGATGAAACTGAGCACGTTGTAACAATGTGCGGGTATGAATATAGTCCACGATACGGGGTGGGTTTTATTGCAATGGAATTGGGCAGCGAATCATTAGTTGATCGAGTTAGAAATCTTCATCAAACACATTCAAAATCGCCGATGTTCGATTACTATGATTACATTTCGCTAAGAGATCAACAGAATATATGGTGTCAATTAGTCAATATCATTCTTGCTCTTCACCAGTATGGTGTAGTAAGTTAAAGTTGATATAGATCATTTTTAGAACAATGTTCGACCTACGAAAAAAAATTTCATAATAGATCCATCGTGATCTCAAACCAGCGAACCTATTGTTTTTCGGGCCTACCTTGAAAGTGATTGATTTTGGTATGGCGCAAGACGAATTTGTAGGGTAAATTTCATTTTCTTTTCTACGTTTTTCATTCATCGTCTTCTTTTACACAGATTTAGCCCACATCACAGAATAGGCGGCACTCGTCCTTATAGTGCACCCGAATGTTTCACGGGTCAGGCGCTAATCACTCCAAAAGCCGATGTATGGTCCGTGGGTGCCATTTTATATTATCTAACTTATGGCAATGCACCGGTATTCGAAAGTCCACGACCCCCGTTCGGCGCTTTACCTACTCGCTCTCGTCACATTCAGGAGATTCTTGAACATTGCCTTCGACCAGTTGCGTCTCGACGGCCAGATCATCAATCACTTGCTCAGCATCCTTTCACAAAACCTTTTAAGAGATACTTAAAGTGATTGTATATGATGTTTTTAATATAGATAAAATTAGAAAATTCAATGGAATTTATAACATATACACTTGAATGATTTTAGAAGTATAAATTCTTAGCTATATTGACGTAAGCTTATGGGTAAAAAGAACACTCTGCAATAATAACTGAAAGTGTTGACAGCTTTCTTGTCGTTCTCTTAGCAAATTTTGGAATTTTATCTTTTAACAACATACCTTTATCTCGAAGACAAAGCGTATGTTGGAAATTCTCGTCTCGAGTTACGTCAACTGAAATCTGACTTCAACAAGATGTTCTGGTTTTAGATAGAAATTTGTTTTCACTATGGCTAACGCAGAATATCAAGATTTTTCAGATGGCTCACGTCGTAAAGTAGCTTTGGTTATCGGAAATAGCAATTATGCTTTAGAAAGATCGTTACCGAATACAATCAATGATGCTAAACAAATGACAATTGCATTAAGGCGTCTTGGATTCCATATTCACGATGACGAGCCGAAATTAGACTTGACGTATAGGGAATTTTCTATGACCTTGATGAGTTTTGTTTGTTCAATTGACCAAAATGATTTGGTTTTATTTTATTTTTCCGGTCACGGAACTCAACAGGAGGTAAAGCTAAGGAATGACAATGAATTTATTTCATAATTCTTTTTTTATCAGAATGAAAACTATTTAATTCCAGTGGACGATTTCAAGGAAGAAAACAAAGAAAGAGTCAAGCTAGATGGAACTGATCTAAAAAGATATGCAATTAATGCACAACAGTTTCTAAATAATATTGATGATCGCAATCCATTTGCGATCTTATTTTTCTTAGATTGCTGTCGAACTTATCATTTAAAACAAGAAAGATCACCAAAGAGCCTGAAAAGTTGTTCACCGGATCAACTACACGGATTAAAATCGATGTCGCCGAAAATCGGTTCATTGATCGCCTTTGCTTGTGCGCCTGGAACAACAGCTGATGACGGAAATAATCGAGAAAAGAATGGTTTATTTACAAAACACCTTCTCAAACACCTCTCCACAACCAAAGAAGATGTTATTGGAATACTAATGAACGTAACAGATGGTGTTATTCAAGAGTCGAATAGCCAGCAAATTCCACATGTTACTTTTGTGTTAACAAAAAAGATCTTCTTGTGCAATGAAAATCAAAGTAATTATTATTTTATTGCTAGTGAGAGAAAAAATACTATGTTTGCTATCCAAACATAAAAAGATGAGAAGCAATCACATTTGAGAGTTTTATTCTCAATCTTCATAGTTTCCATTCAATTTAGGAATCAGATTCAACAGATGGACACAAGATGGTGTCACCATAGCTGGCGGGAATGGAAGAGGAGAGGCTCTAAACCAATTGAATAGGCCTCACGGAATCTGTATCGATAAAAACAACAATACTCTCGTTGCCGATTGGGGAAACGACCGGATTATGAAATGGAAACCGAATGGCAAACAGGGTGAAATTTGTATAGATAGGATCGGGAATCTAGCTGACCAACTGACCTGGCCAAGAGATGTAATTGTTGATGAACAAAACTGTTCATTAATCATTGGCGATTGGGGAAACAGACGGGTGATTCAATGGTGGAATCATGATCTATACGAAGTTCTTGTTGATGACATTTCATGTTCTCGTTTGACAATGGATAAATATGGATTTCTTTATATTTCTGATTGGGAGAAGCATGAAGTGAGAAGATGGAAAATTGGTGAAAGGCAAGGGAACCTAGTAGCTGGGGGCCATGGACAAGGAAACCGACTCAATCAATTGGATTGTCCAACGTTTATCTTCGTTGATGACGAGCAATCTGTCTATGTTTCGGATAGAGACAATCATCGTGTGATGAAATGGAGAAAAGGTGCGAGAGAAGGAACTGTTATCGCTGGTGGAAAAAGCGGAGGAAGCCATCTGAGTCAATTGAGTTCTCCTCAAGGAATATTCGTGGATAAATTCGGTCAAACTTACGTAGCAGACACTGGAAATCATCGAATAATGCGTTGGCGTGAAGGAACGCAGCAAGGTGAAATAATTGTTGGTGGGAAAGGAATAGGAAATCGATCGAATCAACTGAATTCTCCAATTGATCTATCGTTTGACGATGGCGGAAATCTTTATGTTGCTGATTTGGGAAATGATCGAGTCCAAAAATTCAGTCTGATTTACAATTAGAGAGACGCAAATCCTATCAAGAAGTAGTAAATATTATTGTTGAGTAAATAAAATAGTTTCGCATGAAAGTAAACTTTTGTTTCTTCATTTCACTTTCCATATTTCAAAAGTAACTTCGGCTGAGCAGAAAATGATTGAATTCTGTTCAATAGCTTTTCATTACCTTTGATTGTGTAGTTATAACTTTGTTTTATGTTTGCTAAGATTTTTAAGCAAAAAATTCATCGACGATATGATCACAAAAAGAAGTCAAATATGAAATGTAAAAATATGAATTTATTTTTGCTAAATGATGAAGTTTTCAACGTGCTTCAGTTTAGAAGATCATAAATCAACCAAATTTTTGAAAGTAAACAGAACTACTCAATTGATTTCGTCATTGATCTTTTTGTTTTGTCAATAATGTCGAGAACGAATGAAGATGGATCACGAGTTGAGATCGTGATATTGTCGGGAGATTGATTTGAAGATGGGGTTTTTTATGAAGAATTAGCTTTTGCAATCGACTATTGAGGTAGAAGAAGCTTCCGGAAATGTAATAAACATCAAGATATTCAAAGATTTCATGGATTGTAACTTTCCTTTCTTGTGCATAAATAGAACTGGTTAGATCGAAGTATGCGTAGACAACAATTTGAAACTTTCAAATTTTCCTATCGGAATATGTCTTCGGTTAGCTGTCAATAATGGTAGTACGTGGATTCCAATTTGTTCGAGACGATATTAGAATGACTATTGAAAATTTGCTCATCTTTCTTGGAGTTCTTTTCCTTTATTTAAAAGCGGTACTCACATTGATCAACGTGCCGATTCTTCAACGATTTGAGCCAAGAACAATGTTCAATCTGATTGATTTTTATCAAAAGTAAAAATGATTAGCTACCGATGGTTTCATAGGATCTATTTGTAAAAAAATCATGTAATATGAGACCAGGAACATTAAGTGTTACAAAATGTCCTTTCTGTTTCAATTTACCATTGATTCGCACGTTTAACAGTCGAATATGACACCTCTGGAATTACTTACCTTGGAACGAATCTGTTATATTAAGAGCTCCACATGAAACCGTTGTTGTTGGCATAGTCACTGTTAAATTTATTTAGATCTTATGATTAGTATTAAGTATTCACTTAGTAGTATTGTGATTCATTATATTGACATATTCTATGAATTTCGTACATATGTTTTGTACTTGGAGTGTATTTAAACTGACTAGGATGTACGCGAGAAAAATTTAGTGTTATTTTTATAATTGATGAAATTCAAAAGTCTTCGCCGTCACAAGAATGATGTGAAGAATACCTTGGGCGTGAGCTTTGGCAAGCAGCATACAAACTGGATCGAATGATTGTGTCTGGATGATTTCTCAAATCAACGAGGATTTTTATTATGAAAAAGTACTGATAGAAAACGGATGCTCGAGAAAAACATAAAAGGTACAGTTTCTTCGGTGTGATATATAATCAGTTAGTAAAATTATACGTTGAGAGAGAAGAATAAACAGAACGAATAAAGCTCTCACCACTATAGTTACCCTCAAAGAAAGAAATCGACAGAGAACACTTTCACGTGTTATAATTTTTTTGTCCTACAAATCATAATCTTCACATACATGCAGCAGTCAGTCAGGTTTTTGTACTGATGTCTTTAATGTTTCCTAGTCGCAATACTATGATCCCAATTGTATGCTTATTTATCTTCCTACAAACTATTAACTATATTTATAATGTCAAAACAAAAGGGAACCAACCACTCGAAGAATTCTCCTCATCCAATTTATACAAACATTCGTCGACTGACAAAAACAACTCGACATATAATAATACACGAAAATTTCCACCTTTATCTTCAGATTCAAAACTATCCGTATTTTTCGGTACGTCATTTTCAGCGTCTGCAAACTTTACGAAACCTGATCCTTCTATTTATAAATCTTATCCGAATTGCAGTTTTTCTCTCTCAAACAATGATTCAGCTTCCTATCGGGTATCGATTAACAAAAATATACAATCTTTTAATACAATTGAACATCGTTATGAGAAAGATCTTTATCCTGGTGGACATTTCTTCCCAAAAACATGCCGGCCTAAGCAACGTTTAGCGGTGATCATATGTTACAGAAATCGTGAATCACATTTGAAACTTTTTCTTAATCATATACATGCTTTTCTTCAGCAGCAACAACTTGATTATACAATATTTGTTGTTAATCAGCATGGTCAAGAACAATTTAATCGAGCTGCTCTATTCGACGTTGGCTTCCTTGAAGCAATAAAATTATATTCATTCGATTGTTTCATTTTTCACGACGTTGATCTTTTACCTGAAGATTTACGTAATGTCTACAAGTGTGGAAAGCAACCAAAACATATGTAAGCGCGGAGAAAAATAAGGATTTGCTCGATCGACAGTTGTTTTCTTGTGTAGGTCAGTCGCTGTTGATACGTTCAAGTACAAATTACCTTATCCGACTCTGTTTGGTGGTGTAACTGCAATCAGTTTAACGGATTTTATCAATGCAAATGGTTATGCCACTATTTACTGGGGTTGGGGTGGTGAAGATGATGATATGTATCAGCGTGTAAATCGAACACTGCGTAAATCAATTGCACGCTATCCGACGGTTATCGCGCGTTATCAGATGATTTGCTCACATAACCATGTCTCTGCTGAAGCTAATCCTAGTAGAGATATTATTCTACGTTCAAATTATGATCACAAGAAGGATGGACTGAATTCGATAAAATATGTCTTACACAAATTAACTTTTTATAGATTATTTACATTGATAAACGTGACACTAACTGAAGAATCATTGAATGAGATTAGCAAACGTATGAATATTAAATTTCCGAAAAAAACAACAACTATGAAAATGCGAGTGTTACCAAGAAAAAGCGCATAATTTGATGTTTTTAAATTGTTTTTCGAATAAATTTGTTATGCTCTGCAGTATGCTGTTAAGTCTTCACAATAAAAATGATTTTCTATGCTTGCACCGAGTGCACTATAAGTATGGTAAGAAGACGTCCTTGATAATCATTAAACTATAACAGAATATACACACCCGTAACAGCAAGTTTGGCTGTGATGTAAGTAGGCAAGATATTTGCACAGAACGATTTAGCTGGCTTAGGATGCACTGATACTCCACCGTTCAAAGTTAATTTTGAAATTCTTAGATTTAGCACGTACATTCAATAATGTCCAAGTATAAAGAATAATTTGGGTTGTTATTTAATTTGTCTCATCCGACTTTTGCACTGATATCTGATAGTTTTTCGAGAAATCACAAAGAAATATGAATAATAAAAAGCTATGAGAGCAATGACATTCAACAGAACATGTTGATATTGTACAGCAAGATCTCTTTGAATTTCTCCATCATGTTTAACAAATTGTTCATTAACTAATCGATTAGGATCGAACAAATAGTTTAGAACAAATCTCAATATGTTTGAAATATTTTTTTGTTCGATTCTCTCCGAGCCATTGTCGTAGTTTTTAATGAATGTTACTTTCCAGAGAGCAGACTTTTCAAAACACAACTCAAAGATACTGTCGTATCAGAAGTACTTCTATCAAAATCCCTAACAGAAAAAGTCAGGTTTTTCGATCAGCACAAATGCCTTCGTAATCAATACATTTTATCGTCAAAAGATCACGTTCTATAGCGAAGAATATCGTTTGCTGAGTCATTCACTCGTTTCGAATGAGGCATTCGTCTATCGGCAAAAGTGAGAATAAATATCGTTGTCTTTTTAGTTTGATTAATCAATTGCTGACATCGTTCAATGTTATTAGATGATTTTGATCAATGCTTGGATTTAAGATTATAATCCTTTCACGATCCAAAGTTCGAAATTGTTGAATCATATCTTTCGTGATACTCGTCTTCGTATTCATGGTCTTGTCTTGAACTTCGTTTTAAGGATTGGTATTTACCAGTTTTTTGTCTTGTATTGCGTTCTCTGAATTTCAGCGTTTCGGTAATCTCCTCTTCGCACACAAAGAAGCAAAATGGACTTTTCCAATATACTCTTTCTTCCTTTCATGATATACACGTATGATATTGATCGAGAATCGAATAAGCCATGCCCGTCCACCTTTGTTCTATTCTTCCTTTTATACGTATGTACACAGCAAAGAGAAACAATGGTGAAAAATGTGCGTTCTGTATTCTTTTTTTGGTCATGTGAATCGAATATTACTGATTGAGGTTTTATCTGTGAAAAAAAAAATTCACATTGATGGAATTGATAAAGATTAGATTGAAAAAAGGAACATAGGAACAATTTAAGAATAGAAAATATAATAAATTCGATCTAATCGTCCAGAGTCACCTGTTTGTATTACAATAGTTTGAATTTAATTGCTTCTCTTGTTTTTATAATCAATCACTCATTAAATGTTTCGAAAAAAAAACAATTCTGAATTAATTGAAAATATTCGCACAGATATTTGTCACATAGGATTGACTAATCCACTCAAAGCCCTGTTAGTGGTGTTGTCAGGTGCTTTTTTTCAAATATCAGGTTTTCTTGATATAATGTGTAAAGGTGTTTAACGCAATTTTTCATTACGATATTAATTTCGACAGTATCTCTAATATATTGAAAATGAACGTCGTATACGTATCACTATTACTTCTTATCGTACGAAGGACATTTAGTGCTGTGTCTTACAATTGGACGTACACTTATGATCCAAGTTCAACTGCTTGGAATCCGTTAAAAGGTTTTGTTCCTTATTATTATTGGACAGGATCTCAACCAACGATTAATTTTCCTCATTCAATGGAAAATCAATACTTCTCAATGAAAAGTTTAATGCTTGGCCCAAATTCATTTGATTTCTCGTCAATTGATTCTGTTTTGAACAATACAGCAAAAAGAAATCATCATGCTATTGTTCGAGTCTATGCTGATTATCCGGGAAGAAGTTTAAATTCGTCTATACCGGATTTTCTTTGGAATGGACTAACGTAAGAATTTATCATGAAAAAAAAACACGAAAAGAAAGATTTAATTTCATAGAATATATTCGGGATCTTCTAGTCGAGATTCCTTTCCTGATTATAACAATCAAACACTGATCGATGCTATGGTAACACTTATCCAAGCATTAGGTGTCGTTTAAAATTCTTTTGTATAGTTGATATTGATTTTACTTGTTTAGGTCAAAGATATGATGGAGATATTAGAATTGGATTTTGGCAAATTGGATTTTTGGGACATTGGGGTGAATGGCATACGTATCCGAATGCTACTTATTTTGCGTCAATTACACATCAAAATCAAATTATCACTGCTTTTACTTCTTCTTTTACTAAAACAAAGCTTCAACTTCGTTATTTCGCTGTGACTGGAAGTTACAATCCTATAAATTTGAATATTGGATTTCATGATGATTCGTTCTTTCAAGATACGTATGGACAATCGTGGATGTTTTATAATACGAGTGTCACTGTAGGAGCAAATAATCAATGGAGAAGTCAAGTAATTTGAACTGAATTATGAAATGTATTTGCTAAATTCTACTATTGTAGCCAATCGGTGGTGAAGTTCGTCCTGAATTGATGCCCTGTGCATTTGCGAATAATCCTACAACAGCTTGTCAATCAATAACTGGATTAAAACCTTTGGATTGGTCTACTTGTGTTCAATTAACTCATTCAACATATCAATGGCTTTTCTATGCTTTCAATACACCTGGATATTCTGATTTGGATTATAATAGAGCTGTTAATGGATCGATCATGCAAGGATATTCTTTCTTTGTATCTCAAATAGCTGTAAATGAAATAACTTGCTCAGCATTGTAAGTCATCACTATTTTAGATTTGTTTTCTTTTCATTTAAGAATCTTGACTGTTCTTTAGGTCACATGTCATGAGAATCAGTGTTACGATGTCGAATGTCGGAGTCGCACCCTTTTATTATCCATTAACTATGAATGTCAAAGCTGCTGATAGTACAAACAAATCTGCAGCGATTTACAAATCGATCTCTGTTCCTATTTCGAATCAACTCGACCAAATTTCTTTCGTTTATTCTTTCGATGTGACAGTACAAACCTATGCGAATATACAATTTTCCATTTGGCTCAATAGCCCATATCTTGTTGGAAATCAGACAATCGTATTTGCTATTTCTGGTGCCAATACTTCAGGAATCATTGAACTTCCGACAATACCTATCGAGCCTTGCGGAACGCAGAGTGTGACTGCAGGTTGTGCCTCTTATATCAATTCTGCTCAAATCAATGGAACGCTGGGTACCTCGAATACTATTCGTTCCAATACTAATGATTTCCATGATCCGTGTTCGTCATCTGTATCTTACAACACTGGTATTGCACTCAAAAAGACTGTTTAGAATGGGAATTCATCAATTATGACTTGATCCTATTTTTCTTAATCACAATAAATAGGAGCCACGACTACAACAATGAAATTCAGACTATATATGACCAATATGAGAAGAAAAGCATACAATCGAGTTGCACATAGCTCGTGTCTGAGCATTGTTGTAGTGTTATTTTCATCAGGTATAAAAAGAGATTATAGTGGTGAATGAATAATTATATTCCTGCAACCAACTAAGTAGATTTTGATATATGCATTACTAAGACGCAATGAGAAATAAGCTTTTGGTTCAGTTCCTCGTTCGTTGTTTATTATATGAATTCTAATGAAAGTAAATATTTGTGCTGAACAAGTTCAAAACCAACAAATATTCAGCAAAGACATTGAATAACATTGTATAAATAGGAGCAGAAAGTAGAAAGAGAAGGAGGCGAAATGAAGAGCTATACAGAAGTGTTTACATTGGTTTTAGTTTATTGAAAAAAAGCAATGTAGTATATTTTGATGAAAATATAGAAGAAGAAAATCTAACTCTTTCACCTTCTGTTCGTTTCAGAAAATTGCATTTTTGATTGAATATATAAAATCGAACGATAATGACACTATTAGCTAGTTTCATGAACAAATCGCCCATTCAATAGAAGATTTAGTTCAATTCAATATGCGTATTTAACACCGCTGTAGATTATTCTCTCGTATTGTAAAATTCCATTGAATAAATTGCGATGTGTTTTTTTAATCGCAATGAGATTGAAAATTAATCCTATTTGAGGAAAATATTTGATGGTATCATATGGCAACAGAATATCGATTTATAAGGTGTATCTTTTCATTTTGGTGTTATAATTTACCATGTATCAGTTTATTTTTAATATTCTTATTTTCAATTTCTTGTTACTGGCTATTGTCAGTGCATCAAGTATGTCCTTTAGTTTGTCATGAAGAGATTCTACGACGTGTTATTTTAGATGAATACAATCATCAACAAGCAAGACAAATCGGGTAAAATCTATTGATCTTTCAGTGCATTTATCATTCTGTACTTCTCGTGTTTAGCCGAGAGCTACTCGTTGATCAACGTGGTGGAACTTCGTACAAGACAATTGCCTCTGCAGTCTCTTCAGCTGTTCCTGGCGATAAAATTATATTAGCTAAAGGCAGTGGTCCTTACCGGGAAACGCTCAATATTAGAAAATCCGGTACGGCTACAGCTCCGATTATAGTTGAAGGTAATGGTGAGACGATCACTGGTTTCGATCCAATGCCTTTCACATTCAATGATAACGTTTGGATGTACACACTTTCAAAACCATTCGAGACAGCACCAGCTGTTATTACATGGTATGGGCGACGTATTCTTCAAGATCAAAACACTGGCGAATTTATTGGGCCAATCAAATTGCGAACGGATGGAAAAACTCTCGAACTTACTTCTGGTACGTCGGCGGAAGGTTGGGAAATCTCTACTCGTCTTTTTGTTGTTGCTCTTAATGGCGTTTCCCATCATATCTATCGCAATATAATTGCCACCGGTAGTCTCAATGACGGCTTTAATCTTCACGGAGATGGTAATAACATCATATTCGAGAATATCGCTGGTTACAACAATCTTGACGAAGGTTTCTCTTCACACGAAACAATCTCTTGTACGATTACTAACGGTCGTTTCTGGGCTAATGACAACGGTATTGCCAATGTTCATAATAGTGTGACAAACATCACTAATGTTATGATACATGATAATGTTGGCTATGGTCTGTGGCTTCCTGACAATACCACAAGCAACTTAGTTGATATTCGTGTCTGGAACAATGGTGCTGCTCAGATTCGTCTCAATGGTCGTGCGACAGGTACAGCTACTCGAGTTTCTGTATGGAAATCATCATGGAGTTCACCACCTTGGCGTCGTTACATGGAATCTAAAGTCGTTAAGAATACGACAACACTAGATGGTAATGCCGCTTACACGTCAGTTCCGTTTTGGACGGGAAAATCCGAAATCATGAATATATCCACTATGCCTATCCCCGTTAATCCAACAGCGAATAGCACTGTACCTAGCATCGCAGTCTTGATTCAGAACGCTATTACAACTAGTCGTTCATTTGTAGTTCTCCCAGCAGGAATTCATCGCCTCACAGATCAAATAAACATTCGTAATGCCACTAATCTCGAAATAGACGGTACTGGTACGACTCTAATTATGACTAACCGTAAACGCAGTATTCTATCTATTTCAAAAGCGAATAATTTAGTCATTCGAGGTTTAACATTCGATTATGATCCACTTCCCTTTACTCAAGGCACAATCACTGCTGTCACATTGAGTTCGATTACATTTAAAGTGCATGATGGATATCCTGATCTCGATAATGGCTTTGGTTCAACACCACCGGCACATTTGTTCAAACCAGATGGTCGACGACATCCACATGCTTATGATTTCTATAAACCTTCTTTAAAAATCATTACGAATCGTACGGGTACTTTAATCAAGACCGGTCCTAACTGGCCGGTAACCCTTGCTATTGGTGATTTTGTTGCTTTGGATCGTCGTGAAACTGATGCGACGAATGCTGTTAATATCTTTGATTGTATTGGCTCAGTGACGTTTGAATATATCGTCATGCTCAGTTCGCCTTGTCTTAGTTTTGTTGGTCGTTATAATCTCGATGTTGTTAACTTCCGTCGGGTTACTTTACGACCTGGTTCAGTACCAATTGGTGCCATTCAATCACGTCTTCTTTCCACAAATGCTGACGCAATCAACTTTGCATATTGCCGTAAAGGACCACGAATAGAAAATTGTGACATATCTCATCAAGGTGATGATTCTCTTAATGTACATGGACCTTTTCTCAAGATTACAAGTGTACTCTCGAACACACGCTTTCAGTTTACCCATCCACGTCCTTATTCCTTCCTCCATCCTACAAAGACTGGTGATACTGTACGTCTACATGCTAATGGCAGCTTCAACTTGATCGGAATGGCGAAATTTGCTTCTTACAGGTTAGTGAATACGAGTGACGAAGTCACTACATATGAAATCAATCTTTTAACTTCACCTACCACCCATCTTGCTGTGGATCAATGGTTTGACATTCCTGAATTGAATAGTCCTGATTATATTGTTCGTGATAGTTATTTTCATGATCATCGTGCACGTGGTTTGCGTCTCATGGCGAGCAATGGTCTCATCGAACGAAATCGCTTTGAACGTCTTACCAAATGTGCTATTTCAGTCGGTCCCGAATTTGGATACTGGCGCGAAGCAGGTTGGGTCAATAACGTCACAATTCGAAATAATAACATCAGTTACATCGGTGTAGATATAAGTTTATCAGCAACAGGTAGTATCACACCCGGTGCTATTAGTATCTTTGTTCACACAGACAAACAATTAACACCCTATCCAAATAATCATAGCAATCTTATTATTGAAAATAACGCCATTCAAGAAATATCAGTCGCTGGTATTCATGCTTATGCTGTCAATGGTCTTCTTGTACGTAATAACACACTTTTTCATACAAATCTTATTCGTGGTCAGGGTACAGATTCATCTACTGGTCTCGTCACTACTGGGCCAATTTCAGTTTCTGCTGCTGTTAATGTCACTCTTGAAGACAATTATATTCTCCAATAAAAATCTCTCTATCTCCTTTCTATAAGGATGGGTGGGTGAGAATCAATTTTTGATTAATCTGTTCGTATGAAAGTAGTATTAGTATGGATAGTTAATTGTAACATCGTCTAAAAAATATGCGATAAGTTAAGCATGAAGCGTCAATGGTTCTTGCAAGATTGCTGTAATTCGACTTCTTCTACACAGTTTTTCACACATTTTTATCGCAATTGGGACAAAGAATCGAAATATAACGGCCAATCCACCATAAACGCCAAAATAAGATACTAATGATATTAAGAGTATTTGTGCGTTGAATATACGAGTATTCGCAGTGCAAAGGTGCACAAATAGAAAAGTAACTCGAATAATCCATAGATGTCTTCCATTCTTTAACAAAAAGATCATGAATCAGTTCTCTAATTGGTAATGTGATATTTTCAATTAATGATGATTTAAGAGGAACGATATTGAATTTACTTTGATCAATAACCAAATCAGTCATCAATTGTGTGAGATAATTCTTTTCATAGAAAGATTCGAGAGTTGATAAACGCAATCCATCGATAAGTAAACAAGCCCGAAGTAAACCTGGATATGATTTATTTGAAGAAAACATTAATGATCTTGAACATGTTGATGAACGAGTACATGAACACGATGATGACTTATTATTGGTAGGAAATGTACGAGGAACTGTATTAATTATATATTTCTCCTGAGCATTTGTAAGTTCAACTTGCCAGTTAGACGAAAGAATATATATGAATTGATTTACTCGAAAACTTGAATCATGGCAGGAATGTCCTCAAAATTTGGTCCTCGCAAAAAATGTCCTTGCAGAAAATGTTTTTTGAGAAATGGTCCGGCAGTTAAAATTGTCCTTTGCATTTGACAAAGAAAATTCCGAATGAAGCATCTCTTAGACATAGATGACGTTGTAGTTTAACGAAAATTCGTACTATGCTAAGTCATTTAAATAGAGGATTTACTTACATGTACAGAAAATGAAAGAAAAGAAAATATGGCCATTGTACACGTATTGATCGTATCGAAACATAATTTATAAGTGATAAAAATCGAAAAATTTCAACATGAAACCGAGTGATTTTGTTATAATTGATGATATGTTGTCATCTTCTTCATCCTCATTCTCGTCTAGTTTAATTTCTCAAATGAACTCCGGAATGACATCTCGTGAAAAGAAGACTCAATAGAAAATCGTCGAACGAAGAATTACACAGCTATATTGTCGCTTCAATTTAGAAAGGATTACAGTCGAAGAATTATTACACCAGCTTTCTTTTTTTGTTACAAATGATAAATAAATCAAAATTTGACTCTTTATAATAGAAAATAGACTATTTACACTACCCATCGGCTGTTTCTTTGTTTTATACCGAAAGGACATTCCAATAATGGAGGACTTTTTTTCATAGGACCAAATGACAAAGGCCTATTTCTAAAGGACATTTTTTAAAAGGCCATTTACAACACAAGACATTTTCTAACGGACATTCTTGACGGATACCACAAATCTGATGTTACTTTTTTCAGAATTAAAAGAAAATTTTTCAAACCAAGGATACCGATTTTCAGAAAAACATTTATAACTTGTTTACAAGTTCGACCTTCTGTTGCCCAAGACGCTGAATTGAAACGTCTAGATGAACTTGAAAAAAAGACAAAACGAGAATGTACCTCTTCCACTTTTTGATCGTGTATAAATCGATACATTGTTAAGAGTTTAGTGTTATTACAAGCATATAAAATGTATTATCACTTTTCAAATTATCTTAAAATAATTATTTGTATATGTTCATTTTTTACCTCTTTCTTTGCAATTATCTTAATTATTGTAGTAATCGTTTCTTTTCTCTCATTGTAGCAGATATTTCCTATCGTGTTGTCTTATTTTCTTTTTTCATGTAGTAACTCATAATCTACTTAATTGTATTGATACTTATTTAGAATATCTGGTTGTCAATTTGATATATGGTATAAATATCTATCACTACTTTTGTGAAAATATCTAATCTACACTAAAAATAGGTTAATATACACAACAATAGCTTTAAAGCGTAATATCTGAAACCACAATTTTTACGAGAAAGACCTGAGCGAGTCGCTAGACGAGCGTTACTTGTCATTTAAACAAAGACCCATGTCGAACGTTCCGGTGTCCAGATCGCTGAGGATCCTACAGGAAAGCCCCGGAAAAAAACGCTGGATCCTGCAGGAAAGAACTGGAAATCGCTGGAACATGGAAGCAGTATTCCAACCGGTAATTTTCGGAAATTTTCCCGTGATTTCCGGTCAGTTTCCGATCTTTTCCAACAGGAACTGGCTGGAAACCATGGGAAACAATTCCGAAAATTTTCGGTCGGAATACTGCTTCCATGTTCCAGCGATTTCCGGTGCTTTCCTGTGGGAACCGGCCCGTACTCTTTGACCTTGGGATGTTTGCAAATTGAAATTGTATAAAAAAAATAGGTTTTTCGAACAGAATGCCATAGCTTGCAAGAATAAAGGCAATTACATTGAGAGAATATACATACACACAATCTTTTGCATTTTTTTATTCTGAAATACTTCAGTTTAGAAAAACTGAGTAAAAAAGACTTTTTATGATATGAATGTCCAACTAATATAGTTCTTCTCAGAAAAAGCTATAGTTTATTATGAAAGCTACATATAAATTTTATTTTCAATATGCTACAAGTAACGCTTGTCGAGGCAGACTCACTTAGCTCTTTCTCGTAGAAATGTCGCTTGTGGATGTTATATTTTTAATGCATTATTGTGTATATAAGTTTATTTCCCGCATAGATTAGATATTTTCAAGAAATTCCAATACTATTAGAAGGATTACGGATGATTACATCAAAAAACGAAACAAAAAAAAAACACGACAGGCAATATTTGGTACAAATGGCAGAAAAACAGACAATTATATAATAATTAACATAAGTGTAAATAGAGATAAAGGAAATGAACATTTATAAATAATTATTTTAAGATAATTTCAAATTATATTACGTTTTATATGCCTACCATGAAACTAGACTCTTAGCAAAGTATCGATTTACACATATTTACGAAATGAAAGAGGTACACTCTCGTTTTGTCTTTTTGTCAAGTTCATCCAGACGTTTCAGTTCAGCGTCTTGAGCAAGAGAAGGTCGTACTGGTAGAACCTTCATATCAAAAGGTCGAAGAATGACTGTATCTTCCGCTCTCTTCACCCTGCTGAGTGGTACATATACTGACGCCACTTGCAATGTCTGAAGTGGAACTTGAAGATCGACTACAATTTTGTTCATTGTGAGTCCATACGCTTCATATGTAGTTATTGCGTTCGTGTGACTTGAATGATTTGTGAAATTTTTCTCCCATTTTGTACTCGATCGAGCAGATGTCCGAAAAGTTGCCTTATACGTAGGAACAGTGAATTGCTTCTTGATTAATGGAATAGAAATTAGTTTGGGACGAAGGCCATTGAGATTTGTTTCTACTTGTGATGCATTCATTTCTACGAGTGCATATAATGGTTTTCGTATGTAGATTGCACTTGAAGGAAATATTTCGCTTTTTATCTTGAAATCGCTCGGATCCTCCTGATCGTCGTATATGAGCTCTCGAAAAATGCCTTGAGTACCATTGGAAAGCCCTGTCTCACAGGCATGTTTGGTACCAGAGGTAAACGACCAGGAAGAAGTTCCGTATTGTTGGCAGGTATATGGAGGTTAATTCAAAGTTCGTTTATGAAGATCAGTTATTAATTATTATGTCACTAGACAGTAAACACAATGTTTTATTTATCATACTAATACGCTTGCCTACAGCCGGTATCATATGTTTATATATTTTTTCAGAAAATCAACACCCTTTGTTTCAGAATGCTAACATTAGATTCGAGTTTCCGCACTGAAATACCCCTGGAAATGCCTTTTCCGAAAAATCGATTTTTTTAATGTTTTTTTACCCTGCGGGCATACAAGGAAACAAACAAGCAAACAATTTATGCTTCTAAGACTCTTCTCTGAGAGAAAGAGAATAAATCAATATATCAATTTTAAAAAATAAAATTTGAATGGACAATTACTCATTTGCCTCTCCTCTGGTTGCGCCACTGCAACGAGTAATCCGGCTTTCAGATCCTGCCGAATTCCCATCGAATCCGATTGAGTGTACTCGCTCTGAGCAACCATCCCCTGAAGCGTAATTAAGATTGAGAACTTCAAACTCGACGTCAATTTCTTCTGATGCATCTTTTTTCTTAAATCTTAGTCGATATGTAGTCTATTTGAAATGAAATCTTTTGGATCCATTGTATGTATGCGTAAACTCCTTGCTCTTCTATGCTGAAAAAAAAAACATCATGTGACGTACAGTAGGATGTCATTGGTGTTAAACATGGTATAAAGTCAAAGATATTCATTGAATTCGAATATGAATAGAAAAACGGCGGATATTGTAGATCGATCATTATAATATCGGCTAGGCAACAACGGCTTTTTTTTACAAAGAGACAAATGGTTTGGTTTATGAGGTAAAGCAATTCTCTGTGGTGTTTCAAGTATGCTGAAAGATATAGATTTACCATTTTAGTATCAGATCAGCGAGTTTAATGAGCGGACATTACTTATAAATTTCATATGTATATTGAAATAAGTTTCATTGTGCACGTATTCGTTATCCTGAACTTGGTCTTTCCTTTTGTTGGAAATATTAGATCTAAACTGAAAATTCAACAAGATTTACCGTCAGGAGACGATGCTTTTGAGCGTGAGCGCTTTATTTGGAACAAATGTGGAAGGATATTTTTTTCGTGTGTTAGAAGAAGCTTCTGCAACTACTGGAAACTAAAGAATATTAACTAATCCAAGCATGTTTACCTCATTTTAACAATGACAATGAAAAGTGACTGTATACTCAGCTAAAAAGTTCCAATATTGCACGGCGTGATTTTATTTACTGAAAACAAAATGCACATATCTTCTTTCTTTGACTGTTTTATATATCCGTATATACAAATTCTGTCGATAGCATTATATCGGAGTTCGTGGATACCAGTGCTGGTTGTTGCAAATTCTACTTTTTATCTACATCACGTACAGACTATTACTAAACAGTTGTATTCGTTGAGAATGCTGTATTGATAAACAAACGGTGACTAAATGTGCGCAAATATCTTGATTAAAAGTAAAATTATTTGTACTTAGATGATGATAATTTGCATACTTTCAGTCCACTCGATTTATATGAGTGTACTTTGACTAAGTACTGTTAACCCCTTGCAAAAAGGCGGTATATATACATATCATTTCAGATACATCTCAAAACCTAGCAACGCTACAGACACAAAATCAGTCTGGAGTGACGTCAGATAGCCAAAATCCACTTCTCTTCAATGATCATCATTTTGTGCGAGGTTTCAATCACCGATATGTGCAGAGAACTCAAAGACAGGTACTCAAATCAAACGAAATGTATGTTCTCTTACAGTGTAATGTTAAGGAACGCTACGAATATATAATATCTCAGCGCACAGGCTATGATGTTGAATGATGCACAACTAACTGGTTTCAGTTTTTTCATCATTCGAAAGATAGATCTTAGAGAAAGGGCACAATAGGAGCCTATCATTAGATATTAAATGTACCAGTCCGGACCTGACTAAGAAGACTCGTCAAACTGGTTATCCTCCACTATTCTTACGGCATCAAATTTCCTATAGTTTCAAGCAGTGTACAGATTTTACACGTAAGCAAACCATAAACGAAAATCCTGTTATCAGAATAATATACAAACAAGTTCGAGAGTATATTCCACTGCTTTTCCCGCGATAAAATGTTGCAACAAATACTTCCCTGATATTTTTCTATGGATCTACACTGAGAGTGCATGGAGCTGATCATAATCGACAAAATAACTTCTTCTCAGACTACGCTGATCGTGGCAAACGATTAGTCTAACAGCGCGATCTGCTGCGCTACTTTTTGACCATTCTCTCTTCACTGTGCTATTTCAGTCACTTTACACTACATTGTTTCTTTCCAATGCACCACAGAATTCATAGATAACGGATACATACTATCCTCTCCAAAAATAAACTGCAAACAAACATAACACTTCATTAACAAGCTCTCAATACATTTAGGATTTGGAATCAAACATAAAACAGCTAGATAATAATGAAACATCGCTCTCATTCAATGTACCTTGATCTGATGACTTTGCCTTTACGACAACTGACATGTAAAATACATACGTGCTGTACTCCTCTCAATACAATTCTGCCACACCTCCAATGTAGTCGAGCAGTCCGCAATAATAATGTCTCGTCAATCACACACTTTCCGAAACAAATTCCAACCCAAGAGAACCTCCTATAAACGCATCGTACCATCATAGCTCTTCCATCAAACATTGCTCCGTTACACCTCCGTAAATACAACAATCACTTTCACTATTCCACATATATTTTCCCGCAACAAAAAGCATTCTCATTAAGGTCACATCCTCTTCTCGCAACACAATTCATTTTTTATTCATCCACTACCTATCAACGCCACCAAAATCACACACCAAACGGTATCGACTAAGTTCTCAATCGAAAAGCATCCTTTCTACGAAAAACGTCACCAGATCCCCTATCACTTGTTCTCCCATTCCATTCAGCGCAAGATCTACACCATATTCACGCTCTAAGAATTAGATAAATCAGATATTCCAAATCTCTTCCACCAAAACATCAATCTTACTACATTCCTACGCAACGCGTCCGCAATGTACTCTGCTGCTTCAGCACTGATTTGGTTATCGACGAGATCGAGTGTGGTGAGTGTCTGTATGTGGGAGAGAGACTAAGTACTTCACCTTACGTAGAATGAGATCAGTATTACCGTGTTCGTTCGCAACGCACCCGCAATGTGTTGTGCTCCTTCAGCACCGATTCGGTTCCAATTGAGGTCTATTGTGGTGAGTGCCTATATGTGGGAGAGAGAGTGAGTACTCCACCTTCCGTGGAATGAGATCAATACTACCGTGTTCGTCCGCAACGCATCCGCAATGTGTTGTGCTCCTTCAGCACCGATTGTGTTATATCGGAGGTTCATCGTGGCGAGTGTCTGTAGGCGCGAGAGAGTCTGAGTACTTCACCTTCCGTGGAATGAGATCAATATTACCGTGTTCGTTCGCAACGCATCCGCAATGTGTTGTGCTCCTTCATCACCGATTCCGTTATACTCGAGATGTAGTGTGGTGAGCGTCTATAGGTGCGAGAGAGAATGAATACTTCACCTTCAATGAAATGAGATCAATATTACCGTGTTCGTTCGCAACGCATCCGCAATGTGTTGTCCTCCTTCATCACCGATTTCATTAGCGCGGAGTTTTAGCGAGGCGAGTGTCTGTTGGTACGAGAGAGACTGAGTACTTCACCTTCGATGAAATGAGATCAATATTACCGTGTTCGTTTGCAACGCATCCGCAATGTGTTGTGCTCCTTCACCACCGATTCCGTTGTTGTTGAGATCTAGTGTGGTGAGCGTCTGTAAGTGTGAGAGAGAATGAATACTTCACCTCCGATAAAATGAAATCAATATTACTGTGTTCGTTCGCAAGGCATCCGCAATGTGCTGTGCTCCTTTAGCAGCGATTGTGTTCGCGGCGAGGTTTAGTGTGGTGAGCCTCTGTAAGTGTGAGAAAGAGTGAATACTTCACCTTCCGTGGAATGAGATCAATATTACCGTGTTCGTTCGCAACGCATCCGCAATGTGTTGTGCTCCTTCATCATCGATTGTGTTATTTCGGATGTTCATCGTGGCGAGTGTCTGTAGGTGCGAGAGAGACTGAAAACTTCATCTTCCGTGAAATGACATCGATATTACCGTGTTCGTTCGCAACGCATCCGCAATGTGTTGTGCTCCTTCAACACCGATTCTGTTGTTGTTGAGATCTAGTGTGGTGAGTGTCTGTAAGAGTGAGAGAGACTGAGTACTTCACCTTCCGTGGAATGAGATCAATATTACCGTGTTCGTTCGCAACGCATCCACAACGTGTTGTGCTCCTTCACTACCCATTCCGTTGCTGTTGAGATCTAGTGTGGTGAGCGTCTGTAGGCGCGAGAGAGAATGAATACTTCACATTCCGTGGAATGAGATCAATATTACCGTGTTCGTTCGCAACGCATCCGCAATGTGTTGTGCTCCTTCATCACCGATTTCGTTATCACGGAGGTTTAGCGTGGCGAGTGTCTGTTGGTACGAGAGAGACTGAGTACTTCACCTTCCGTGGAATGAGATCAATATTACCGTGTTCGTTCGTAACGCATCCGCAATGTGTTGTGCTCCTTCAGCACCGATTCGGTTCCAATTGAGGTTTATTGTGGTGAGTGTCTATATGTGGGAGAGAGAGTGAGTACTCCACCTTCCGTGAAATGAGATCAATATTACCATGTTCGTTCGCAACGCATCCGCAATGTGTTGTGCTCCTTCACCACCGATTCCGTTGCTGTTGAGATCTAGTGTGGTGAGTGTCTGTAGGAGTGAGAGAGACTGAGTACTTCACCTTCCCTGGAATGAGATCAATATTACCGTGTTTGTTCGCAACGCATCCGCAATGTATTCTGCTCCTTCAGCACCGATTCGGTTACACTCGAGATCTAGTGTGGTGAGCGTCTGTAGGTGCGAGAGAGAATGAATACTTCACCTTCGATGAAATGAGATCAATATTACCGTGTTCGTTCGCAACGCATCCGCAATGTGTTGTGCTCCTTCACCACCGATTCCGTTGTTGTTGAGATCTAGTGTGGTGAGCGTCTGTAGGTGCCAGAGAGAATGAATACTTCACCTTCGATGAAATGAGATCAATATTACCGTGTTCGTTCGCAACGCATCCGCAATGTGCTGTGCTCCTTTAGCACTGATTCTGCTGGCAGGGATGTTTAGTGTGGTGAGTGTCTGTAAGTGTGAGAGAGAATGAATACTTCACCTTGCGTGAAATGAGATCAAGATTACCGTGTTCGTTCGCAACGCATCCGCAATGAGTTGTGCTGCTTCATTACTGATTATGCTACCGCCGAGGTTTAGCGTGGTGAGTGTCTGTAGGTATGAGAGAGACTGAAAACTTCACCTTCCGTGAAATGAGATGAAGATTACCGTGTTCCTTCGCAACGCATTCGCAGTGTGTTGTGCTTCTTTAGCACCGATCACGTTGAGGGTTAGTTCGGTGAGTGTCTACATGAAAGGAATATATTATGAAAGGGGCAAGTAGCAAAGAAAACCTTTGATGACACTTCCGACTGTATATGTGTGATATGAGGGTGAGGGTGGGAATGAATATAGGCGTAGACCGAGAAATCGTGGAGAGCAGTTTGCTTCGTTTGGGAGGGTTGATCAAAAGTGATAGCTGATGCTCTTTTGTATCGAATAGCTCAACATATATAGGAGAAAGGCGAGAGAGTGGGGGGGAATGCTTGATTTCATGACTTCGCACTGTGAGTGTCTTATTTGAGCAATTTATTTGCGGACTATGAGATTACTTGCGGCTTCTTATGAAGAAATTTACGACGTTAAATATCATTAGGCTTATGTGTAGTACAGCGGGCAAGAATGCTAAGGTGTCATCAAGTAAACTTACTCGATATCGTCTATAGGTGCTGAGGATCTGATTAAGCCGCCGGGAAGTATTTTGCATTGAACAAAGTAGCGTCTTCCCATTTTGATGATCCATAATTCGGTAAACAAGTTCGACGGGTAATGTGGAAAACGTGTGCATGTTGTATTTCAATCGTGTAGCAGACCGTACCGTAGAGACTGGAAGCGATGAAAAATGTTTGACTTTGTTTGTTATGAGTAGTAACTCATGGGGGTGACGTATTTATATATGTTTTTGAGGAAAACAAATGACGTGTAATCATTTCGACAGTAACGAATTGTTGGCGTGCGCAGAAAGATGGCGTTAGAATACGCATGCTCATGAAATTCTGTTTTGACATTTAAAATAGAAGTTTTAAGAATTAAAAGTAGAAAATATTTTATGCCTTTGACTGCTTTGCAACTCTGTAAAAAAACCGGGCGATATTGAAGCATAAAAGGTTTTCGCTAGCGACTAAAATCTTTTATGGTTCTAGATTTGGGTACCATCTTCAGAATCTTTTGGGTTCTAGCAAAGAAATCTGAAACCTTTTCTAGTTCGGCACATTTGGCTAAAACCAAAAAAGGTTCTGAAAAAGGTACCGAGAAAAGGTTCAGTATGACCCGATTTTTTTTACAGAGAAGCCGATTCGATTTTCTTCAAAAGAAACTGACACCTCGAAATTAAATTTTTTAGCTAAAAAGTATAGTGTAAGTTAAAAAAACTCTACAGCTTACATTAGAGATTTATTCCGATTATGTAAGTTTTGTTTTCGAGAACACTAAATGCCACCAAGTCAGTTTTCACTGGTTGTTTTGCACCATTTGACGTTTTTCAGTAAAAAAAAACACATGACCGTAAAAATTTTCACGATATAGTTTGCTGAGAGCTTCATGCAGCATCTCTCATTGTGTTCGTTTCATTCTTCCCAAGTCTTATTCGATGATAGATAAAAGAAACAAGAAAAAAAGATCGTTTGTCAACCTGAAAAACCAGTCGCATGATCTTATTTCTTTTTGAAGCTACAAAATAGAAAATTGAGCTACGGTTTACCGCAAGGGTGACGTTAACTTGAACACTTAAAGTTAAGTTAAATTGCCACTCCTAAAATATATATATCTTTTTTGTGTTGAGGAGTGAGTTAGAACACTCAGCATCTTTTACATAAATAGAATGCCAACTCCCTCACCGAGGTGCTCTAACAATTCGTTGTGAATTCATTTTGATACAATTCATGTGTTTGGCAGTAGCGTATATAATTTTTATTTTACCTTTCGCAATTGTAAGACTATTAATTACAGTAGGAATCACAAGTTTCAACGCGAATGTTTCATTTTTTCTTTTTGACATGACAAATGTACTTTCAATAGTTATATCCTGTGCAATGGCGGTTTCATTACCAAATTTGCGGCAAAAACTTCGTACGTTAGTATGTCATAAACCAACGGAAGAAAATGTCTTTATTTTAACGTATCGTGCACGACCATAACGACAGTTTCGCGATTATCTCATTTTTAATTGATTCTCCGTTTCATGAATTGTGAGCTAAAAATGCTTGAGCTATGTTTTGAAACATATCGCACGCTTTAGCAATCCTCAAATACCTCTCAAATTACTACTGAAATACATTGTACATGACAGACATTTCGCAGAAAATCTACATCGACAGAATTTTGTGTACATTCCATAGTGTCGATGCTACATTGAGAGTGAGTGCGGATTAAACATTGCTTTTACTTTCTTTTGTTGCTCTGTACGTGGAGTATCGCACTTCAAACGAACAACAGAACAACATTAGCCAAATATACAAAAAGTTTCTTCGACAATAAAGAAGAGATCAGCAATTGAAATAAAAAGGTTGTTTTTCATCTTCTTGGAGAGAAAAAAAGGTGTGCTTCTCTTCATCTTAAACTGTCGTTGACTGCAACAAAAACTTCTTTGCTTTTCAGTGTGTCGATTTGCATCCACAACAAAAGTACGTTTATTGAAATAATCACATGGACAAAGATCTCTCGATACGATCTGAAAATCAAAATAACATGCAGCAGGCTTGTGTTCGAAGTTTCCATGTACTTTGGTTGGATGTATACCATGATGAATCTAATCGGCAGATGAGAAACGCAATTGTTGGGCTAAGTGACTTCGTTGATGGAATTACCTTACTCGATGATGTGGATGAATGTCGCGATTTCTTTGAACATAGAAAGACTGAAACAATATTCATGATCGTTTCGGACGCTTTGGCACAGCAAGTCATTCCGAAAGTTCATGGGATGCGTCAGCTGCACTCGATCTACGTCTTTTGTCTTAAGCAGTTGCCTGACGAACGAATGTTGAATACATGGTCGAAGGTAAAGGAAGCTACTCCGCAACTTACCTTCATCTGCGAGTCAATCAAACGAATCATACAACAATATATTCAGGATACAATTTCCATGAGTTTCACTTCAACAAACGATCTTATCGATGAAAACGATCAATCATTCATGTATATGAAAATATTGAGAGATATTCTTCTTGACAGGAATTATGATACTCGTGAACAATCACTCGACACATTTACTTCGTACTGTCGTCGTAACAATATACTGACAAGTAGCATAATCGATTCTTTTGAACATGATTTTACCAATCATACACCTATTTGGTGGTTTACGAAGCGATGTTTTCTTTCTTTAGTACTCAATCTTTATATGTACCGTCAAGATGTCAAAGGTATTAAAAGCATGAATGTCTTTATTCGAGCTTTACATCAAGAAATACAAACACATCACGAGCAACAGCAAAAGGAACATCCACAAGAATTCATTGTTTACCGAGGCCAAACTATGTCACAAGAAAACTTTTCTACGATGATGAAATCGACGAAAGGATTACTATCATTTAATAATTTTCTATTGACAAAGACGAGTAATAAGGATGCTTTTATCTATGCACAGCATGCTCTGAAAAGTTCCAATTCAATCGGTATCGTCTTCAAAATGAAGATCAATCCATTAATTTATTCTCGACCATTTGTTCGTCTCGATAATGCCAACAAGGGAACATCAGAATACCTATTTTCGTTGAACACTGTTTTTCGTATTGATGAAGTACAGCAGATCGACAATGATACCCGCTTGCGGCTAGTGGAATTGACATTAGTGGATGTCGAAAATACACAGTTCAGTAACCTGAGCAAGAGAATAGACGAAATGCTTGACGAATCGAACGGTTGGGAGCGATTGGGAAAATGGTTGATAAAGATGCAAGATTATGATAAAGCCGAGCAAATGTATCTTGTTTTACTCGATGAAACTACAGACAAGAAAAAACAGGTGATCTATTTAGAAATTCTTAGTAAAATTAAAAAGAATCAAGATAAATGGAGGGAAGCCATTACGTTCTATAGCGAAGCTATCAACATCAAGGAAAAAGTTCTCAGTCCGAACGATTCCAATTTAGCTGAATCATACAACAATATTGGTCATATGTATGAACATATAGGTGACTATCCTAGAGCACTTTCGTCCTATCAGAAAAGTCATGGCATTCACAGTAATATTCTCTCGTCAAACTCTGATGAACTCGCCGATTCGTTTCACCAACTGGGAGTAATTCATGAGAAACTCACCGATTATTTCAAAGCACTGTCGTTTTATGAACAAGAGTTAAACATACGACAAAGTACAGTTCCTGTTGATGAATCTCGCATTGCTCGTTCGTATGATAGCATTGGTTCAATATATGAAAAACTTGGCGACTATTCGAAATCAATGTCGTTTTTACAAAAATCGCTGGATGCTCATGAGAATACGCAGCCTTCGGATGCGAGTGACTTGGCTCGTTTATATTACAATATCGGCTGTACGCACGACCATATGGGGGAGTATGGTGAGGCTCTGAAATGGATTGATAAATGTCTGAATATTCAAAAGATGAATTCGTTTCTCGATCAATTATCGCTAGCTACAGCGTATGACAGATATGGCATGATTAATGACAAAATGGGTCAATATTCCAAGGCTTTTTCCTTTGTTAAGAAAGCATTCGATATACGAAAAAAATTCTTAGATGCGAATCATCCTGATATACTTACTTCGTACAACAACATGGGTATACTATTTATTCGAATGATCGAATATTCGAAAATGTTCACCGCTGATGAGTTAGCGCAGAAACGAGAGTACTGCTCATTGTTCTTGACGGACAGAGACACCAGTTATCCAGTACACGACATGAATGAGTATCTTGAAGCACATCAATTTATTCAGAAAGCTTTTCAAATTCGTCAGACAGTGCTACCTTCCGATCATCTGGATATAGCCGACTCATGGAGTAGTATTGGATTAGTGTCGATAAAGGCAGATCAATATGCAACAGCTTTGTCTGCCTACGAAACAGCAGAGCAAATGCGTCGAAAACTTTTATCGGCAACGCATCCGGAATTGATTCCATTGTACAATTCTATTGGGCTCATCCATACAGTGAATGATGAGTATGCAAAAGCGTTTACATATACTGAAAAAGTTATCGAAATTTATCAGAAATCTCTTTCTCCAAATCACCCATACGTAGCAACTTGCTACAATGTTATAGGTTTCACTTATGCTAAAATGGAGAAATTCACTGAAGCAATTTCACACTTGGAAAAAGCGATTTCGATTTACAAGAAATATCTTTCTCCCAATCATCCAGATTTGTCTACTACGCTGAACACAATTGGACTAGTACATTACAGAATGAATGATTATTCTAAAGCCCTTCCAGCTTTTGAAGGTTCATTGGAAATTCGTGAAGCAAAACTGCAACGCGAACATCCTAATTTGGCGACTACCTACAACAATATTGGATTGGTGCATCTGAAAACAGGCAACTATTTCAAAGCGTTAGAGGCCATGAAAAAGTCTCTGATTATGCGTGAAGAATCACATGTGTCAACTGACTCCCAGTTAGCTGAATCGTATAGCAACATCGCATTAGTTTATGCGATGATGGATCAGTATTCTGAGGTACATTTCTATTTTGAAAAATCTCTTAAGATTCGAAGAAAAAACTCACCAGAAAATCAATCTGATTTCATAACATATAACAATAATGTTGGTTTAGTTGATTTTAATATGAACGACTATTCCACAGCGTTCATATGTTTGAATAAATGT